TTAATCTCCATTTTTCACATCTCTAATCTCTCCACATATCTATTCTCTCCGATTCTCTATTCTCTCCACATTCTTTCTACCTCTCTATTCTCTCCCCATCTCTATTCTCGCCACATCTCTGCCCTTTTCAAATCTCTACCCTCTCCACATCGTTATCTTCACTTCTCTATTATCTTCACATCTCTATTCTCTTCCGATCTATTTTATCTTAAGTTTTCTATTATCTTCCCATTTCTATCCTTTTCATTTCTCTTCTTCACATCTCTGCTCTCTTCACATCTCTACCTCTTTATATTATTATTTTTGGCTCTTTATTAATTTCGTATTTTTTTTCTTTCTTCATATTTCTATTATCTTAATTTCTTTACTATCTTCTCATCTCTACCCACTCCATTTCTCTTCTTTACTTCTCCATTATCTTCACATCTCTACTCTCTTCATATTTATATTATTTTCATTTCTCTACTCTCTTCATATCTCTATTATCTTCGCTTCTCTATTATCTTACCATTTTAATATGTGTTTAAACAAAAATATACATAAAATCACTATTCTTATTAATCATTACAATATAAAATATTAACTATTACAAATAAAAAATGTTAATTATTAAATTCATATTTTTGAATATATTAAACCTATATGTATATCTAGTAATATTAAATATTAAAAAAATGTATATTGTAAATATGTTTAAGAAACAAAATAAATATATTTTTATGTTTATCATTAAATCTATTTTAGAAATATGTATATATATATATATAATTATATTTTGATGAGTTTTTTAAATATCTAGTTGGGATAATATATAGAAACTACTAGTATATATTTATAATATTGAATAATTCATATTAATAACAATTTAATAACAATATATAACAATAATGTCTCAATTTTGAAATAATTTATATTTATCTATCATCTATTGATTGTTTTTTACATCTATGTTGCCTCAGGCAAATTTCTGCTTTTCCACACCCTCTTAGGCACAAAAACGCGCTACCTAAAAATGCTGACCCCCCCTCCTTCTTGGTGGTTTCCAAAATTGATTCCAACAAAAAAACATCTCCATTATTGATGACAGCAACTTCGTTGAGGCTCCGACTCCATTGATTGCACAGCCAAGGGCACTTCCTCACCACCTGGAGTTCTTCAGGACTCACGGTTAGCCCTTTAAGTGGCCACCCGATCCAGTTGAGATTCAAAACGATGCAAATCATCATTAACCAAGGAAAGAATGCACATCTTACTTGTTCATCTTGTTCACATTCATTGTTGTACTTGGTTGAATTTCTGTTTTGGTGGAAGAACATGGAAGAACCAATGCAGCAAGGAAAACATGAAGTCACTGGCCCACCTCTAGGCCCCATTACATGGGGTTATTTCTGGAAGCTTCAAGGTCTGCCATCTAGTAAGGAACTTCACCAATTACTTTCTCTAACATATTTTTTTCCGACCAACATCACCAATTCTTCCAGGAAACCTTCGAATCTCTGAAGATTTCGAACAGTTTTGAAAAGACTTTTTCAGCTACGACCAGTCGTCAATTTACGGTCTTTTAGGCCTTACACTTATACCCTTTACCAGCTACAAGTCAGTCAGAACCCCGTTTATGGAATGATTAGCCGATAAGCCCATTTATACCCATTTATACCCATGTATAACCAAGTATAGGTCAATATAACCATTCTTTAAGGGCTCAATTTTGATCCAAGAGCCACTGAGCCTCACCTGCCCTGAGCCGCCCGGACACTGAGTGCATCGACCCATTAGCCCTTCATCCAGGGACACACGGCCGGCACCTGGTGAAGGATCATGTCTGATTGGATGGTCTTTAAAGTCAGCATACACTGGGAAACATGTGGTAAAACACGTAAATACAATGGTAAAATTGATGATGAGGATGAGGATGAGGATGAGGGTGAGGGTGAGGCTGATGCTGATGATGATGATGATTATGATGATGGTGATGATGATGATGATGATGTTGATGATGATGGTGATGATGATGGGAGTTTTGGACTGTTTTGGATGATTTTGGGGGGCCAAATCAGTCAAAATTCACTAGGTGCGTCATGGGTGGATCATGACTATAATGGGATGATGATTCTTGTGCGAAGTCGCTTTTTCTCTCTTTATGTTTTGTGCCAAAATTGTCATGTCTTGGTGTTTATGTTTCTTGTATGCTAGATCGCGTGCATCAAAATTTGGGTTTCTGTCAATATCGCCAGTACTTTTTCTTGAAGCTTTGCAAACAAATCCTGGGAAAAAATCATGAATCCTGAACAAATCAATAAATAAGCAGATTATCCGACAAGGCTGGGTCAAACAGTAATGATGACCCCAAAAACAATTCCATCGAATTCTGCCCCAATCTAAAACAGTAAAGATTAATCCCAGTTAATTCTACCCCAATCTATTGGTAATACATCCTCAATATGTCAAATTGATGCATAGCCCCACGGAAAACTCCATCCAGCTGCACTCTGGCACCGCCACCGGTTGGACTGGCCGCACACTCCTTCGAGTGCTGTTCGATGGCTGTCATCTCAGCGAGGGATCAAACTTCATCATCAAATCAGTGCCGATGTGATGAATGTTGGGTGGTTCAAGTTCAATTTTCAATGACCTCCAACATTTTCAGAACATACCAGGGTAGTGAAGGCCCTGGCGGCCCAGGAAAAAACGTTTTTTTGCACTGCAAGGTGGCCGGTCACCAGCTGCACAAGATGGATGAAACCTCCACAAATGTAAACAAATGCGATGTGCTCGAAATTCCCCAGTTGAAACTGCATTGATCATACAATTCCCTTTACACATTCTACATCATATATATATACATGTATGATCATGTGTGTGTATGTCTGTATGTCTGTATGTATGTAAGTATGTATGTAAGTATGTATGTACGTACGTGCGTATGTATGTAAGAATGTAAGTATGTAATGTATGTAATGTAATGTATGCAATGTATGTGTGTATTTGTATGCATGTATGTATGATGTATCTGGATAAATCTTCACAAATCATCATGATTCACTAACCTAAAATGAGTGCTTTTTGGACTTCCCCCTACCAATCATTCCAGTGACATCGCTTTGCGAGGTCGTCATCGCTGAACGGCACCCCGTTTCAGCTGAGCTCGCCACGTCCAAGGGAAGTCGGGTACCACACGAGCCGCACCTGGCTGAGAGGATCTGAAGCATGTTTTAAGGTGAATTGTCCCAGCAAAAAATGGTGGGAAACATGTGAAAATTCATCACTTTAATGACCTGAAATTCTGGAAAATCAGACTTTGGACTGATGATACCTGGGAATCATGGCTGGCTGGAAAACCCCCAGTGTTAAACAATGTTGAATGAGTAAATCATCCACCAATGGGGAAGTCTCCAGCAAGGTTTGCCAGAGAAAACCCTCCTGCAACATCTGCGTATTCCAATGATGGCTGGATCGTTTAGGTGACCGTTTCAGCTTCCATTGCCCAAACTCTCCTGGTTCTAAGTGGCATCAACATCATCAACCGGAACTGGAATGGGACCTAGCATCTTGCAAAGGGATCTGGTTGGTAATGCAATAACCATCTTGAAAAATATGAAAGTCAATGGGAAGGATGACAGCCCATATACGAAATGGAAAATAAAAGTCATGTTTGAAACCAACCAGGGATTGTAGACTTTCTCTTTACGAGTTGAGTTGAGGAAACTCAAAGTCTTGAAATCTGGAGAATCAATAAGCTGCTCGCAGGTCTCAACCCATCCCGAAAAGAGTCAACAAAAAGGATCACCATCTGAAATTGCGAAAGAACATCAAACATCATCAAACCATATTCGAAAGCACCAGCATCATGTTTCGTTCTATCTTATATCCATTTGGGTGTGTCTGAAAATGTTGTGTACCCCTAATCTAAACCCAATGGTTTTGCTGATCATTATCCCGTTTTTAAATGGCTATTTCATTGGGAATATACCCAACATTTTCATCACCAAACCCATTGATCTCCCAGCGCCACTGATGAAAGCCTCGCAACGCCCATAGCGTCCAGCATCGCTTCCCAATCATCAGCCTTCCGGCGCTGGGGGATTCAGGTCCTGGGGATGGGTCAAAACCCTGGTGCCGTGCCGTGTTCACCCCAAGTCATAGCTGGGTTAAAATGGATGTGAATAACCCACTAAAAATGGTATGAAAATAGGTATTGATCCATACCCATATAACATAAAATATTCTAATATACTATTAGATATACAACATAGATATACAACATTTCATAATATACATAATTTATCTATGTACATATGTATTCGTATGAATTATATATTCAGAACACAAAGAAACACACAGCTTTAAAGTTACGTTGACAACTGAGATTTTTGGGGGTCCGCAAAATCATGAAACACCCAAAGCTGTCAGGTCTCCTCAAAATATATCAAAACTTATCAAATCACAAGGTCTATGATAAGGAGGGACACAAACAAAAAACATATTTAAAAAGAAACATGTTTTTCAACACACTACTTGCCTGGTGAAACATTGCTTGTAGCCCTCAGTTCTTGGACCATCCCCCATCTGCTGGGAAATCTGAAGACTTCATTGTGTTTTGTTCCATGCATTGTAGAGATAACTTCCCCACCGTTGGTTGTAAGAGTTGTAAGATGTTGTAACCTCGCCCTTATCCTCACTTAAATCCCAGGTGTTTGTCATCGTGCCTTCGCTTGGCTTTCCGAAAGCGAAGCATCTGCCTTTGAATTAAAAGGTGGACTGGAAGGGGACCTGGTGAGGGGGACCTTGCCGCGGCTTGGTTCAGTTGAGATGATGATCAACACCCTTTCCAAGTAGAATCAGTTGGGGACTATATGGATCAGTAATTGTTGAACTAATTTTGTGATGATGATGAACCAAATAATGCCTACATTGTTCGTTTCCTTCTAGAATTAGAATAAAATGAATAATTAGGGACTATATGGATCTAAGCACCTCATGAAGAAGGCAGGGCCTGAGGCACGTTGATCACACCTTCCAACATCGGCCGGCCTCATCATCCTCCAGTTCGAAAAAACGGGTACCCTCCGCCGTGGCCCTTCCTGGAGCGGGTGCTGATTCTGGGAAGATCCCCAGATCAATGGCTGGTCTCACGAAGAAACACACCATTCCTAAGAAAAAAACATCAGGAGAGATCATTGAATAACTTGAATAACGCAATTTTCCAGTTTGCCCCGAAATGTGGAGCGTGCTTAGCGTGCTTGGCAATTAAGATCCATCACCAACGGAGGATTGCGATTGATACGATTGAAAATTGAGACTAACCACACTGGAAAATAGGCAGATTCAAACCACCAACCAGTCATAAAACTCAGGGTGGCCATCCACATCTCATTTGGTGTGGAGGCTGATTCACACCAAGAATCCCCCTTGGTCTATCCCCAAGATTCCCCCAATCATATGGCGCCTGTACATACTCAAAAAAAAAACATCTCACCAAATCCCACAAAAAACAGAGATCGTCAACACCGCTGGTTTGTTGCTTCCTCCCCAAAATGATGCACTTGCACAACATCATCCCACTTGAAACCATGTAGCCCATCCACTTTCAATGGCTTAACCATAATTTTTTCAGGCCAGGTATCCCATTTTTCTGCCTGAACAAAATCCACCATGTTCTTGGCATTTCCCAACTGGGGCCTTCCAGAAACTCGTCCACCGATGGTAGATCCTTTCTCTCCGTGTGTTTCGCCTGAGCCCGTGGAGTCCAGAAAACCTCCCAGATTTTTCGGCTAAACCACCCTCAGAACAGGCACTATGAAGTCGGAAAAAAAAGCGCCTTCCAACCCCAAGTTTCTCATATTATATTTGCAATTTCCGAAAGGATTTACACTTCGCGTAGCCATGTTCGTTCAGAACATGACCATGGGCTGACCATAGGATTTAACATGTTCATACATTTTCCCCAAAATTTACGGACCAACCCAAGGACACTTGAAATTTGGACATGGGAGATACGCCAATTTTATGGCCTCTTTTAGGAACAACAACCGACAGTTTCCAGAAATTTCCAGCGTCGAAGCCGAGGGGCCAACTCACGGGTGATCCATTCCTCCTTCTGGTGCAGCGCCTGGCAGATCCAGAAGATAGGACTCCAAGACACGTAAATGTTCCTAGATGCTTCATTGCTGCTTATAACTGAAAGGGATCCACCAAAAGTCAGAGACGTCAGTTCTCCGGCTTTTCATTTTGCTAGGTACGCATTGCAAAGATGGCTTCTGGCCATCTCGTTGTAAATGTCCTCGTAGAGGTTGTTCTTTGCACCCCGTACCAAAAAGTCGTCATCTCCTCCAATCCGCTTTGGCCGCACAATCTTCTTCTTCTCGGGATCCCGGTAGTCCCCAACAATTCTAACGGCAGGCCAGGATGGAAAGTGGAACTGGGTGCTACTTCTGAGAAGGAAAAACACACAACACTAAACACTACCAGAAGCAAGAATCAGGTACGATCAATCAATCCCCTTTAGTCATTTTAGTCTTTTGGTGCATGGGTAGACATTTGAAAACAATGTAGTGCGAACAAGAACAAAACTTCTCTGAAATCTGCAGGAAACAAGAGAACTTCGCCAATAGTTGAGTAGAGGAGATAGCGTTGTACCCAGCTGTCCAACTGATAGAGATGCAGCTCGATCAAGCAACTGTCCTCAGCGGCGAGGCCCAACCTGTGCCCAACGGTTGCCTGGAATGGTATAAGGGCCACAAACCAGAGATTCTTGGTTCATCTTGAGTACAGTCATGTCCGGTAAACCCAAGACTAAACCATCCCGAATATCATCATCAATGGGAGGTGACCATCATCCCCAAAATGGTCGGTTGATGATTGGGTCTACCACAGGAACCAGCTTTGAGACCAGGCGCTTGGTTCCCTCAAAACTTGATTGTCTTTACATTCCTAAAGCGACATGGTTAGCATTCCACGATAAACATCAAGAGAATACCATCTGGTTTCATCATGCATGGCTAGCTGGAAAATCTCCCATTTATAGATGACGCTTCCATGAACACCTCCATTTAGCTCGGGGATTGCCCATTGCCAATGTTTGATTACCAGTTGGTTAGAGATATTTGATTTATTTCATATATTTAACATCCCAGATATTTCCAACATCCAATGTTTCATTAAATAGTGTCCCATGTAGATCTGTTCCCATTGGCAATCCAATGTTTTACTACCCCATACATCCCAAAAATTGTATTTCCATATATTTCCCAGTGATATCCCCATTTTCAGTGCCATTTTCAGTCCCAGCATTTCCACGTCGCTCCCCCGTTTGCCAAGCATCCAACGGCATGAAGATCACGTTGGGAGCCCAACCGCCATTGGGCGCCAAGACCAGGCCATTGGACGCGAAGAGACGGGCTTGCGCCACCAGGGTCGATGGTAGATCCGCCAAGATTTCAACATCCAGGTCCTGGCATCTGGTGCCGGTGCCATCTGGTGCTTGGCTCGGGAAATTTCAGAAAGCTGGGAATGGAAAATCCCAGGTTTTTCTTTTGACGATTCACTGGATTCATCTGGCACCCTCTGGTAAATTAAGAGTTGGACCCTGACAGTTGTTGGGGTTGGAAGACGAGTTTCCATTAAAAATTGGTGAGTTTCAGGGTCTATGTTTATTTACCAGAGGGTAATATTGGTTTGAAAAGATTTTTGAGGTGAAACAACTGGATGATGTTCATGAGCTGGGCTGTAAACCTGAAATTTAGAACAAACAATAAAACAAGCTATGGACCAACATTGAAGCCAAAGATCACCCAAAACTGTCAAGGATGATTCCAGCCTTTCCTCTAAAAAAACATTTTTCAAAAGTAATCTAGCAATGATTCTTGGGTTGTAGATATCTAAAAAACATGGTTTCATATATGATCAAGCTAGCTGATTTTGTTTCATTAACCGTCATATCACTAGAATTCATGGGTTGTATAACCATCAACCCATCATAAATGAATGAAAAAATCATGGTACCTATTACTTATTTTGACTGGAATGAGCTTGATGCTTCATTGAAATGGACATATATATATATATATAAAACTATCACTATAATTCCCCAAGGACTTGCACGGTCTAATATATAAATATATGTGAACATATTATCACTATCATAAGGACATATATACATATATATACATATATATACATATATATATATATACATATATATACATATATATATATACATATAAATATATATACATATATATATATATATATACACACATATATATATATATATATTCATTGATTTTCACAATTCATACAATTATACTTACCAAGGCCAATGATTAGGACGGATGGTTGATGGAATGGTTGGATATTGAAAAAACATACTAGTCATATTACTCATTGAATTATCAGAACCATCAACCATAACACATATATATATATATGTATATTCTACAGATATTCTATCATATATATCCTATAGCCTATAGTCATCAAACTATCATACATATATATATATATATACATATACATATACATATTTATATATATATATCACCATCATGACCATCCAACCATCCAAGGTCCCAAGGTCTTCCCAGCACGGTCGCCTTCCGGAGGAGCGGCCGCAAGTCTTCGGGACGCCGGATCCGGCGCCAGGACGACGAGAGGCCACGGCTGTAGATCAGCGCCTTGCGGTGGTACTCCTCGGTCCAATGCCATGCCATGGGAATCCGTGCTTTGGTACGGTATAATACATGATATATGATATATGATACATGATATATGATACACTATATATGGTATATGAAATATGGTATATGATATATGATATATGCTACATTATATTTGATATGTGATGCATGATATATGACATATGATACATGATAAATGATAAATGATACATTATCTATGATATATGCTACATGATATATGATATATGATAAATGAAAAATTATACATTATCTATGATATATGCTACATGAAATATGATATATGATAAATGTAAAATGATATATGATATATGCTAAATGAAACAAGGCATATGACATATAATAAACAATATATGATATATGATACATGATTTTTAATATGATATTTGACAAATGGTATATGATATATGATATTTGATACATTGTACAAGATACATGCTACATTATTTTTGATATGTGATGCATGATCTATGACATATGATACATGATACATGATATATGATACATGATATGTGACATATGAAATATGATATATGTTATATAATACATTACATACGATATATGCTACATTATGATTGAAATGTGATACATGATATATGACATATAAAATATGACATATGATATTTGATACATTATCTATGATATATGCTACATTATATTTGATAGAAGATACATGATAAATGACATATGATACATGATACATGAGATATGACACATAATATATGGTATATGAAATATGATCTTTGATACATGATACATTATATTTGATATATGCTACATTATATTTGATATGTGATACATGATATAAAACATATGAGACATGATACATGATATATGATACATAATATATGATACATGAAATATGGTATATGTTACATTAAATATGATTTATGCTACATTATTTTTGATATGTGATACATGATATTTGACAAATGGTACATGATACATCAAATGATAAATGAAAATGATATATGATAAAAGATAAATGATAGATGATATATGATACATGAAACAAGGCATATGGCATATGATAAACAGTATATGAAACATGATGTATGACACATGATATATGATATATGATTTATGATACATAAAAAATGATATATGATATATGATACATGACACATGATGAATGATACATGATATATGATACATGATATATGACACATGATACATGATATATGACGCATGATATATGACATGTGATTTATGATACACTAAAAATGATTTAAAATATATTATATATAAACCATTAAATATGATATATGATATATGATATATGATATATGGTAAATAATATATGATACATAATATATGATACATGAAATATGATAAATGATAAATGATACATTATATATGATATATGCTACATGGTATTTGGTATGTGATACATGATATATGACATATGAGACATGATAAATGATATATGATACATGATACATGAAATATGATACATGATATATGATATATGATAAATGAAAAATGATAGATGATATATGAAACATGAAACAAGGCATATGACATATGATAAACAATATATGATATATGATGCATGATATATGATATTTGAAAATGATATATGATAAATGAAATATGATACATTAAAAATGAAAAATGATATATGATATTTGACACATGATGAATGATACATGATATATGATATTTTATATATATGATATATGATACATGCTACATGACATATTGCACATGATAAATGATATATGACACATGATAAAAAAATATATATCATACAATATATATGATACATGATGTATGATACATGATATATGATACATGATATATGATATACATATATATGGAGGTTTCCTAAAATAGGGGTACGCCCAAATCATCCAAAATCAGACCGTTGAGTGAAACATCATGGATATATATATATATATATATATCATGGATGAACAATACTGGTGAGTTCAATATGATAATGATATGTGGGTTAATTGATGATGCATAAAAGATTCATGGATACAGAGATGAATGGGATTTGATGGGATATATCACAAAAGAAATTAGCTATCACTATGCCACTGAACATGACATATACATTGTTTTTTCAGAAATGGTGCGAACCCTCCAGTAGTTTAACGATTTTCTATTGAAAATTGCACATTTTGAGTTTTACGATTCACCTATTACGCATTTCCATTTCCCATGGTCATGTAAGTTTTTCTGCAGGGAAAATTGTTATCCCACTACAAAGGGATATATATATATGTGTGTGTGTATATATATATAAATTATACTTAGTTTATCAGTTTTAGTTTAACCTTCATTGCTTTTTCATAGCAAATCACCCGTTTTCCCATTCCAACTGGCCACCTTTTTCACACTGTTCTCCTGGTCCAACTGCCCCAGCACGGCGAAGGTGAAGTGCGGCGCGGCAAAGCGCAGCAGCGCTGAAGGCTTCAACCGGTAGTCGCAGCAGTTCCGCAGACCTGGGGGCCCCGTGACATGTTATTGTTGGTTGAGTTTAATGTGGGTAAAACAATCATAAACCACCTATTTATGGTAATTTGGGGGATGGTTTATTAATGTTTTACCCACATTTTGCTTGTATTTTTCGATTATAATGCCTGAAATAAAGAGGTCAGTTGTATAGGTCAGTTGTGTTTGTTGGTTTTATTTCCCTGTTGAACTATAGAATCAGATAGATCTCGACCATCGCTCCATGGCACAACATGTTCCAACTTACCTGTCGTTTGGGTGGGCCCTTCCTGCAGGGAGCACTGTGGTCCTATCCAACTTTGGAGCACCTGGCTCCACTGGAGAGGGCTGCTAAAAGAGATGGGGTATCCAGTGATATAATGCAGGCAGTCCTCCAAGGGAATATAGTGAGGTTCAGGAACCGAACCGGAACCGTCAAACCGAACCGCAGAAAATCAAATAGCCTACGAACCGTAGGAACAGTGAACCGGAGGAACCGGCGAACCATCTTACCCTCCACCAATAAACTGATTGGCAAAGTTGTAATTGCTTTTTGTGTTCAATGAAAAAATCAAATATGGGGTTCTGAAATAATAAATTGTATGCAGTGATACTTCAGGAAGCTTTGATTTTCCGAGTTCAGCTCTCTCCATTCTTTGAAAGCCGCTGCTCATGAAACGCACGGCCCGATATTCCTCTAGTGACATTTGCATGGCCATAATGCAATTTGTGCTCCTCTTTTGGCACGGAAGCGCCTGATTTGCATTTTTCAAACGCCCAAAAAAGCAAAAGGCCTGAGCTATAAACCCATGGACGGAAACAATCTGTATTTGCTTTTCCCACGCCAGAAGAAAAGCACATATCAATGCATTATGTTCCAAACACCGAATCGAACCGAAACCGACCAGGAACTGCATGAACCGGAACCGCACATGAACTGAACCGGGCCTATACTACAAACCGAAACCGGACCAAACCGAACCGAAACCACACTAGCAGAAATGTTCTATGCAGGGTATTTCCTATGGACATGTAAGCTCTGATGCATTTGCTATACGTGGCAGGTGAAACATTGAAACATTGCTGGCAGGCTACTAACAACTAACGAAACTGGCCGAAAACTGCGACCATGATCCGTGCCGTAAGACATGACACTGGATGCAAAAACCTTACCCAGCAATACCTGGCCTTCAAGGATGTGTAGCTCGCCAGTGATGCAATACTCTTTTGTGCTTGAAAAGTTGTGAACTTTCCAACCGTTTGCTTTGGAAAGTGCCCAAAACAAGTCATCCAACCAATAGGCAGCAGGGCAGCTCGTATTGGGATGCTTGGCCATCCTGTCTACCAGGATCGCAAAATCCGAGTTGTTGTAGACAGCTGTCCACCAGAAGAAAGGCCAAAAACTCTGATGAAAGTCATGATTGATGTTCCCCTGGCATCTGATTCTCAAGAAAGCAACATGCTCATAGCTAAGAGTCTCAAAGGTGTCAGCGCTCCCTTTGGCTTTGCAACAGTATCTCTTCTCGCAATCCTTCCCGGGCTTCCCCAAACAAGCTGCGGGACATGCTTTGCTGGAGGCCACATACCTGGAGTCCAATGGGTAGAGGGCTGCCGTCACATTGACCCACCGTGATGGGGGTACCGTTGCTCGATTTGGCACGGCTGCTGCGGGACTTGGTACCGTTGGTACCGTTGATGGGCTAGGACTTGCAGTCGTCGTCTCACAAGCTGGGCTGAAGACGGGTGGTTTGCCTCAATCAAATTGTCAGGCGCTGGGCGGCTCAACTTCATCTATATTTTTGAAACCAAACAACGCGAAAGAAACGAATGGTCACTTTCCTGGTTGCTGCTTTCAACCGGCTTTTATTGCCAGGAAAGCCACCCCCAAGCCCTGTCTGATTTGGAACCACCAACCAGGAAAAGATAACATGGACCACTGTGCATGGGTGAAACATTGGGTACGGTACGCCCATAAAATCCACAAGTTGTCATATTCCCGACTAACTCACGAACAATGACCAGAACGGCCTGGGGCTATGTAGGCTATGCCTTATATATTCAGACAAACCCCACGTTGTCTCCGACTTGTCGCATCTTCTGCCAATGCCAAAGCCATCCCGGCCGCGAGGCCCTTCGCAGGGCTTGGCCTCTTCATACCAGCGCATGTAGTCCTGTACGGTCCACGACCCCAAATGCTGGAAGCTGCTGGTTGACCCAGGGCCAGTTTTGAATTGTTCTTTTAAGTTCCCAATATTGATTAGAATTTTGAACTAAGACTTCCAACTTACACCAACTGGTTGGTGGTTTTAACCATCTTGAAAAATATTAGTCATTTGGGATGATTATTCCCAATATATGGAAAAATAAACATGTCCCAAACCACCAACCAGGTTTAGAATTTTGAACCAAGACTTCCAACTTACAATGTTTTTTTCCGGCAAAACCCACTCCGAAGATTTTGACCATATTTTTCTCGCTTCAAGCCGTTTCTTTCGCGTCCTGCATGGCCAGTTCCACCTGCTCCCGAAACTTAGAGCCGCCACTCGAGCGGTCGAGCGGACCTGAAGAAGGGTCGGGGATGTGACGCGGATACAGAATAGAAATGGTATAGAGAGTGATCGAGATAGTTGATGGAAATGCCATATATTCAATATATATATATATATTATTTTTCTATACAAATAATTAACATTCATCAATTAAACTGATAAACTAATTACTAAGCAAATACAGTAGATAGGTATATATATATATATTATAGAATGATACAGATAGATAGATAGATAGAAAGATAGATAGATAGATAGAACATCCCCAGTTACCCTTTATGGGAAATTCGGATGCACATGCAAATTCTTTCAGTTGTCAAGTGTTCCACTTAAACATCACACAGCCATTTGCGGTACAAAACCATCAGAATGAGACATTTGCCACGCGTCTGATTTACAAGACAATCCATACCTGGAGCCCATATGACCTCTATTTTGAATGATTAACCATGGTTGACTCTCCATGTGGTCAGCCAAATCCTCCAAGATACAGGGTAACATAGGTATACGGTATATGATAGTATATTTAATTTAGATTTATCATGATTTTATCATTTAACCATAATATTTTGGTGCACATGCAACAGATGTAAAGATGTCATGTAAGGATGATCCGTAAATCGAGAGGGACGATGGTATGAATCAACAATCGTTGATTGAATTTAGATGAACAACGGGCGTCCAATCTGTTTGGAAGCCTCAACGTGTTGACCCATTTCTACCATCACATCCAGGAAACGTGCGGCAAAGTAGTCCGAGAAGTTGTAGCTGCTGTTGCAGGGAAACCGGCCCGTGTCATCCAACGCATAGGCATGCGGAAGCCCATCCAATGCTGAGTCTTTCGTCTGTGAGTGCAGAATGATTCCTGCCCGCGCCCAGTCCAACGTTGGGCAGGGAGGTAAAGGGGGTGCATCTCATCCCAAAGAAGAGGATCCTGAAGCTGAGAGTCAAACTGCTTCACAGCTTCACGCGGCACCAGAAACAGCAACTAATCATCATGTCCAATTCCCCAAATGATTATCTGGGCCAATAAGAGAAACGAGTTTCGGGCAGCAGTCCTGCTTCTTGAGCCAAAGCGACAAGTAAGACAACAATTTAAGTTGCCAAGTGACCTGCAAACTGGATTCCCGGCTTAAACCTTTTAGGCAAGCTCATGCATTTAGGAATTCCAGTTAAACTTTGGATGTTTGTGATACTAACTACGGGACCCTACCCCTGGTGAGCCATGTGCTACAACCAGGTGCATGAGTGATGTCACATTTGGGATTGATTTTACCCGCATCCATTCTTCTCCCCCTTCGCATGTTTCAGAGAGGTCTCTGGGATAGGTGTCTCCAGAGATGGATGCTTGGGTTTGATGCCTAGTGGGTGCAGTGCATGTGGCCATTTGCCAACCGCCAAAGGTTTGGTGAAAGGATCAGCTCGCTGCGACGTAGTCTTGATGTACATCAACTTTGCAATTCCACTGGAAAATACTTCATACAAAGATCCCAGATTGATGCGGTGATGTTTACTGACATGACGCAGTTTCGGACTGTAACCCGGATTGCAAATCGCAATAACGGCTGTATTGTCTTGCATGCAACGCAGTTCAACTTCCCTACCATATACATCCTCTATAAATTCAAGAGTCGGCAGAGCATCAAACACTCCCGATGCTAATGAAATCACTTCGGCCTCTGTAGTCGATCTGCTTGTTGCTCCCTGGCGCTTGCTGCTCCAGCTCAACGGCCAATACGAGCTTGGCCCTTCCAAACACAGCAGGCTTCCTGACGACGATTTTGCATCTTCTACTGCAGATGCATGGTCGGCATCTGTATACAAGACCAATTTGAGATCCTGTTGCCTATCTGCAATCTTTCCACGAAGTTTGAAATCCTTTGGTCGTCCACAGATAACTCATGAGTCTGTACAAACGTTTGTCGTTTGCAGTGCTCCAGCATTTTACGCGGCGAGTTAAAACTGCAATTGCTTTTTGAATGTCCGGTCGGCAGAGCCGGGCACACCAGAGAATTTTCATAAGGACTCGGCTGGCTGTTCCTGACAATTCCCCACGTGACTCCCATTCTGTCAATGGCAAACTTCCTTCAGGAAGGTACGGAGAGCTTGCTTCTTTCAAGGGCTTTCCGGCCAATTCAACGTAGAAATCACATGAAGATTGGATGAAGTCTACCATGTCAAACTCTACCTCAGTTGAATCTTCATTATGATGGAAAACGTGTTTTCTACCCAGACATCGGTCTACTTCAGTTGGTGGTTGGATTTCCAAATGACTGGATAAGGTCTTCCAAAATTCTGCATGAAGATGTGAGGGGCCACTAAGCAAAACATCATCTACATATAGAGTGAGTAACAAACCATTGCCGAATGTCCAATTTGATTGGTTATCTGTTATCTTGGTCGGGGCTTTCACCCATGATTTGCATCACCTCCCGGAATCTGGCATCCCAGTGAAAGCCGCTTTCTGGATGCCCGTACAAGGCTTTGTCCAGAGGTGCCACTGGATCCTTTATGTGGGAGTACTCCTTCGGAACTAGTTCAGGTGGCAGCAAAACCCATGTGGGCACCTTGGTTTTTAACAGGCTCTGTGTGTATGCACGCACAACATCGCTTTGGGTGCTTTTATTCCCTTTTAGGGCACCATAGCTGAGGTTGAAGTTTATTGCAGTTCTTCCAGATGGATTGACCTTAAGTTCTTGAAGAATCGCTATGTTGTTGGACTCATCAACTATTTGGTCTCCCCTGAAAACAACCCTTGCCTTCAACTTTCTCAATGTTGGACTTTCTGCGTGCTTGACACTGAGTATTGTCATGAGCCTTCCCAAGTTGTATTGCTTTCCTGATTTCAAAAGTTCTTCTTTTGGGATTATTTTATCGCACAACCAGACCTCATCAGCAACTAAGCCATCCCTTTCTTTGGCAATAGCTTCATAGGCTGCGGGATGTTTGCTCCAGTCTCTTCGGTCGATGACTTGGCGCACTCCTACAGGGACAGATCTTGGCACATGTTCGGACTGTACAAAAGGAACCGTTGGCATACATGGAACGCTGGCATCTGGATAAAGGCTGATCGAAATCACTTGGGCCATCTTTTCAGTGTAGAAGGCTGATCGTGAAGTCTCTGACCCTTCCAAAGGACTATGTTTAAACCCTTGTGGATGCTTACATTGATAGCCTCCAAGATTAACTGCCAACTTCATGGATGTTGTTACTACTCTCCATGTCTTTTTGTGTGGTTCCCCATTCTTGTCAACCAATCCTAGTGCGCATCCATTGCAACAAGTTTCGTACATGCTGTGACGCTTGATGAACCTCAGCAACGGCGGCAACGCCCAGCCTTCACTTTGCTTTGGCCACTCAAAACTAACATGCCCCCCGTTTGCAATGACATTTTCTGCCACAAGAAGGAAATGCTCCAACAGCTTTTTGCTTGTTTTTCTTTTCTTTGCCAATTTGATCTTGTACTTTTTGCCATACCTATACGAGTTCATCTTTTGCCATGGTGACCAAGGTCCACAGGGTATGCTTGCCCAAAGGTCTGCCCCCTTGAACTTGTTGGTCTGGTTCAAAAGGCTCGCAATTTGTTGAAGATCTTCCAGGTCGGTTATGTCACGACTAAGTCTGAAATGTTCAACCCCCCTTGATTGGTTAACCTTCCCCAATGTTGAGCCTTTGCTGCGGCAGAACTCGAACTTTACCGGCTTCTTTCCTGACCGGATCCTGCGTTCTTTTGGCGGGTTCAATGTCCTTTCGTTCACGATTTCTGCAGGGACTGGTGATAAACCAAGAATGGATGTGACAGCGTCTAAACCCTTGGTGGTTCGGTCTGGACGTTACATGTCATAGCTATGATCCTAGCTTTCACATTGGTGGGCTTCTCCAACGGATAAAAGTACGTGACACCTGTCCAACTTTTGGATGAAATCCTACGGTTTGGTGACATTTCTTGCCAGTCATCACCGAAGGTAGACGTTTTCCCACGACAAGACCAAATAGTTTCTCTTTTTGAGGACACTTCATTTACTTCGAAAGGACAATCATTGCCAACAGGTCGCACATGAACCCGCTTCCAATCTCCCTTTTGATCGTCATATGCCCAAAAGTCATTTTCATTTTCGGGTTTCGCCTTGCCTGCACGAGGAGCCAAGTGCTTACTCTCGCGCGGTTCGGCTTCGACGATGGGGATGTTTTTTAACTTGGATTTCACGGCTTCTTTGAGTGCAACATGCATAGAAGTATCAACAATTTCAACAGGCTTTTCTTCCTTTTTGGATTCGGCTTCTTTTGCAATCTTTTCTTCCTCCAACAACCTCCCAATCCTAGCATGACATTCATCAGTATGACGAACACCCTCAGCTATCCTTTCACAACCTTTGCAACCAATGGTTTTTCCAAAACGGATGCATCGTTCGAGTGTCACATAAGCCTTACGGATTCTTTTGACGGGGCCTGGTGCATTCTCATCCAACGGAAGTGCGTCCCTTGGCTCGATCTTTGGCAAATCGGCTTCTGAGCGGAACAAGGACAACTGAGCATTGGTGGCTTCTTCAAGTGGAAAAATAAACACTTCAGGCATTACCAGTTCAGAGGTATACACTTGGATAAGTTTTTCACAACCCTGTTTGTTTGCGCGAACGGCTTCATAGTCCAGCACTAAATGCACTCCCCTGAACTTGTATCCATTGTCAATTCTCCAACCACAGAAGATACCAGGATATGTTCTGGGATCGAAAGCTGGCAACTCACGGTGCTTAGGAGGTTTGTACCAAACTAAGGCTCCATACGGAATTTTGTACCCTGTGAATGGTTCCCCTGAAGCAACTTCAAAGCAAGTTTTGCCCTCTTTCAACTTTTTGGCTTCCGGTGTTTCTTTTGGGTGCGCCGGACATGGAGTGGTGATTGCATGCGCGACACAAAAGTACTCTATGCTACGCGACCAAAATTCATGTGGAAGTCCTGCGTTCAATTGGACGGCATGAGTGCTTTCTTTGATTCTTCTGATCAGGCTTTCAGTTTAGCATTATTATATGGATCGTTTTCGATTCCCAGGCTCACTTAACCATCCAAGATGCTCGACAGCTTTTGTCAGCTCCTGAGCGCAATCGGTTTTTACTGTACACGAGGATCGGGGGGAAGCTTTCGTGCCTGCGAATTTCTGCAATGCTAAGATGTTAGAATCCGTGTCGAGGTTGCTCATGGAAAAGGCTCCTATGCATCCTGAAAACTCACCTAAAAAAATCAAACAAGCTTGCTCTCCACCTGCACCCTTAGTCAAATCCGACCCTTGGATGATGTGATCTGCCCGCATCATATGCCCATAGTGTAATGGAGGTACTTCATCTTCGTCAGGTTCCCCCCTTGACCTATGAACTCGTCCTGTCATTCTTGATCTTTGGCAAACCAAACAATACATATTTTTGGGAAAGTGGCTCAGCTGATGCTTTTCCGATTTGGATTCTTCAATCAGGCGATCCCTTAAAGATGGTGTCCATGGATTAGCTTCTTCATCCTCTTCATCAAGTGGCTTATCCAATGGCTCCATACTGGGTTCCTCGCACAACATGATTTCATCTCCAAAATGCGGAAGGTTTTCTGGCTTCAACTTAAGGCTTTTACCACTTCCCTTAGGCAAGTCTGGTGGTGTTACAGCCTTTGGCGGCTCAGGTTTCGGCAAACCAGGTAAATCAGTGGGAGGAACAACCAAATCTTTGGGGTCTATTCCAACAACTTCATCTACGCACCTCATTTCAGGGATGTCGTAGTATGCAGGATCAACCCTTTCTGACTCGGCCGGCGCTGCACCTACCCAGTCACGAACCACTGGGACGTTCTCCCTCACTTCAAGAGGGATCTTGGCACTCTGAGGACCGAAGTGCTTCAAGTCGCCCAAACGGTCGGCACGGACAAGATACGGAAGTCCATACAAAACCTCTTTTGTGTTGATTTACCTGGATCCCCAGCGATAAGGCATGAGGACATGATGCCAATGTGTAGAAGGTGTTTTTGCCACTTATTTGCCCCTGAAGTTCTATTGCATTTGATGCTTTACGTTCCCCACCCGCGGTCTTAAAGATCAAGTTTTCTGGTGGGTCTCCGATGCATGGCAACCATTCTTCAGGCATGGACTCCTTTGACAGCAAATCTCTACCGGCACCTGAATCCAGTAAGAACTCCATTCCAACGGGGTTCGCAGCCATTGCAGGGGTGCTAGAATTATCCAGTTGACACATCTGATTACAGCATGTTATGGCCGTCATGATGGTCGTTACAGCTTTGGCCAGCAGATTCATGCATGGGAGCTTAACTGAACTTCTAGACAGCTTTCTACAAACTTTCTTGGCTTGGCTCAGGGCGGCGTTTGCCGTGGGAATCGCTGAGAAGGCTGTGGCTGTCGCTGCGGCAACTGATACAACTCCGGCATTCTGGCTTGAGGTGGGGGTGCTGGACTTTACTCGAGGTTTGTTCCCCTTATACAGGTTGGACTTGTCATGCAAGTACTCGCAATTTGCGCCTTTCGAGCAACTGTCAAACACGAAATAATGCGAAATACCTACACGGCATTTTGGCTTTCTGCTCTTTGGTGAGTTCTGGCCTGTCCCCTTTATCCTTTGCACCTTTGCCATCCTTTCCTTTGCCTTAAGGCATCAACATTGGTTTCTTCCTTCCTTTTGTTTTGCGTTTCTGCGCTTGTTTTGCCATCGGACTTTGCTTCTGGCTTTTCTTTTGTCTCTTTCTTTGGCTTTGATGTTTTCTCGGGCTTTTCTTTTGTTTTGGTCTTGGGATCAGCTTGAGCACCTGAAATTTTGCTTTCCTGGCCTCCTACAGTCAAGGCTTTGTCGACTGAAGCTGTGTTGACATCCATTTGAGAGATCTCAATTGCTTCAATCATCTTGCCGTAGAGCCATGTGCTCGTACGTTTGCTGCTCCCTTGACGAGCCTCACGATACTTATCAATAGCCAAAGCCATTTTTGGTTGATTTTTGAGATTTTCAAATCGCAACGATTTCAAGGAGTTCTCTGGTGGCAATTCGGTGGCCTCCAAGGCTCCGTAGCAGTAGTCGCAATGCTGTTTGAATTCTTCCAATGCCTTGACATCATTGCCTCCCATTTTGAGAGACAAGAGGTGATGCTGTGACAACGCAGTTCCTCTGTCACGGTCGAATCGAAATTTTTGGAAAACATGCCATAGCAACATTCGACCTTTTGGCTGCTTGTTTACAGCTTGAAACCTCTCCTGGAAAGTCTGGAATTCCATAGCGAACTTTGTTGATTTTGCTAGTTCAAGCATTTTGGACCCCAGAATTCTATCCAAGATTGGGTAGTCACCAGATGAATTGAATTCATCCCCAATTTCCGAAGTGTTGCATAGGCTAATCGATTTGAAAACTTGACTTTCACCATTCTTTGCATATTTACGAATGATGCTAAACACTGTGTTTCTAAAGCTCCTACACCTAGCAGCATCGGCCGGCAAGGGTGGTAGCTTCATTTGATCATAGTATTAGACTCTCTTGGTTTTCTTTTCGATTCTATATGGATCCCTTTCTCCGCTTGAACCAGTGCTGGAAACACCATCGCCTAAAGGGGATTCTGGACCTGACGGTGGCCCGCTCCCTCCAGGCTTGCCTCTTCCGCCCTTCTTGGAGCGTGAGCTGGACGAAGGCGATGATGGCCCGCTTCCTGGTGGCGACTGAGGAACCCTTGGACTCATTGGAAGGCGGTCTGCGTTGACCTTTGAGAGTGAATTTCATTTGCTATTGTTTGCACTTGATTTGCCAACTGTTGGACTTGGATGCTCAATGCCATGTTCTGATCACCTTGAATTTGATTCCCTACCTGCCAGTTCCTAAGAATTTCTGGAGGCAACACAATTTTGGTGGGCACTTCAGATCCATGATTGGGTTCCTTTTGGCTTGAGCTTCAAATTGGAAGGCCTCATTTTTGGCAATAACTTCGAATTGAAGGGCCTCATTTTTGGCATTAACTTCGAATTGAAGGGCCTCATTTTTGGCATTAGCTTCAACCTGAAAGGCCTGGAACTTCGCTGGGTCCGTTTTCTGGACTTGCAACGCCTGAATCATGTTATTTTGATCCTTTATTTGGTTCATCGTAACATCCATTTGACTCTGCATCTCAACCAATTGATTTTGGGTAATTACCAATGCTTCATGTTTTTCTTGGAGTGCACCGGCAACTTGAACAACTTGTTGGGACCTTTCAGCTAGCAACATCTTAAGATGCTCAATCTGTCCCTGACTATTCAAAACTTCCCGCTGGACATTTTGGACCACCCTGGAGGAATCTCCCTGGGATTGGGTTACCCGCATGGTTGCTTCATCAAGGGACTGCCTAATCCTATTACTGGTTTCAGCTTCTATGGCTTGGACCCGCGACTGGAATTGATTTTCTAAGGCATTTATTTGTGACTGAGCTTGGGCTTTCGCAACACAGGCATATTGCATAGCTTGGGAATTGGCATTAGCTTCAGCGGTCTTAGCAAATTGAAGGGCCTGACTCTTGGCCTTGGCTTCAAATTGAAGGGCCTCATTTCTGGCATTAGCTTCAAACTGAAGGGCCTGGTTCATGGCATTTACTTCAAATTGGGACACATACTGGACCACTGGAGGGCCTGATCCCTAGCATCAGCAACCATTTGGTGAGCCTGAGCTACAGCCAATGGGCTAGCATCCAACAAATTGACTACCCTGGCACGTGTGAATTGCAAAGCCTGATTGTCTTTGACAGTGACATTGCGTGCATCGATATTATGGACTGCTTGGTGATACTCATAGCTGTGCATGACTGTTGGTTTTCCCTTAGGGATGGATAGACCCGATGACGATGTTTCTGTTGACATACTCGAGTCTTGGATTGGGGTAGAAACAGCTTGGGCCACTGGTACAAGCCCTAATGACCCTTCATATGCCATATGCTCCATTTTTCTGACGCCTTGGCGCTTCAATGCTTGGCAATTGATCAGGGGCGTAGGAATCTTCCCAAACAAGCCTGAACAGAGTGATCACCAAAAAAAATGGCCTGCACGTACTCGTCGCAGCCCTCAGATTGCCTCTTCCTCCTCAACTTGATATGGACTCCCTTAACCTCTTCTGGATCAAATGTCTGACGCAAGTGCTCAATGATCTCTACCTTGTCGTCTACCAGAATTGCTGTCTCGCGATCTCCTCTTCTGTCTCCGAGCGAATCACGAAAAGTCTGGATCACGTGTAAAGATTACCCCTGAAATTAAATCCTGGGCCCCTGCACGGTTCCACTGTTGTACGACTGACTCCAATCTGTCGTCTGAATGTACGCAACTCAGAACAAAAATCCACCTCTGCTCTCCTGAATCCACTTTCAAGTGACGAAGCACTTCAAGATTCTGCGGAGGGATTCTCCCTGAAGTCCATGAACACTCTTCCCAATGTCTGTCTAGGACCTGATGATGATCCACAAACAAAAACTTGGCTTCGGATACCTGGACGTGAGATAAAGCAATTCTGCCTTGAGGCCTTGCAAGTAAAAAATCCACCGCCGCCTGTCGAAATGTACGAACTAACGGATTCCGGCAACAACACTACAATGCTCTCACCTCTCAACGCTGTGGATCTCCGATCTGCTTCGGCCAACCTCGTTTGCACTGCTGTGTTGACTTGTACCCTTGATCTCGCAAGAAAATTGAATGTCTCAAGCGCTGGGAATGTACCTGTTGACAAATGTCGATGTGTCGGTGACAAGTACCCAAGTCGAACTCCTTCACGGATGAACGCAACTTTTTGTGCGCGGCCCCTTGTGCCTGACCGTGGGAACCACAACAATTGGTGCAACTCTTCGTATTCCGGGTGCTCGGGATCAGCAGGTTCAGCTGGTACTGCGTCCCGAGCACCCGAAGAAGAAGCAGAGGCTATGGCTACCACAAAGAAAGCCTTACGGCTGATAACCAAGAGAAACGAGTTTCGGGCAGCAGTCCTGCTTCTTGAGCCAAAGCGACAAGTAAGACAACAATTTAAGTTGTCAAGTGACCTGCAAACTGAATTCCCGGCTTAAACCTTTTAGGTAAGCTCATGCATTTAGGAATTCCAGTTAAACTTTGGATGTTTGTGATACTAACTGCGGGACCCTACCCTGGTGAGCCATGTGCTACAACCAGGTGCATGAGTGATGTCACATTTGGGATTGATTTTACCCGCATCCATTCTTCTCCAATCCACCTTAGACTCACAATGCATTTCACCAGGCATCACCATGGATGTCAGTGGTGGCGCCTCGCCACTGCAGCGTGGCAGCCAGCCAGGTGAAACTGCCACCCCCTCCCAGGATCAACACGTCGGAGCTGCTGATGTGATCCAAGTCCTCGCTGGCTTCCGTGATGGAAATCCGATAGGAAATGCCCAAGGAAAATGGATCAGTTGGATGATAATTTTGGAATAAAGTCGATGTGAATCATCATCCTTAAAAAGCCAGGTTTGGGATACGATCAATTATTTAAGAACAAAACGCCAGGCTTTCTGTAGGTTTGAAGCTCAAACCATTGAAAATTGAAGTTCTCATCAATCCTGAGCTGAAAAGGAAGGGGTGTACCACTCTAGTGGCAGATTATCATTATTTGAAAGGATCCAATTGATCAAACAAGTCCATTCTTCAGGTGGTTGGCATTTTGGGTGACAATTGAACATATATACTTGGATTTGCTTAAGGGATCCCCCCAAAAAATAAACCATATTCATTTAATCGATTCCCCAGTCATGGTGGATTTTCCATTGGGAAAATAAGCCAACTCACTAAAGAAAGCCAGGGAATAATCCTGCCACCTACAGCAATGACCATGGAAATATGGTAGACATCTTGGAAGACCTGGCCTGGGATCATCCTGGATCATCTTACCCTTCCGTAATCTAACATAACTATTGAAGCCATGGCCCATTCATAGTGGATTTACCTATAAAAAATGGTGATTTTCCATAGTTATGTTAGTTTACCAGAGGGTAAAACAGATGATTAATCGTGAGAGTTTGATAATTAATATTAATATTTGACAATTAATCATGACAATGGCTAATATTAACAATGGTTCGAGTTAGTTGAATATTAATGTGACAATGGCTAATCATGACCATTAATACTTGGTTATGGTTGATAATGGTTGATGTAGTACCATTAATCATGAACATTTGGTTAATATAGTACCATTAATTAGGTGATTCCTCTATATATATATAGAGATTTAAAAAAAAACAACAACAACAACGGAACGGACTGAACCTGCCGGGGAATCGGACTGCAAAGCTACCGGTGCTACATCTGCCTTGGGATTCTTCACCACCTCAGTGCAGCTGTGGTACAAACATAGAATCAATAGGGTACAAACTTGTTGTTCAATAGGATTATCGTGGCATTATCAATTGACCAATGTTCTTGGTGAATTGCAACCACATCTGAATTATCAATAGGTTCTAAAGATGTTCAATGATTTTTACACGTCACATGATGGTTTGTATTTGTAGTATAGTATGGAGTACACGGTATTACTACCCACGGACGCCGCGTGTTGCCCAGACATTAACATTGAGAATGTCGTGTTGTTGAATAAGATAGGAGAGATTCTCGGAGAGATTGCAGAAAATACTGCTAATATACACAGAATTTTCTTGTTTATTCAAAGTTTTCAGGCTTTAGGTTTTAGGGTTTGACGAGACACCAAAATTTCAGCCTCAAGGCGCTTCAAGCAGGTGAATTCCTCCAGGGTAGCTTGAATTGGCATGGAGACCTACAAGGGATCGATCCTCCCGAGTCATATTTCTTGGTATATAACTATTATATAATCCCCATGCACTTCGATCATGTTCGGCAAAAAAAACACAAAGCCTAGAATTCACCCACTGAGCTGTAGCAACTGAGCTAAGTATGGGGTAGCACCTTGTAGTCTAACATCACCATCAACCAAACACCAGACATAACCATCCAAGCTGGTCCTCCGATGTCACATTCACCTGGCCGATGAGCAAAATCTTCGTCGTTTCGACAGAGATCCAGGGCAAAGCAATGGATCTGGGGCCGTACCGTGGATTCTCTGAACTTGGACACATCAGTCGATGGTTTGTCGTCAACCTGGTTGGTGGTGACTTAACCATCTTGAAAAAAATAAGTTCGTCAGTCGGGATGATGACATTCCCATATATGAAATGGAACATAAAACATGTTTGAAACCACCAGCCAGATATGGTTTGTCGTCAATGTCTCAATCAACAAACTGACGAAAGGGGCACACAGAAAGGGGATTTTTACGGTGCATAGCCTATCAGACAAAGCCATTGAAATACATGAGGCCAGGATCAAATGCAACCAAGTTGTCTCCACTTATGGGTAGTAACATGTCATAATTCCATCACACCGCATCTATGTCTGGTGGGGTCCAGCATCTTACCATCTTCTGAGTATATGGATGTGCTTTCCGGGGTCCCGGCCCTGTCTAAATTTGTGGCCCCAACACTATGGGATCATCCTCCAAACAGTGCAGCTAACGTTGGCCATTCCCACCTCCATGAGCTCCCTGTTCATTGATGCTTAAATCCCAAATATCTGGTGCTGCACTGCAGTTCCCAACATCTAACTGGACCACATCAACACCAAGGGGCAGGTCCCGCAAAGCGTTGAGATACAAATAGAGAGGACCTGGTTGAAGCACCGCGATGTGCCATGGGAAACCATGGCCCCTTTAAAAGGCCCATATTTCCTTCCATGATTTTCATCCTGAAACCTTGACGGGTCACGCATGTTGGACCGTTCGACGCCAACTTCCGTGGCAACACTTCTGTATGGCTTCAGAATTGAGCCACTAGTTGAAGAATCTCAGGGTTTAAGGAAAAAATGCACGGGAACCGTATATTTCTTAACAAAAACCCTGCCTTCCTATAGATTTTGCCTTGTACCAATCTATTGAACGAATGAAGAAATGCCTAAACCATCCCAACTGCCGAAATCTGATGAGTTAATGATGGGTCTTCAATTGCGACCTTCAGCGTGTGAACCCATCATGTCTGGAACCTCTTTCGCTGGCGCTGAAACCTTGATTTGCTGGTTCCCATCTAGGTACTAACAGGGAAATTGTCGGTAAACAGCCATTCATAATCAGCCTGCGCCCGCATCATTTTCCACTTGTTTTTGGATAAACACCATGAAAAATTAATTACATGTTTATTGGATAAATGACGTTCAAGAATCACCCCAAAAGTGGAGTTTTCCTAAGGTCCTAAAGTTGCCCATCATTTCCCATCATAAAAAACAACTAAAATATACTAAAATAATGTTTTTCGTGTTTTCAGATAAAACCATCTAACATATTCTAAAATCATAATTTGTCCATCATGTTTCCAATCATTTCCCATCAATAAACCCATCAAACTTCCCAATTGTCCATCATGTTAATGGAAAGTCATAAAGCTCATGTTCCAAACCACCAACCAGATCACCATCATATTCCCATTGTTGGTTTATACCCTATGAAAACCACTATTCATATCACTATTAACCACTATGGTAACCATATGTCCATATTAATAGTGGTTAATTGTGATGCATAAATGAATATATATATATAGCATATATCTATTATGTGATATTAACCACTATTAATATACTTGGTGGCTCATCCCACTTAGTAAGTGGGTTATAACCCCAGTTATAAATGGGATAAGTAGGGTTAATCCACTTATAACTGGGGTTATAACCCACTTACTAAGTGGGATGAGCCACCACGGTAATACTGTGTCCTGTCCATATTATAGATTTTCCATAAATCGACCTTCCCTCCAGGCCACAGGCTGCCGGGCGGTCGCCCCGCCGCAGCTGCAAAGCTATGCGCAGACGGCGCCGCCGGCCGGGCCGCCGCGCGCGGCTGTCGGCGTCGTCGGCGTCGTCGTCGTCGTCGTCGCCTTGGGAAATGCACAGAAGAAGCGGAAAACCATGGGAAAACCATAGGAAAACCACTTTTTGAATGGGAACATGTTGGAAAACCATGGGGACACCATAGGAACATATGGGAAACATGTAGAAAGATATGGGAACATGTTTAAAAAAAACATGGTAAAACCATGGGAAAACAATAATGGGAACATGTAGAAAACGGAAGATGTGGGAAAATGTCGGAACATCGGAACATTTGGACACATGTAGGAAAAAAGGGATGACATATAGGAAAATCATGGAACATCATCTACAACATGAGGAGGTTTTGATGGGGATATGTTATTAGCCTGATGGATTCCGAAAAAAAAACTGTATGTAAAATTTTGATCCCAAAAGCAAATCATCTGATTTCCAAGCGGCGGTCTTCATATTTATGTCTCGGCGCTTGATTCTGAACTGGTTGAGCTTGTCGCATCTACATCAGAGCTGCTTTCAGATACATCATATCCGTAGAGAAAGTTTCGTTCAGCAGTTTTTTTCAGGGAACAGCATCTTTTTCACAATCCCATGGCGGGGCCATATTGAAACATGGCGGAAAAGTTTGACAGTGTTACTGGGAAAATTAACCCATGAGTGGAACAGATTGCTATCAGGTCAATGACTTGGAACGCAGCGCACATGGGGTGAATGGTCTGCCGCCTGTGGGTTTTTGTCATTCTGACTGAACTCCTGATGTCGTTCAGAGGTCGTTCTGAGGTCGTTTGGGAGCCGAGAAAACTGGCTAAATAATGACCCTGGAATACACAATAATTATACAATCTGGGAATCAGACTCTTGTCTGAATTCCCCGGAACGGGTAGGGTCCTCTGTGTTTCTAGTGGACATGCACTTCTGCTTACTGTCTTGGGTGCGCCAAGGATAAATTCCTTATAAAATGGCCCTGTCTCCAAACATTTTTTGTGCACGTGCATTGGCATTGGTGGCACAGCACGGGGAAGAGTCTCGGGCTCGTAAAGACATGGTTCTAGAGGGAAACCACTCAGGCCGGGGTCTCGTTGCAGAGATTACAAAGACGGTGCCAGATGCAATTTGCCAGCCCCAAAACATGCATTTAGGGTGGTTCCGGGTGTAATTTGGCTGCTGATTTGTTCTAAATGCATCTAGACCTGTAAATATATGTAAATATATACTTATATAAAACTTATATACGTATATTTAGGAGGTCGTTCATGTCGTTCTGGATGTCGTTCAGAGGGTCGTTCCCCAACTAAATGGCACATTCCAAAATTACCAAAAACATCCGAAATAGCTGCGGCGGTGCCTGGAATTCTGAACGAAGGATCGCACAATACTACTGTAAATCAACCCCCCCTTTTTTGGGCTCAAATGATGATTTGGATGGTATATAATGAGATTCATGGCCTAGCAACAAATGTGCAAACAAATGCAGCTCTATTCCACAATACATGATATACATAGCCGGCTGGAAAATCCATTGTACATATCAATAATCATAAATCATGGCCTGAAAATTGGGAATACCTGGCATGTCTGAAGTAGCCTCTGGTCCTCAAACACATTGAACAAATCCAGTAGAACATCAAAAAATTGAGGTTTTCATGGGAAAATCCATCGAAGTGGTGGGTCGCCTCGCCCCTGCCATTCCCAGTATATCCCAGTCACCCCACGCAGTTGCAGATCGTCCCATGGCCGTGCGCACAAAATGGAACTGCTGCTGGATCCTGGCGGATTCATGTTTGATCCACATGAACAAAACTCTTGAAAGATCCTGTTGGTCATGGGCCCAAGTGGTTTTTTGATGTTTTTTTGGGGTAAAAAAAAAAAGCAACTGGCCTCTCTTTTTGTTTTCGGCTTTAACTACATAGCACTTCGACTGCAGATTCGGCCTGGAACCAGAATTAATACGTATACCCTCTGGTAATTTAACATAGCTATTGAAAATGGCCATTTATAGTGAGTTTTTCCATTAAAAATGGTGATTTTCCATAGTTATGTTAGTTTACCAGAGGGTATCTAACCTCTGTCAATGGCAATATGAATCCGGATTATCCATTCTCCTCTGGAAAAAGTTGGTGGTTGAGCCACCCCTCTGAAAAATATGAAAGTCAATGGGAAGGACGACATCCCATATAATATGGAACAAATAATCCAAATGTTCCAAACCACCTACCAGATCACCATCATTCCCATTGTTGGTCTATACCCTATGAAAACCACTATTCATATCACTATTAACCACTATATGGTAACCATATGTCCATATTAATAGTGGTTAATTGTGACATTAATAAATCAATATATATATAGCATATATCTATTATGTGATATTAACCACTATTAATATCAATGGGAATTTCAGGATCCTAAGATGGAGGTACTGTACCATATAAGGCCATATTTTGGGGGTATATCCCCTTACATAGGCCTTACATAGGCCTGAAAAATAGGCCTTATATATGGTAGGTACCTCCAATGAATCGGTTCCTGAAATGGCCATTGATTAATATACCACTGTGTCCATATTATAGATGCTTAGCTGCTACCAGGATGTTCTGTCCAGCGCCAGGTCGTTTCGTGCGTCACGGTGAAGATTTCACGGCACGGGGGGTTCAGCTCCCAAACCTGGTGGACACGAGCCGAAACATGGGAATGTTGACGGATGATGTCAGGATACCAACAAAAAAAAATGTGTTATTTATATACGCTCTGGTAAACTAACATAACTATGAGAATTCACCATTTTTAATGGGAAAACTCTCTATAAATGGCCATTTTCAATAGCTATGTTAAATCACCAGAGGGTAAATAGCAGGGGAAAATGGATGAACATGGGAAAATAAATAGGAAACAATACTGGTTATATAATGTTATATACCCTCTGGTAATTTAACATAGCGATTGAACATGGCAATTTTTAATGGGAAAATCAACTATCGCCATTTTCAATAGCTATGCTAAATTACCAGAGCGTATATACACTGGAGAACATGGATGAACATGGGAAATTGAGGTGGATACTGTACTCGGATACCTTCACAAAGATTTCCGTATCACAAAAAACAATTGAAGTTGATGGGGGCACGTTCAGATATTCAAAGCCTTCAGGGACATGAACACATTTTGCTGAGACAAACCCTGTTTGAGACATTGCCACACAGTGTGGATTGATAGACCAAGCCTCAAGCAGACCTGTAACGTAGTAGACCCAGCCAGAAACCTCCAATTGAGGATTGTCTTGACCCCCGTATCTCTAGTGAAATTGGGGAGAGCGTATTATATTGGGCTTGCCACATTGCCTTGCTGCCATGGTACAAATGTGTCACTTCAGATGTGCCCCCGTTTATTCCTGGGAAGTTGCAGTCCCCAAAGTCTTGTACTTGGATGTGCATCCCAGTTCATAAGTGATTTTTCAACTTTTATTAAATTATATAAAATTATACTATACCATAAGTTTTTTCATTAATTAATCTAACATGGACTATTTCATTTGGTTATACAGAAGCACTACCTGGGATGCACCTCCAAGTAGATCTTGAGCGTCCCCCGCGGTGCACCTGAGCTTGCGGCGGATCCACGTACCAGGCACTGCTGCGCAACAGCGGTTGGCCGTACTTGTAGCGGAGCACATAGTGTGGCGAGCCGTCGTACTTCAACTGAACTCGGGCCGTGGTCCTGAATTTTGGAGAAAATATTGAGAAACAAATTGGCAAAAATATTGGGAAACATGGGAACATATTGGCAAAACATCAGGAAAATTATTGGGAAACATGGGAAACACATGGGTGAACTTGATGTTCCCCTGTGTGGACTATGGGGATGTATATGGATGTATCAAAAGCGCTCCAAACCTATAGTGCCAGATTCTTGGGAAAGAGCATCTATATTTATACCAGCTGTTTTCATCTTCACAAGGGTACCAGGCTGTTGACACTCATATGTAGAATCAAGAAAAGAAGTGTAGCACATACATATATAATTATATATTATAGAATATATATAATATAATATACATAATAAAATATGTATAATATAATATAATATAATATAAATAAAATATAATATAACATAATGTAATAATATATATATGATAAAATAAAGAATGAATATATATATATATATCCTATAAAAATATGAATATATAATAATATATATATATATAGATTTAAGATATAATAGATATATATAAACTAGAATATAATACAACATAATATATATATATAATACAAAATAATAATAATAATAAATGTATAGAATACAAAATAAAAACTAGATATATTGAATCTAATATACATATATATATATATCTATATACAAAATAAATTATAATATAACATAATATAACATAAAACAATATATAATAGAATATAGTATATATAAAACATAAATAGGATATAATATACATATATACACGTATATTATATACTATATATAATATAATATATATCAAATAATATATAATATAAAATAATTTAAAATAATATAAATAATATAATAACATGTAATGTAATGTAATGTAATATAATAAAAAACAATATACTATAAAAAACATATAATATCACATAAATAATGTAATTTAATATATATATAATAGTGTATAATATAAATAAAATAATTTAATATACATATATAATAGTATACAATATATATATACTATAATATATATATATAATAAAATAAAATATAATATAATAAAATATAATATACTATAATATATATATATATGCTAAAATATAATATAACAAAGTATAATATAATATAATATAATATTACATAATATACTATATATATAATATAATATATATATATAATATAATATAAATTTTAAAAATATATAATAAAATATAATATAATAAACTAAAATATAATATAATAATATAATATAATATATATAATATAATATAATTATAATATAATATAATTATATATTTAAATAATATAATATAATTTAGTATAATATAATATAATATAATATAATATAATATATATATATATATAAGAATATAATATATAATATACAATATAATAGATATTTCATGATGTTCACTTCAACGAAGTCAGGGGGTCTAACTCCAAAAACACCATGGTTATCATGGGTTCTCATCGCCAGGCGTAGGTCCTGCTCCCTTTTCTGATGGAGTAGGAAGTTTCTCTTTGGAAGGCCATTCAAGCCATTTGTATTGGAATGTGTTCGACCCAGGAATTAATAGGAATCCTAATTTGTTCAACACCGTGCTTATTTCACTGACTTAAATGCAATGTATGACACCCTCAATCATATCTTGCGGGTTTTTCTGTCCCTGTTTCAAGTGAATATCGACTCCTGTTTTCAACATAGACCTGTAGGTTGACGTGGCACCATGGAGAGCAATCTCACCTCATCAGGAGCTCTCTTCAAGGTTGAATCATTACCCCCCAACATCCCAAAATGAAATCTTTAGGGGCTTAGTGGAGCCCATTTCTGTCGCCATTCTAATTTCGGTTGTTTAAGTCTAATAGCTTCCCCCTGAATCCAGTGGTTTAGCCATTGAAAAATAGCAATTTCGCTCAGATTTCCGGTAGTGTATAGTAGCAATAAAATAGTGACGAATTAAGCAAAACTGCATGGTTTTTGAGGTGTAAATATAGCAACCCCCGTTTCCCACAAGATCACAAGATGCCGATGTTTTCGTGTTCCCAGAATGGTTGTTTCCAGAATGTTTCCCCGTTTTTTTTCCAGATTTAGAGAACTTGTTTAAGGCATCTTTTTGGGGGCCTAAAAAGAACACATAGGATCCATTGGGATGATTTTTCCAATAACCTCTTGAAATCACCACCCACTTGTTGTCGTGAAAAAACATCAAACAAACTGGGCTATATCCCTAGTCATTGATGGGTAAATTGGTTAAACATTTGTTAAATTCCCGGAAATGTGGTGTAAATCCCCAATTTTTCCAGACAGCTCCAAGTGGCAGCCCCTTGATAGCCGTGGCGGCCACCACTCTGCTGGGGTCTCCGGTCACATTGGACGAACAGCCAAAGAGGTGCCCCACATTGCCAGTGCCGTGGCCTCCTGTGAGAATCGGAAAGAATGGAATTTCTGGAGTCTTGTTGATATGTATAGTGAATGCATAAATACTTAGTATATGACATGTAGTCATCCTGGAGTAGACAGAATATGGATGATTATGTCCAAAAAACCAAACAAATGATTGAACTGTGGATATTCTATACGTCTAAGTTATATTATATAATAACAATGAAACAAATAGGTATAATCATTGTATGTTCTACGAATCTTGCTGATTGAATAGAGCTTATTGATGTGTATCCCCAATGCTCCATGTATGAATTCTTTACCAACACCCACTCACTGATCCAAATGTAGGGACATACTCTATACATGGAGCATATGCGTATGATAAACAAGTGGGTATATCATGAATATATTAATGAATCCATACAACAAACAAGTGGATAGATGATATACCATACATGATATCTATGGATATCTATGGAAGATCATTATTCAATGAATCCATAAGATGATCTGAAATGACGATTTGTGGATATGTACTTATATATGTGTGGGGAATGATAAATAAGGTCATTAGTCCAGTGCCGCCTGCAAGCAAATAGCATCCAAGTACCTAAAAATCAACGGAACACAACCTCCAATGGATTTCGTGATGATTCCGTGACACAAAATCTTTGTCAAGCACACTGTCACAGCATGTTCCAAAATTTTCACTCCTTCACTTTCCAGATGTGTCTTCCCATCATCCCTATCTCCAACAAAAATCGCACCTGTGGGCCAGTCCGCCTCATGGCACACATAGGCGCAGTGATACCGCGTGGCGATGGCGATGACCCACTCCATGCGTCGGAAGAGGCCGCCGATCCCTTCGCCGTGGCTGCACACGTGGCCAGTGCGGACGAAGCAGGGCGAGGCCTCACAGGATCTCACAGGTGGAGCAGTGACCAGTGGATGGTTGGCCGTAGATGGAAATCCCTCATGATTGGTTCATGATTGTTATAGATGTAAATGTATATAATCTATAGGAATCTATAAATCCCCTGATGATTGGTGAACATGATACAGTATATATAATATACATTAATATACACTAGAATACATTAAAATACATTAAAATCATTTAAACTCACTATCATGGGCTATCATCATATTGTATATATCATCCACACAGCCCAATGGATCTATTGCAAAAACCACAGTGGGATCCTATAACTCCTACACTGCTTGGTGGTTTCACCCCCATCATCCCATTTCTAGGGTTGAACATCAACGAAAACAGCAGCATCATTGGTTACATATTTCATCATAGCCCATATCCCATAGGATCCATGTATGGTATATATGCTAACATTGGGTGTATATTGATGGTAAATGTTACCATATATACCATACATGGATCCTATGGGTATGAAAAAAACATGTTGATCCATTTTGATATCCCAAATGATCATGATAGTTGGTTCAATACCCATGGTCAGTTTTTTTGATGGAACAAGAGCTCAATTCGCGACGCCAGCGACTTCCGAACTCGTGGATGAGATGACTTTGTTGGACGGCCAAACCGTCTCCTGAGGACAGGGGACACGACTTTGCCTTACTGGTGCTACAAGGTGGTGCCCCCCAAGTTATAAGTTGGTTTATAATCCCATTAACTATAGATATATCACCTATAAACATCTATAAACAATTTTTTTGGAGTTATTTGCACCAACTTAGCTATCGAACGGGGGCACCACCTTGTAAACGTAGGGTTGCTGGATGGGTTGCTGGGGGTTGCTGGGATGACTGATAGTTAGCCAGTGGATCATTCCCGAAAATTCCCCGCGAAAAACGCACCAGGAGAGGTTGCTGCAACGTAGACCCTCCGAGTACTAAGAAATGGCTATGAAATGGCCACCAATAGACTGGAAGACCCATTTTTACGGGTACTTGGTGGGTCCAGGAGTGCTTCATGTTAATGTGGAGATGTTTTTTGATCATTATAGATCCAGGAAACGATTACAGTATTTACATTTATTCAGTATGTTTCAATACAATGTTTCGCCCACAATTACCTGTTGAAAAGGTTCTCCTCCTATTTTTTGCATAAGCTTTTGCGACTTTTGCAGAGTTTTAGATCAGGTCAAAAGCCATCAAAAGCCTTTTGGCAAACTTGTCTATTCCCTACCCTGGCCGTACCCAGAAAACGGGTCATCTTTGCTGCTTGGTGGTTTGACCATGTTCCCGAAGAAACCAGGGTTAGTAGCCATCCATTTTGATCCATTTTGGGTATCTCTGAGCCACAGCCACAACCATCCATAACCCAGGTGCGATGGCTGCATGCATCGCTTCCTTGACATTTCTTCGCTCGAGGATTCCTCCGGAATACAGCACCTTCACCAGCGACAACGCCATCAGAACAGCGATCCCAGGCCCAAGACATCTGGGCCCAGGTCCTGAATGACAGCAGCTTCCTGAACCGAACCATGTGTATACCCTGAATCAAACATGGCAAGCTGGAAAACCCCCGATCAAAATGGAGGCTTAAATCTGTTTTAATGGGAAAACACGGAAAACACATCTAGAAAAATATATGTACAATATCTGTACGATGGGTGATATAGATGTGCCATGCTCCATGACAAGTTTGAAAAGACCAAGCTCCCGGGCGATGGACAGAATAGAGAGCAGCCATAATTTACCGCATATCATAATATGTCTGTATACTGGTCACCTAGTCTACAATACCCCAAAGAGTCAAAAACAAACGGCATCCGAGCGCAAAGCATACACTGTGTTTCCCTTGATTTCACTATCGAGGTGAAATATCTTCTCTAAACTACCACAGAATGCCTCGTTTATCCCACCTCCTTACCTGGAAATGAGTAAAACTATACCTCATGGATGCTGATGGCGACACTGTGACTGAGTCGTGACTGAGGGTCTTTGCATCAACAGATCTGACCATGGCGTCTCGGACATGCTCCAGCATCAGCCTCCAGCTCTCTGTAGCACTGTTGTGTTGAGCCAAAGGCAGAGGCAAAATCTCAAGCATGGAGTGGCTCGACTGGTGGCTAGTTTAACCCCAGAAAAATACCTTCAGGTCGAGATCATCCGGGGACGACATATTGGAAGCCCCACCAACGACAGATTGGGTCCTGAATCCCGAGTATACTTACAAGTATGAACAGGGTCTTTGTCGCCCCAGCCTGGTGAAAACGCCAAGCAAACTGACATCGTGTGCAAGAGCACTCCATATGGCTGTCCCAGTAAAAGTGCCACAAACCAGATTTTTCTGCGCCAAAGGATACCCATCGTGGAGGTCCATGAAATGATGGATGGTTGAAGTCTCCATCTTCAAGAAACATTTGTCTCAATCATCTCCATCATCTCCATCTATTAGATAGCCATTTCATGCCTTTGGCTACTCCGCATTTGTCCTCCGTTTTTGTCCGTGCTCATTCTATCCCTGTCTTTGTGAAGGCTCAATCACCCCTCAGTCTCCTACATCAAACCCTCTCCCCTTATCTGCGTCCATCTTCAACCCCAAACCGATTGGACTTCAAAATACTTCAATCTATGGAAACTTTTGATTTCTCTCCGTTTATCTAAGTACTCCCCCCCAAAAAAGTACACCCCCAAAGGTCTTTCAGTCTTTCCCTGGCGCCTCCAGGGACGCCTCCACCAGCCGAACTTCGGCCCTCAGTTGCCGCAGACGCACCAGAAAGACCTGGCACTTCATCTGCCCCAAATCTGATCAGTGTATATATTATTATTGATCAACAGTGTATCATATCCACATATACTATCTATTGGATTATAGCTGTTGATCACCTGTGATTATAGGTTTTTGACCCATAAATATGTTGCCCCAAGTATGGGGGTGATCGTGATTGGTTTTTGACCCACCTTTTTGGTCTTCAACCTAAGGACTCAAAAACCACGATGTGAATACTGGACCAGATTGGCATCCAGCAACCCATACGGGCCGTATGTGTTGCTAATTACTTGCTTCATTGATAACAGGTTTTAATATCGGCGGTAAAGTCCACATATATATATATATGTATATTCCCAGGTATTGTAGTATCATGTAGTATCTATTATGAACCCAGTAGTATCTTTTCATCAGCTGGGTATTGTTCCCAACCTGCTCTTCTTACCATCAAACTCTGGCACCTGCTTGTCCGACACCGTTGAGTACAACTCGTTCTCGAGAGCAGCGGCATCCATGACCGCTCAGGCCAAAGCTAGGGCTGCCATGGGGGCACAAGCAACGTGGATTCTGCGGGTTTTAAACACCCTTGAAGCAGCGTCGCGTCAAAAATAGGCTTTGAGGCTTTTGTGTCTGCTGTAACCTTTGTGGCTGGGGGGGCTGACAACTGCCAGTCAGCTGAGCAACCAATCCTGCTGGCTGTTCGTTCTGGGCAGTGGCAGGGGGGTTCCAGTATCAACTCCCTGCGTCTTGGAGGGTGGAAAAACTCCTGGAACATATTGAGCAACCACCACAATACATGCAGAAATGTATAGAAATGTTATATTTACCAGGATTTTAGTGGGATTTTGAACCTTTCCTATCTTTAAGGTACAAGAGAAGCCTCTCTGCAGTGAACAATTCATAGCTTTTTGACGGCTTTTCCAAGTTCCAAAGCTCTGAGCCCCAGGCTCAAATTGCCCATGAAAAGGTCGATGATTTCCCGATCAAAATGATGTTTTTCCATAGCAACCTGTAACAAAAAAAACCAAGAGATTTCTTGGGCTTGGGCGATTTTGCTCAATACTAGAAACGACACATCCCAGCACGCGCTTGGCGGAATCGATCCATAGTTACTCGCTCGGATCATCTTCACATTGATACGGATGAAAACGTAACTACCATAGTTACTATAGTTACTTGAAATAAATATAGGTCAAAATTGTGTACCTATGGTCAATGTATTCCAAATTAATATCTATTATATTTTTTCTAAAATCATCTAAAATCGGGTCCTGGTCAGGGCTTACGCTTTGACCAAACCTCAAGTCACTATAACAATGTCATGAAACAAATCAAACCGAACGAACGCTGCGCACCTCCCCATGTCAGCTGTCCCAATAAACAACGGTAGGACTGGTGGTGCCCCAGTCAGCAACGGACTGATTGACGAGGAGTGCACAATCCACAAACCATGGGTCAGGATGGCACTCATACTCTAAATTAAAGATGTTTTCCATTTCTGCAGAGATCCTAGCAGCAAATGTTGGACACTACAAATGTTCACCACCCATTTCCAGGTCGTAAACTTTTGAGACATGTCGCATAGCATTGCAACCCCTTTCTTACCAACGTCCACATCTTCACTCCTTTTCCTGTCGACAAGACTTTGCGCTGGCAATGCGACCAATCCTGCAAGATGATGGGTAAACTCATTCCAACACTTGGAACGCCAATCTGTGCAACAGTGCCGATGGAGTAGTGCGCCAAATCACTTGGGGCAAAGTATATACATGCAGATATATACAGTAAATTCATTTCTATCAATTCCAAACTTTCATGTATAATTGTATAAATATTATAAATAAGCCATTTTGATTTCTGGCCACGTGGTCAAACATAGAGAGGTTGTCTTGACGTCAAAATAAGACCAGATCGGCTAGCGGCTAGAGCTGAATGGTCCTTCAGTCATCTGCTTGGTGGCACTTCTTCGCAAAAAAAAACAATTGGGCTCATTCTTCGAAGTAGATATGATAACGGAAAGCTATTGACATCATATGATATCATATGTATGCAGTATATATATATATATGACATATCGGAAACCAACAACCAAAAATGGCATACTCGGACAAATCATAATCGCGGCCTCGCGCTGTGGCAGTTAAATTGCACGTAATTATATAATTACTCAAAAAATGCATTTTTGAGTGCAATCAAACAATATCAAAACCAACCAGGTTTTCGATGTTTGTTCCAACATAGCAACAACCAAGACCTGCAACCGGTTGCACATCTGACCCTTGGATGCCATGGTGTTCTCTTCCAATGGAAGGCCGGCCCCAAATGTACTCCTTAGGCTCACAATCTCATTTTGGCTGATTCGCCATATCTTACAGTCAAATGGCAAGAGAATATCCTCCACAAATGCCATCCGTATCCAAATTTATACTGATCCCACTTTGTTGAATCATGTGGGTAAAACAATAATAAACCATCCCCCAAATCATCATAAATAGCTTTAAAAAACCATTCCAAATATTCCAAAATGGCTGGTTTATGGGCTGAATCCCACATTACCCACCCCAACATCAAGGGCCTATCCGCGAGCTCTTGAGGTTTGGAATGCTGTTACTTAAGTACTTAAGGATGTACCATCTGGTTATTTAACAAACATAGCCATGGAAAGATCCACCATTGTTAAGAACGGTAAACCATCTATTTCGATTAGGGCCATCTATACCATGGCGAACTGTTAGTCATAACCAGAGGGTATAAGTATATCCCATGTTTGACCATGTTTAAACATGTTCATGTTTAACTCATAAATGAAAGGATGCATCCACCGTGGCTGATCGTGGCTGTGAATCACTTGCTGACTGGGGTGTGCTTCAGTATAGAGGTTCACAAGATAGAAATGCCAATCATCAGTCATCTTCAAGTAGTGGGGGATCACTTTTCTACCTAGTGCCTCTCTTAACTTCTCTTATGCAGAATCCGTACCTGTATCAAATCAACTCTTCCAAACATGCCTGCATTTTAGTCTGGGGAAACCACTTTGAAATCTGGCATTTGTAACATTTGAGTGGAGGACTACGGTACGAGAAATCGAAGCAGCTACTCAGCACCTGCACCTTGGATGTGGACCCACACTTGGAGTTCACCATGCCCGCCGAAGCTAGTGCTAGTAGCATCGGAAAGAATCGGAAGGACCTCAACTTGGAACGCCCGAATTCCGGACCCGTTGCTTGTTTCGGTGGATGCCAAGAAAAGGCGAATATATGCGTATATCATAAAATAGCCATGTTAGTTCGGAAAATAAGGATTCCCATTGGATTTAGGGGTATCTCTTTTTCGGACAGACCCATTTATTTTGACATCTCTGAAGTCATTAGACGTGAATGTTGCATTACTCTACAGTAGTTATTGGAGTGATGCATGATACACATGCCAATGTTGAAATAATATACAACTTGTTGACCATAGTTTTTAGTACCACATGTTTACTTAAATGGGGTGTGAGTATGAAGCTATGAACTTCTTGTTGGTCTTACCACATGACAATATCTTCTAAGCCACAGGACTAAATCTGCCGATCTGCCACATCATGATGGATCGCAACTCAAGGCTATGGCTTGCGGCTTTTCGAAAGCTTCGCGAGAGAGTTCTGGGTTAAGTCCTGGTGCATAGCGAACGATCTCCCCCGATTAGGCATGGGTATTTCAATTCCTTGGTATGTTATAAGTTATTTAAAGGATTTTGATGAAATATGATAGTCTGCCCTGTAGGAAAAAAGTCATCCAATCGTTACTGGATATTGAATTCCTGGTAGTCCAAAATGGAACCAAATAGAGCTCTAATCATTTGGAAGGCCCTGGAAATATGCTCTGATCATGACTCATGTGTTTGAAGTTGTGGCAGCATTTATAAGGGATGTTATATGATGTCATCACAATCCCTGATATTCACTTTCAATATCTCACAGTACAAACATCTCAGTAATGTTAGTAAAGCAAGGCTTGATGACTTTGGGACATGGAATTTTAGTTCACATTTCCGGAAGGCAGCGGAGTTACAAGTGCGCTAGTCTGACGACAAAAAAAAACTTCCTGTCGATCTGTTGCAAGTGGGTCCAAATCCGTTCCACGTGTATTGATGACTGGATTCCACACGAGCAGGCCGTTCACATGAGTCTCTGCCCAAATCCCAAATCCCAACCAGAATCTAAGGTAAATTCTCTCAAATTTCCATACATCATCCCCAAACTGGTCTTAAGACAAGCCGTGTCCTCAAAAATGCCATAGGCCGTAGGAGGCACAGCAGCGCACTCGAAGAGGTCGATGGCCATCGAAGAGGTAGACATGAAAGGCTCGATCTGATGCTGAGTCCTTGTATTTTGCGATGGGCAAATGGGCTTTCAAACTGTACCCTCTGGTAATTTGCTGCATAGCTGTTGAAGCCATGGCCCATTTATAGTTGATTTACCTGTCAAAAATAGGGATTTTCCATAGTTTTTTGTATGTTTACCAGAGGGTAAAACTCGTGACTTGCAAGTCGTGTACTGCTTCAACCAGCATTTTTGCGATGGCAGATTCACAGTTGCTACCCACGTTGGATGTAACGAGCCTGGTGCCAAAGGTATATTAATGATAGATAATGGTATATAGACAATATTGAGGTATGATATTGGTATATATTGTCAATATGGTATATATACCTATTAATATGGCATATAAATATTGAATAATATTGAGGTATATAGACAATGGTCAAGAGTCAAGAGTGGTTGTCAATCATCTCATTGGGATCCGGGCTAACAGAAAATCGGTCAATCTGATAGGTACGACATGATAATTATTCTATATTATTCTTAGTATGAAAAGAATTAATTAGAACATATTAGAACCACCAGTAATATTCGAATGGGTGAATCACTTGATATTCTATGCAAATCATCAAGATTCACCACCCAAACCATGGTCTGCCACATCCTAGTCCTAGTCCGAAAGTGTTCAAAAAAAAGGGCCAGGGATCCAAGCGATAGGTCTCATATCCACAAAAAAAAAAACTATCTTTGCAGACTAAAACTCTTCGATTTAGAACAATTTACCAATTTTGCAATTGAAGCGGTTTTTTTTTGGTGCAACAATCCTGAACGCAGGTCAGGTCATATCACTCACCTACAGCGGTTGCAAATTGGGTGTTAACGATTTTCATTCTGAACTCCTCAATTAAACAACCAATACGAAAAGGACAATCGTACAACCCCATAACAACAATCCAACAAGAGACAAGGCCTGGATTTGGAGGTAAAAAATGGTTTCATTCGGTTTCATGAAAAAATATTAGAGCATAATATGGTATAATTGAAATGGGGTTTCCGTGAATAAACAATTAGAATATAATATAGTATAATTCGACCATGACTAAGGATTTTTTCTTCTCTTTCTCTCTCGCTCAATATATTCATGCATATGTGTATGTTAAGTTACCCATTGAAATCCACGGGTGCCATGGTTTCCCCAGCCACGAATCAGTTGCTTCATCAAAGCGAAGACCTGTCGCCACTCTGACGCGCGGCTGCAGCTGCGCGTCAAGGCATCGTGAGAAACGTCCGACACGGCACGGCTGCCTCGTGCCACTTGTGCCAGGTAGTGGATTGGGTGGTAACCGGGTGGTTAATAACCCATATATATATGGTTCATTATGTTAAATGGTGTATATATAATAGTTAGTATATGTATATGTATATATATATATGGTTGGTGGTTTCAACCATCTTGAAAAATATGAGTTCCTCAGTTGGGATGATGACATTCCCAATACATGGAAAAATAAAAAATGTTCCAAACCACCAACCAGTATAATAGGTTTAGTTGTAGATGGGTTTAATTAACTATAAATGCGTCAAGAATCCATCTTATAGTGGTAGTCAATAACCATAGTTAAACCCCATTTGTAGATGGGTTAAGCCACTTAGGGAAGTTACTGACAAGGGCTTTTAACCAGTTACTATAACTGGGGTGAGCCAAGAAATTAGGACCTGGTGCCTGGATGGACGATCTTGGATGATGGTCCTACCAAGCATCAACCTATAGTGGTTGGGAAGCGTGACTTAGCTTGGCATGTCCAGAATTGGGATTGTCACAACATCCCATGTATTTTTCGTGGTTTGCGGCCTGACTGACTGATCACTTGCCGGGCATATCTTCCCAGCGATTGCGGATGGTGAACTCCTCCATGTTCTTGTCATGTTTACACTACATGGCTTTGTCTAAAAATGATGAAGACCACAGAGCAGTTCTTCCGAAGAATACAACTTTTCAAAACATGTTTTTTTTTGTCAGCGGTTTACTCAATTTTCCTGACACATATATACATGCCTGGTTGGTGGTGCAATAATCATCTTGAAAAATATGAAAGTCAATGGGAAGGATGACATCCCATATATGAAATGGACAAATAATCCAAATGTTCCAAACCACCAACCAGATCACCATCATATTCCCATCGTTGTTGGTTTATACCATCTTTAACCACTATTAACCATCACTATTGGCCCAAACAAGGCCCAATGAGCCGCGCCGGAACCGGGGCCCCTGTGCCGCGCCTATGACATGTGCAGCTTGCCATGGTCCGGTCCAGTTGAGCACTGCAGAGCTGAGACCTTAGCAATGGCCGAATTGGCCATGGAAAATGTTATGTCAGGGGAAAAATCATGAAAATTCAATGTGAAATTCATCTATGTATGTATGTATATATATATATATATATATAGTGAGACTCTCTCTCTCTATATACATATATATATATACATAATATGTATATAACTTTTGGACTTTCAATTGCCATGTTTGATTGCCAGGGGTTAATGCCATCTGCAAACCTGCCAGCAGCCACTGTTGAACTCCTCATTGCACAAGCATGGGTATGAGCACATAGAGCTATGGCAAAAAAAAAAATCATCCGCGTTTCCATGCACGTAGAATTACAAGGCAAACGCTGTAGCTATGCAATGCCTGTGGCAACCCCCCCAGTGTGTTGTGATCAGGGCAGCTGTTGGTAGTTTGCCTATGAGCATAGCTATCAATGGACTGGACCCCTGCCCGTTTCTTGAAGTTGACAACGCCCAACTCAATGGACACAAAAAAGGCAGCAGCCATTCGTACCCTGGTGGTTTATTGAACGAGGAATGCCAAAGGCAGAACTGTGCACTTACAAAACTCGGTAGCAATGTCTTCTGGTCGCATGAACCTCACAGATTGCGGAGACAATCGTGTAGAACCGTGTCCATTTGGGTACGGATGACATACTGGCTTGGTTGCTTGCTGGCTGGCTTTTTTCTTCTTCCCCTTCTTGCTTGCCTGCTCACTCGCTGGTTGCTCGTTGCTTGCTTGCTTGCTGGCTGGTTGGCTTGCTTGCTTCCTGGCTGGCTTCTTTGCTTGCTTGCTTTTTCTTGCACGCATGCATGCTTGCAAACCTGACTTGGGAGAAATTACCCCAGGAAGCCTCAACCCCCCAAAAAAAGGAAAATACCAATGCCTCCATTTACTTGTAGATTCGACCGCCCGATCAACTGGTTGTTCTTGAATAAGGCTACAAAAATAGGATTCGCAGTTTATCATATTATGATATCTATTCAACACACACACACAAACCCCATTGGGAGTTCATTGCATGGCTTCATGAACCCACTATAACTCCCTTCATCGACCAGTACATCCATTCAAGCCTCTTTTTAAAACCTCCATATCACTGGAACCCCATGTGAAGTTTTTTTGCAGAATATCTGTATGTTTCAATTGGACATGTGACATGATCTACTAAAAATTGACAATGAAATACTGTATATATCTGCTAATAAATATGCTAATATTGATTATTTTGTATTCGGAATTGGAGATGGTTATGTACAAACGTCCTGAAGTAATTAGATAGAATTTCCTGATTCTCAAGCATATCCCCAATTTTAGCGAGTTCTCTTGTAAAAAAACACCTATTTCAGGATGACAAGTCAGACTTGTCACCGCACTTCCTGGGATTCCTGGTCCCCGATTCCAAGGATTCCCAGGTGCTGATCATGTCGGCAGCGCAACCACAGGTGGCCATGATGTCCAGTAACTGCAGGGGCTGCCTGAACCCGCTGCCGTGACGGAGTCGTGGACTCTGTGTAGGAAAATCACCATGGGAACACCAGCGTGGATATAGCGTGGGATAGCAGTGAGATATCATGAGACTTCTATGAGACTCATATTATCATGTATCATAGATATCGTATATTATCTAGGTAAGATAGATGATATCACAGAAAAGCTACAGTTCTATAGACTTCTGTCACAAAAGTGTCATCATGTTTAGTCTACACAATTCGTAGAATTACATACTAGTTAGCTCCAGTATAAAACTACGAGACTTGAATTTGTTGACGGGGGATCTAATGGAGACAATAGTGGGACTTACGCTCTGGCAATTTTCTACATAGCTATTGAACATGGCCATAGAAATAGTTGATTTACCCATTGAAAACGGTGGATCATTTTCCATCTTTCCATAGATTTTTGTATGTTTACCAGGCCGGGTACTGGGAAGTATAACCAACTAATCAACTATTGATACTAATACTTGAAGATTAGTTGGCGATGAACATACTATAGATTTTTGTATGTTTACCAGAGGGTAGTGGTCATCACGGAAGATTACGGTGATGGATTAATACTTGTGACACCATATGACCGGGGGATGAACACTGACGCCTCCGGAGCTAGATGTGATGTGAACTACGACGGGTACCGTAAAGGGTACTGTAAGGAAAGCTGCATATTTCACCACGTTTGGGTCTTAAGGATTGTTGAATAGATGTACAACCCAAATCTGTTGGCTGAATGTCTGAATTTTCCCTCAAGCAAGTCTGGAAACTTGAGAGATGTACTGTAATGGATTTTGATGAATGCGGACTCAAAATCATTCATGCATGTTGAGCTACAGACCAGGAAACCAACAGCCAACACCTGGATGGTAGAGATGGAACGTATCCACAGCCTCGAATTTTGATGAGAATGGAGGTTATAGAAGCTAAACCAAACGAAACCGACGCGTCTTTGTGCTTGAACATGAACTTCAACCGACAAAGAGTAGAGCATATGAACACCAACAAGGATCCAGGTAGCAACTCTCCTGTTCACTGCCATGTTAATAGCTCAGACCCATAAACCCTGGCTCATTGGTGGCTTTGCCCCAAGAGTGATTTCATGTGCTACTTATAAATATACTTAAATGATATTCATAGTAAACATACCTAGTGACTTCATGGCTATTTAACACCGTCACATGTTGTCACTATTTCTTCTGCATTGGGAGTGGAATGGATTGTAGGACTGTTGGACCAAAACCGACACCCCAGGAATGATATGCAACGGAAGCTTCAAACATTTCATGGGCCTAGGCCTAGGCTCATTCATCAAGTTTGAAGGAGTGAGTTTGTAGCACTTCTAGATCTCTGCGTGGTTCAACATGTGAATATGTTCCCAAAATGGGCGCGTGCCCGAAGCAAATGAAAATTCAATATTCAAAATCTCATTTGTGATGATGTGAGTCATGAGGGTAACCCTACTCCATTTGTGCCCAACATCCTGTGCCATGCAAAAGAACCATCAAAGGTTGCTCTGTTTTCTTGGGGCTTACCCTCTGGTAAACTAACATAGCTATGGAAAATGGCCATTTATAGTTGATATACCCATTAAAAATGGTGATTTTCCATAGCTATGTTAGTTTACCAGAGGGTAAAACATGAGAAAACAATTGTACCACATGTTGCTCGAGTACCCGCTAATCATGGCAAGCCGGGAAATCCTACGATTGGGGGATTTTCCAGCTAGCCGTGGCTGATTACCAAAGGGTATACGAAGTACTGTGGATAGTTGCGAAATCCTGCACCAGTTGGTTTTTCTGGTTTATCAACGGTTTATCCCCTTACAATCCCATGAAAGTTACAATGTTCCATAGTCACCCGGTGCAGGATTTCGCTTGAGCTACACGGGATTCGCACCTCCAAAGTTCGCAGAAGGCGATGGCTGCATTGAAGGCCATGGGAGATTGCGGTGTAACGCGGGAATCCTCGGCACAGGGCACCCCACTCTTTTCATGAGTCGTGGCAGCCTTTCAAAGAACCCAAGAGTACTGACTATCATAGATCATGATAGGGTGAGACGGGGTGAGAATGATCATGTAATCATCATGTAATCATCACCTCATCCCATACAGTACGATCCTCAATGCCACAGTGCAGCTCTTATCAATCACTGCTGGGCAACTGAGGCGTTCCAAGACTCTGAAATCGCCCAAAAATGCTGAATCTACGTACATATATCCCACAAAAACCTCCATTAAAAACAATCTGAATTATCATAAAATCATCACTAATCATTATTTGCCATTGTTAACCATCATTAATCATAATGGTTCTTAATCGTTATTATATCATCATCCCAATATCTTCACGTTTACCTATTATCATTATTATTGATAACTATGATTGGGCATATATTGGGATGATTATACTTATCTGGTTGGTGGTTTTAACCATCTTGAAAAATATGAAAGTCAATGGGAAGGATGACATCCCATATATGAAATGGAAAATAATCCAGTCATGTTTGAAACCACCAACCAGTTATGATTCAATGATACTAACTATGCCAGCGAATCACTGGATCCAAACCCTCGCCACTGCAGTACCAAGACACCAGCATCGCCCCCAACAACTGCAGCGCCCAGCGCCAACGTTCGCCTTGCGCCGCAGCGATGGCCGTGGTGAAGCTGATCTCAGCCGCTGCCGTTTCAAGCGCCTGGGCGATGGCCAGATGCGACGAACATGGGCAAAGACCTACAAAAACAGTGGGAAATTATGAACTTGTCAATCTTTTGCTGCATCTTTATGAAGGTTACGATACAACATGCCAATTCTTGAGGTGTCATGGGCTTAACATGGCTTAACTATCATCTTAAAATGGTCTAATTATTTATGTTGATTTTGAGTTCTTATGGCCTCGAAACGGTCTAGTTGTGTTTATTTAGTGAGCCAGTTCAATTCCAATTTGCAGCGTCATCCAAAGTGAGCCAGTGATTTACATTTATTTACCTGTTAAACCCCAGTGATCATCCAAGTGCTGACCATTTCAGTATTGAAACCTGTGGTTTTTCCAGAACCCCCGTGGATCCATTTGGATCAAATCAGCAAAGATTGCGGCTTCTTCCTCTAGGATGATCTAGGCATATCTCTAGGCAATGTTGTGATTTTTGACCTATTGGTCTGTATCACCTATCCTAACCGATCCTACCTGATGTATACAAGTATTACAAGTGACATGTTGATGTAGAGGAGGCATTCAAAGAAAACTGAGCATCTGTGCACAACTGAGCAGGGTGGTTTCAATCCGATCAAATCCATCCGTCAAAATACCATGAAATCTGGCCAGATTCCTATAAGATCTGGCCCAACTCATTTGGTTTCGAAAAGGCAAAAACCTACCGAGTCACCTAATTCGTGTAGCCCATGTAATAGCTGCTGCAATGCCAAATCCTCGGAATTTACCCAAATCTGAAACTGTGCCAGCAGATTCTTCAGCTTTCCCATCCTTTCCCATCCTTTCCCCATTTGCGGATCTTTATGGTGGGACGGCACGTAACGAACGGTATACTTAGTATACTTCAAGCTATACATTCACCACACTACAGCTTGGCAAATCATGCATAAGCACCAGTTTGTGGGATCTGAAAACAGATGGGAATACACACGACTTGGACACGGCAAACAGTCTTTTATGCGGCTATATAGAGGCTACATACCATCTGGTTATTTAACATAGCCATGGAACATCCCTTATAAATGGAGGTTTTAATGGGAAAATCATCTATAAATGGGCTATTTTCCATGGCTATGTTAAATAACCAGAGGGTAATTCTATATGATACAGACACGATGATGGACAAAAACAAGCGCGAGAACAAGGATATATCATATGGCGATCACACATGATACGCGGGTTTGTCTGAAAGTAGGGTACCTTACATCCAATGGCTAAGAATTATTTTCCTTCGTAAAATTGCCATAAGTGAGGCTCACTCCACAATTTCAGACAGTCTGGGTTTTTCAAGCCAAGCACAGTCAGTGTCTTGGGGCTGGTCACATCATGCGAATAAGACTATTCATTAGAGCCACTGTTTAGAATTTAGAGTGTAGAGGATTATTATATAGCTCAATCACGCACAAAAGCCAAAACATCCCCAAATCACAGCACCTAAACTGAACTGCTGAGCAGTTTAAGACCCTGGCAGGAATTACCTAAATCTTCGAAGACTTGAACAGGGGATGCAATTGTGCCCAGCAGTTCAAGCTTCGAAGACTTCAAGTCACAAGCCTTGTCATCACTGCCATCCAGATATTACAGCATATCATCTGGATAAATACTAACCATGATTTCCAGTGAGGTCACAGTGAGGTCGTTATAATTTACCCAGATATCATATCATATCTCATTTTTACATGCTGCCTCTGTCCCACTTCTATCCATCTGGCTTTTTTCCGACCAAAAATCACCCAAAAATCTGCGGTGGCGCGTCATGGTGATTCCCATTCCGCCCGATTCTACCCAGCGATGGATCCTGGATCCAGCCAGGTTCAAACCCAAAGCCTCGGATTCTTTTAACTTACCATCTGGTTATTTAACATAGCCATGGGAAATCACCATTTTTAATAGGTAAACCATCTATAAATGGGCCATTTCCCATGGTTATGTTAAATAACCAGAGGGTAACTGAACTTTAGTTCCCAAGTTCAACCTACCCTCTGATAATAAACTAATATGGCCAATGAAAATGGCCATAGAAATAGTGGATTTACCCAGCTAGAAAATGGTGGTTCTTTCCGTAGGTTTACGTTAGTTTACCAGAGGGTAAATCAAAGATTTAAACCAGATTTCGCTGATTTTCCAACGCATTTTCCACCAGGGCACCACCTTTTGTAGCAGCTGCAAGGTCATGAACCAACGACTCGCGGGGCAGGAAGTCATGGCAGTGTTCCAACTCACCAGGTTTGGCTGCAGCCGATGCTGCGGTAAACCTCGCGAACTGCGGGTCAGAATTTAAGAACCAAACGGCTGGAAAAAAAATATGGGAAGCCCATAGGGAACCATCTGCTTTTTCATGTTTTTTCATGTTTTTTCTATCTTTTTGTTTTTCAATTCAAATATCTTTAAGTCATCTCCGGTCATCAACCTATAGTCTCCGTGTGAATGTGTCATCCGCAAAAAATCCTGTGAAAAACACGGACTTCCCAGCCGTTGGATGCGGACATCCCGTAGGAGGGATCCCAGGAGTGGCTATGAAAAAGCGTCAAGCATTGACTGTCCCAGCAAGCACATTGTAAAATGATTCTCCGTCGAAACGCCTCACAAGTAAAACAAATCATTACAATTCATTAAAAATCATGAATTTTCGGATGAACATAAGGCAGCAGTTCCCTTGGTTCTCAACCTTTCTTTTTGTTTCATTCAATTGATTTATCAAAGAGTCCGCGAGTCCACCTTGAGAGCCCGTGAGTTCACCTTGACATGACTTGGCTCGTTTAAGGGTTCCATGTGTTTGGCTGGTTCACCACTGAACCAGTAAATTCAACAAGTAAAACTTGGAACTTCATCATTGGCTGCATACTGCATACTTCTTCCATGTTTGCTTACCCTCCGGCAATGTCACATCTGCTTTGCAAAAAAAAAACACCGTGGACCGATAAATTCCCGAAAAATCGCCAGAAATTTCACCACCAGCCCGTCACATCCCAAGGCACAGCTTAGAATCCAGCAGGCGTATTCCCAGCGGCCGCTGCGTTCACATGCCGAGGCGGCCATGTTCACCGTCATGACCTCGGGTGTCGTCGAAACACCGGCGACTTGGCACCTGAAAATCCCGGGAGGTGCCAGGGGAGAAGGTAACCAACACGGGGATTTCACCAGCAAAGATGGTGACTTCAGCAAGAAAACCAGAGGTTTATGATGATTTAACATGATTTAACCAGCTTTCAATGGTTGGATTTGTTGGGTAAATTTATGGTTGAAACAAGGGTGACAAAGAAATGGTAAACCATACGAACCATGTTTTCAACCATGAGCCATAAATAGCCATAATATTGGTTAAAACTGGTTTAACTAAAGCATACTAAAGCTGGCGGAAAAGAAACTTTTGGTAAAACATGGAACCTGCACACATCATCATACATTTACCAAAAATGGTGGGAAGTCCAGGTAACACACATGGGGGGAACCTGGGAACCGTGTGGTTCAGAAAAAAACGGCGATTCCACATTCAGCGACCAGCGATTCCACAGCAACTCCGAGGCTCGTTCGCTTCACGAAGACCTCGGCCATGAGGCCAACAAAGGGGAACACATAATTAGTGAATATGGGTGTGTCTGAAAATGTCGTGTACCCCATTGTACCCAATGGTTTTGCTGATCATTATCCCGTTTTTAAATGGCTATTTCTTTGGGAAGATTAACCCAACATTTTCATCACCAAACAACAAAATATGAGGAAAACATGGGGTAAAACAGTGTAAAACCAACAACACATGGATATGTTATCGGGATTTTAAGGGGGATATGGGGATATAACGGGATCATATAGGTGGATAGGCTGTCACCAGCGCATCCAGCATCGAATGGCCAGTGGCTTTAAGTGGCTAAGTGTATCCGACCCATTGTGCCATTAAAGGATATATAACTTGATACACATCTTCAACGGAGATGCTCCGTAACAAACAGCATGGAAAGCCACTCCGAAAGCGGTCACAGGTCACCGCCTTAAGTGGGTCCCAAAGGGGATGATCAGCATGGTATCCTCACCATGACCAATGGACCAATCACCGATGATGATTTTTACCATTCATCCCTTTTTTATATGGTGAGTGATTCTTGTAGATTGTAGAGAATGACCAACTTTTAACAATCACCAAATATCACCAACCACCATTAATGAAAACTGAGCTCCTGGCAGTCCATAAAGATCACAAGATTTTGACCATTGATCCCTATAATAATCCCAAAACTGAGTTGGTCCAACCATGTAGCCACCTGAGCCAAGACACTTAGCGCTTCCAGGCAAAGTTCCAGGGCGAAAAACCAGCAACTCGCAGCTTCGCAGGCACCAACGACGAAGTTATAACCTGGATCTACGAAGGATCTGCGAAGTTGTGACTTGGATAGTACAGTACATCATTAACCCTAAGCTTCCACTTACGATAGGTAACTAGGATGACTTTGGCGTATGATTTTTGGATATTTTGGTTGGTTACCTCTGAGAGTTCGTTTGGAACTAGGATTTACGGGTGCCCGATTCTCAAACAAACCGATACGGCCTCTGTAATAGAAGTGGTCACTGGTCACAGTTATGGAATGAACCTATCTTGGATGGTTAAACAAACACATTTATAGATGCATCACCACGGGTCATGGTTTGTTAATATATGATATGTATATATATATATGGGTAAATTATAATATTGCACTAACCTGAATTGTTGGGCCATTTGGGGATGATTTCCAATACTAACCATGGTTTCCAGGGTTCGGTCGCAGTGAGGTCGTTATAATTTACCCATATATCATATATATATATATATCATATATATATATATATCATATATATATATATTATATATATATATATATATTTGCTATAGGAAACCATCTTTACTATCCATTGTATCCATAGGGCCCCTCAGGCCCTGGCCGATGAAAAAACCTGCATTCGACATCGTTTCTATGGCTTGGATATACCCTCTGGTGATGTCATCAAACCTGGCAACGGTAAACATGTTTCTCTCATTGGTTGATGATTTTTTTCAATAAAACATCCATTTCTTGGAATTTACCCAGCCAGTGAGGTTTGATGGCACTGAAGTGCCATGTTTCTGGTGCATATTTTGATGTTCGCGGCTCCCCATCCGCAGTTTTTTCGCTTTCGACTAAGCCGTCCGGATCCCTCCTCCACGACGCTAAACCTTTGCTCGGATATGTTTGCATGACTAAGAATAGACTATGACGTAGACTGGTTTTGTACTGTTGGTGGTTGACCTACCCCTCTGAAAAATATGAGGTCGCCAGTTGGGATGATTAATCATTCCCAATATGTGGAAAAATAATCCAAATGTTCCAAGCCACCAACCAGACTGGTTTTGTAGGTCATGTGGGTTTCCAAATGGTATGACATCTCTTGACGTACCCATGTTGGGTGCTGTGCTAAACAAGCAGCATACTGCATCAGGCGTCATCTTCTTTTGGAGGTCTCTAAATAGGGACCTGAGGGAGGTCAAGATAGCACAGCATCAGCATGATCGCACAGCACCACCCCATGAACAACAACAACAACAACAACAAACAAAAAAACAACAACACCAACACCAACACAAACAAGAACCTGGGCAAAAGCTAGTCACTCTCCCAATCATCTATGTATCGCGAGACCGGCGTCACACATATGATACAATTCATATCAATTCAAAACCTTTACACAGAGAAACAGTCCATCGGCCAAGCAGCAAAGATTTCTCCCCGCGCAAAAAACATTCCCTCAACATGTTCTCCCCAGTTGTAAGTTGGTTTATAAACCCCATTAACTATAGTTATAAGTACCATAAACCATAGTTATTGGAATTATAACCAAGGAGCAAGCAAACGGTCCAGCAATGCTCCGATGCCATCAATGCAGCGGTGTAGATCTGCAGATCAACGTCCTGTGAGTGCTGAAGCAACGTAAGCGCAAACCTTAAGCCGCGCTGACAGGTTCCACGGGGAAGGAATGAAGGTGATGTTTGTTGGTTTGGAACCCAATGAAACTATAATAGATATATCATATAATTCCATATAATTCCAACATACATCCATCCTAGTTAGCCTGGTTATAAGTTATGATAAGCCAACTATAGCCAACTTATCTAGGGGGCCCTTCGTGTCGTGTAGTAGTCCTCCTTTTATGATTTGATGCTGGGGACTTTGAAGGGTCCACAGACCTGACTCCAGTCCCGTAGCTTTCGGGGGTCTGACTTCGTTTACCAACGCAGCACGGCCGCTTTTAGCAGCTAAATGCTTTACATGAGATGCTACCTCGTTCTCGGGGTGTTCCTACCTCGTTGTACAGCCTCGTTATAGGATGTTTTCGGCAACTGAGGTATGCCGGTATTCCCCCAATACTACTCTCCATTTAATCAAACAAAAGCCTTAGCTCAAGTGCAGCGAAGTAAAATACAATCCCTATGTCGCTTAAGACCACCATGTGCTTCAATTCTTATCCACCAACGGTTTAGGGCAGGTGTGATTCACTTCCATTTCACAACACTAGGATTTGGAAGCGGCTTTTGACTCCCTCTTGGGTGCTTCACATATCTTTTAGGTGGACCAAGTCGACCAAGTTACAAAATCCAAAGCAGGAGAAACCACCCATTACATAAATCATATACAGTGTACAAGTAGGTAGCCATATTATTACTCTACTGGCTATTTATATCTATTTATACTCTGCCAAGCTAAAAACCAGAGTCTCTGAGTCTCCCATATATCAAACATACTGTGGATGGAAGAAATCCTGCACCACCTTGGATGGTTGAAACCATATAGATAATGGGATAAACCATCTACCAACTGGTGCAGGATTTCTTCCATCCACAGTATTACAATCAGTCCTGATGAACGTCCCAGATGGGATAAAACGTCACCAAATCTCTGAGTCAGTTTGATAAGATTTCTTGCGGAAGATCCCATGTTGTGCCCCGTGAACATCATGTTCTTAAACGACAATAGTTACGGAAAATCCATATAAATCCATCATGTTTAAAAGTGTTTAGGACATAGAGAAATATCCTTCAACATTTTGACATCCATTCATTTTCCCCAGTTACTCTTCCAACCATTTCCTAGGGAACCCCATTGATATCATAGCTATATTAGCTCACCAGAAGGTAACATCCCGAGTTTTGGAAGCCCCTGGGCACCAGTGACGGCCACGCGCTGCTATCATTGGTGGCTCCGCGGCAGGCGCTTAGGGTGACCTTGGGGCATTTCGATATTGGCGAAGTGGCAAATCCATCAACAAACTGCGGATCTGATCATCGTACCATGGGATATTATGTGGGATTGTTTGAAGCCATAATCTATTCATATATCTATTCAATTGGATTTTGATATCTAATAAGTGACTTATTAAGTAACAAACCAGTTGACGGGGATATGATCAATGGGATTGAGTGGATACCTAGTGGATATGAGTAGAAAACGAACCAGACATGATCTTGAACATCGCCTTGAACATCGTAAAACCTGAGACCACATGTGTGAGTCGTCAGTGGTTAGGTGAAAGCTATAGGCTATAGTAGTCCAATATCTGTGTCTGTGGCTTAAAATCTACCCCGGAAACTATCCGCAAAGACAGGACATGCAACACAAGCGCCCCAAAAAAAATAGGGATCTGACCTACACATCATTCTGTACGTGGTGAGGATTATGGACCACTTGAAATCAGCCACTGCCCGATTCTTTGTGTCTTTGATCACATGCGAAATAATCACATTTAACATCATTTAAATACAAAATCCAAGAATTTTGCGGCTGTTGACCTTCAAGAGTGCGGATATCAAGCTAAAAAATGATGATTGATTTGTCCTTATGTGGCACAACGCGTACCGGCGTAACCCCCACTGACCCGAAAATGCTTGGCCGGTTGGCCTCAAGAATCCTAAGGTAGAGCCTCAAGACGCTTTTCAGCGATGAGGACGGGCCGCTGGCTGGGACTATCTTCCCATCTACAGGGATGAAGAAGGAAAACTTTGAAGATCAGGTCATGCAATGGCCGATGAGCCTGAATCCGAAAATTGGAACTCCATAAAGTACTTCTACCCTTTAAGACTGGAAATTGGAAGCGAACTTTTGCCACCACATCCCCGAACAGATACATATTCAACAGCCTATGAGCATCACGATTTATCAAAACCATTCAAAACCTAAATAGCTATCCAACAACCTATAGTCAGTATTTCATATGATGATTTGTTTTTGGCATCAACTTATTTTCTTTGTGGCCCCTGCAATTTCCGCAGCCAACCTCCGCCACTTCCATCATCAATGAGGGGCAACTCATCCCACTTAGAATGGCGAATGATCAACTCAAAGATCCATGGCAAATCCAATGTGTTTTTGATACATCCACAAACACACACACAAACACACATGCACAGTGATTTTCCCCCACAAAAAATCTAAACCATGTGTGTTAACCACGTGTTAACCATGTTAACCCCAGCATACCTCAGAGGCCCCATCAGGTTTTTCTGAGTTCCCCAGGTCGCCGTCGCCGTTGCGCCGTTGCCAAGGTGCGCAGAGGGCCACCTGCCCTGGCCGCAAGGTGCGTTCCATGGAGCTGCGCAACAAGCCCAGCGCCAGCGGCCACGGCGATTTTTCGTCGTCCACGTCGTCCGAACACGACCTGGGGTCGGGTCCGAAGGACGAGTTCAGCAACCAAAAAATGGTGCTAAACATGGGGATATCATGGGGATATCATAGATATTCATAGATACCCAATAGGTCAGGCAAGGTTATTTGGAGCAAAATAGGTAACTCTAAAAAAATTACCTTTTTGTAAGTAATTTTGGTCGATTTTTTTAACTAATAGGTAAAAAAAATTACCTTGAAAGGTAATTATTATTAATTATTGATAACCTATTTCAAGGTAACTTTTAAGGGTTATTTTTTTTCACTTCGTTTTTACATATATTTATTATTTTCTTTTGTTATATGGTATGTGTCTGATGTTCTCTTGGGGTTACTATATGTATGGGTTTACTTCATGTATTTTGACAGGGTCTCATGTTTTTCCCTTGGCGCTTGGATTGGATCAAATGATTTGATCATGGGTAGTGTTTGTGTCACTGACAAAATTTATGAAACAACAGCATAGCAAAAATGAGGAAAAGTCAGAAAAGGCATGAAACAAGATTATGGCAATAATGAACCAGTCATACTTGGCAATGAAGCATTGTCCAAGCATGCATTCTGTCTTTGAAAGCTCAGTGAAGGCATCCTTCAAAGTATCATTGATTTTTGGTCTTTCTTGTCTCTACCCAGTCGCTCCTGAACCACTTTGGTTTCTTTGATGTCATGCTGCACACTTGCCCAGCTCAGTTTAACAGGAGCATCAGAAATCGCTTTTGGCAATGCTGAGGATGAAGTAACCACAGCTGGTGTAGAGGAAGCACTGCTACCACTACCACAACCACCACTACCACCACAACTAGCTCCAGTGCCAAACTGGCTCCAGGGCCTGCTCGACATGAATTGGCTCACCTGCGAACTCTCATCCTTGGTGAGGTTGGCTTGGCCACCATGCAAGACCATGGCAGGGCACAATGGCTGTGGCTATTGTCTTGACATGATAGTAACCATCTTTCTGATAGACATCACCTCGTCTTTCTGCATCATTCAAAGCTTGCTGGTTTCCCTGGATTTTGTCCACAACCTAAGCCAACCCAGTAATCTGAGATTTGCTGCAAATCTCAGAGTTCTTCTTGAAAACTTCGAACACTGGGTATTTCCAGGAGCAAACACAGACTCGCCTCTGGTGTTCAAGAGAATTCTTGGAGCCCTCTTCTTCATAGAGCTGCTGAAGATCTTCTGGCACCTGGCCACTTTTGATCATTCTGGCACATTTCCTTACCTTGGGGTAGCTTCGATGCTCATCATCAGCAACTGTTGCATCCTCCTCTTTAGGCTCCTCATCTTCTCCTTCTGCATGGTCATCAGGAACTGGCTCATCCCTGGTCTTCTTCCATCCTGCTGCCATCTCCTTGACAGTCTTCGCTTTGGCCTTGGCTTTCGCCTTCAGCTGCATCAGGTGTTGTCAGGATTTTCTTCATTGTGCTCTTGGCTTTTGCCTTTTGAGCTTTCATTGGCGAAGAAGTAACCCCAGGAGCTTTGCTGGCAGCAGCCTTGGCTTTACCTGCTGCCTTTGCCTTGACTTTAGATTTTGCTTTCACCTAGGCTTTGGCCTTTGCCTTTGGTGCTGCAGTATCTAAGAATCTAAGTCAGCTCATGGGGCAGTTTCTTCTGGAGAAGCCTGTTCTACAGATTCTGGTGCTGGTTCAGGTGGAGGCAACATGCAAGCATAGCATCAGGTGGACAAGCAGGCCTCTTCATGAGGTTACCAACAGGGGCGACAAGTGACAAGTAACTTCAATCTTGAGCACCAGTGTGCTACACAGATGGTATATGCAATTGGGGATGTCTCAAAATAGGGGGCCCCAAGCCCTTGTTTTTTAGTGTGCAAAACAGAGCTTTGGGGCCCTCCTATTTTGAGACATCCCTAAGTGTACACTTGATGTAAATTCCAGCCTTTCACCAAAAGTAACTCCATGAAGAACATGTTTTGCCCATGATGATGTCAGAAAAGCTTACAACAGAAATACCAAAGACCTTGTGAATGTATCAATCAACAAATGTGATATCTATACTTCACAATGGATGTTGCATGGCTTTGTCATTTTCATTGAACAAAACTTAAAAAAGTAGAACTGGAGATGTCTCAAAACGTCTGAAAATTGGTTCCCGAAACCGAAATCTAACATGTTCAAAAACTGGTTCCACAATGGTACCTAGGAAAATGAAAGGTGCTTTAAGCCATCTTAAGGTACCTTTCATTTTTTGGAAAAATAAAACATTAAAGAAATAGAAATGGAGATGTCTCAAAATGTCTAGCTTTATTGCAATTTCAGTATTGTACATATCTTGTTTGTTTTGTTATTTATGTGCTGCTCTTGTCCTATGATTATTTTGATGAAACTCTAAGACGTAATGTGCCTAAATATCACTGTGTCTATATATCTATATATCTTTATATATATATATTAAATATATATATATATATAGGTATGCATTAATACACATGTATTCAGGTGGTGTGGTGTTATTAGTCATTAGTTGGCTTGGGGTTACAGTTTTGCAAACCACACCCATTGCATGCCAACCAACCCCATAAGGTACCTTGTAAAATGAAAGGTGCTTTAAGCCATCTTAAGGTACCTTTCATTTTTTGGAAAAATAAAACATTAAAGAAATAGAAATGGGAATGTCTCAAAAATGTCTAGTGCAAATATCTGATTATAGTTTCTGTATTGTACATGTGTTTTGTCTTTTCTTATTTATGTACGTTCACCTAATGTAATTGCTCTTGCCCTAAAATTTTTTGATGACACTTTAAGGCATAATGTGACATAATGTACCCAAATACTAATGTGGAGGTATATGTGTATTCATGTGGTGTGGGGTTATTATTTGGCTTGGGGTTGCTGTTTGCAAACTAAACCCATTGCATGCCAACCAACCCTAGTAGGTACTTTGTAAAATAAAAAGGTGCTTTAAGCCCTCCCAAGGTACCTTTTCATTTTTGGGAAAAATAAAACAAATAAACATATAGATGTCTCAAAATGCCTAAGGCAAATGTTTGATTACAATTTCAGTATTGTACATGTGTTTGTTGGTGTTTTTTTTTAAATGTATGTTCACCTAATTTAGTTGCTCTTGTCCTAGGATTTTTTGATGCAACTTCAAGACACCATGTACCCAAATACTACTGTGGATATATATATATATATATATGTGTATTCATTTGGTGTGGGGTTATAATTTGGTTTGGGGTTACTGCATTGCAAACCAAAACCATTGCATGACAACCAACCTATGTTTGGGGTTTCCATTTTGGAAACACACAGCATTCAATCAAACACAAACCATGGTTGGTACTACATGTTTATCTAAAAACCAGGCAACAATAACCTTCGTTTTTTATTTGATTTTTTTAAATGATAAAAACACTTACAAAGAATAGTAATCCATATTTGGGGTTACTTCTTTTAAAATGATCCCAACAATAGATCCCTATGTTTCTTTAAACTTTCAATCCAGCCTTGAAAGTTTGCATTGAAACTTTCAATCCAGCCCTGCAAGTTTGCATTGAAAGTTTCAGTCAAACTTGCAACCCCCCCTGAAAGTTTGATTGAAAGTTTGCAACAAACTTTCAACAAACTTTCAGGGCAGTAAAAAAAACATATAGAGAAAACTTGTTTTTTTGAAAAAAATAGTGTTTATTTTCTTTAAAACCATGTTTGTTTGTTTAAAAAAAATGAGTGTTTCATTTCAAAAAATGTTGTTTTTTAAGAAGAAAATAGGTTTCATGTATGTTACTGGTTGAAAAAATAAAAACAACATAGGGATCTATTGTTGGGATCATTTTAAAAGAAGTAACCCCAAATATGGATTACTATTCTTTGTAAGTGTTTTTTATCATTTAAAAAAAACAACCAGTGGTTGTTTTTTGTGCAAATTGTTTTGGCATGTTACACCCACCATGTCTAAATGTGTTTTAAAAAGTAACCCAAAACATGGTTTGGTTGTCATGCATTGGTTTTGGTTTGCAATGCAGTAACCCCAAACCAAATTATAACCCCACACCAAATGAATACACATATAATATATATATATATATCCACAGTAGTATTTGGGTACATGATGTCTTGAAGTTGCATCAAAAAAATCCTAGGACAAGAGCAACTAAATTAGGTGAACATACATTAAAAAAAACACCAACAAACACATGTACAATACTGAAATTGTAATCAAACATTTGCCTTAGGCATTTTGAGGCATCTATATGTTTATTTGTTTTATTTTTCCCAAAAATGAAAAGGTACCTTGGGAGGGCTTAAAGCACCTTTTTATTTTACAAAGTACCTACTAGGGTTGGTTGGCATGCAATGGGTTTAGTTTGCAAACAGTAACCCCAGGCCCCAAGCCAAATAATGACCCCACACCAAATGAATACACATATACCTCCACATTAGTATTTGGGTACATTATGTCACATTATGCCTTAAAGTGTCATCAAAAAAACATAGGGCAAGAGCAATTACATTAGGTGAACATACATAAATAAGAAAAGAAAAAACACATGTACAATACAGAAACTATAATCAGATATTTGCACTAGACATTTTTGAGACATTCCCATTTCTATTTCTTTAATGTTTTATTTTTCCAAAAAATGAAAGGTACCTTAAGATGGCTTAAAGCACCTTTCATTTTACAAGGTACCTTATAGGGTTGGTTGGCATGCAATGGGTTTGGTTTGCAAAACTGTAACCGAACCCCAAGCCAACCAATAACACCACACCAAATGAATACACATATATCTCTACATTAGTATTTGGGTACATGATGCCTTAAAGTTTCAAAAAAAACTAGGACAAGAGCAATTACATTAGGTGAACATACATAAATAAAACAAAAAGCCACATGTACAATACTGAAACTGTAATATGTTTTTTTTGCCACATATACCACCACTGATTATTGATTGGATACATATATATATATATACATACTGTGTACATATATATTTATACTATTTATTTGTTCAGTTATTGTTTTTGCTATTCATTCTTTATATATATATATGTTTTATTTTTCTATTTATATATTTGTTTATCTTGTTAATGTTTTTGAACACGAACCATTTCTTAAAGTCGCAGCATATCTTTAAGTATTGTTTTCCATTATTGCATGCATAGGACAAATATTCATTTCACAAAAACATATTACCATCCAAAAATAAGAAAATCTCATGCAACACCTTTTGTGAATGATAAATAGCACCATGGTTGGTTGATACATGCACAAGGTCTTTGGTATGTGGGCTACTTTTTGGTGAAAGGTTGGAAAATATGTCAAGTGTACAAGTGCATGTACCATCCATGTAGCACACTGGTGCTCAAGATTGAAGTTACTTGTCACTTGTCGCCCCTGTTGGTAACCTCATGAAGAGGCCTGTCCACCTGATGCTATGCTTGCTTTTGCCTCCACCTGAACCAGCACCAGAATCTGTAGAACAGGCTTCTCCAGAAGAAGCTGCCCCATGAGCTGACTTAGATTCTTAGATACTGCAGCACCCAAGGCAAAGGCCAAAGCCAAGGTGAAAGCAAAATCTAAAGCCAAGGCAAAGGCAGCAGGTAAAGCCAAGGCTGCTGCCAGCAAAGCTCCTGGGGTTACTTCTTCGCCAATGAAAGCTCAAAAGGCAAAAGCCAAGAGCACAATGAAGAAAATCCTGAAAAGACCTGATGCAGCTGAAGGCGAAAGCCAAGGCCAAAGCGAAGACTGGCAAGAAGATGGCAGCAGGATGGAAGAAGACCAGGGATGAGCCAGTTCCTGATGACCATGCAGAAGGAGAAGATGAGGAGCCTAAAGAGGAGGATGCAACAGTTGCTGATGATGAGCATCGAAGCTACCCCAAGGTAAGGAAATGCACCAGAATGATCAAAAGTGGCCAGGTGCCAGAAGATCTTCAGCAGCTCTATGAAGAGGGCTCCAAGAATTCTCTCCCCCAAGGTTATTTAAGAGTCAATTCATCAACAAAGTCTTTCAGCAGAACACCAGTGGCGAGTTTGCTTTTGCTCCTGGAAATACCCAGTGCGAGGTTTTCAAGAAGAACTTTGAGATTTGCACCAACAAATCTCAGGTTACTGGGTTGCCTCACTCCATCATGTCGTGGAAAAAATCCAGTGAAACCAGCAAGCTTTGAATGAGCAGAAAGACGAGGTGATGTCTATCAGAAAGATGGTTACTATCATGTCAGGACAATAGCCACAGCCATTGAGAAGAAGCAGGGCAGTTCCATGGTCTTGCATGGTGGCCAAGCCAACATCACCAAGGATGAGTTATTCGCAGATGAGTCAATTCATGTCGAGCAGGCCCTGGAGCCAGCTTGGCACTGGAGCTAGTTGTGGTGGTAGTGGTAGTGGTAGTTGTGGTAGTGGTAGCAGTGCTTCCTCTACACCAGCTGTGGTTACTTCATCCTCAGCATTGCCAAAAGCGATTTGTGATGCTCCTATGAAACTGAGCAGGGCAAGTGCTCCCAGGAGCGACTGGGCAGAGATTGTCAAAGACCGGCTGTCAAAATCTTTTTTTTGACAAGAAAGACCAAAAACTAAATTATACTTTGATGGATGTCCTCACCGAGCTTTCAAAGACAGAATGTATGCTTCGGGTTACTTCATTGTAGCTTTGATGTTGTATAACATATCTTCAAAACATCCAATCAGATTTGATCTTCACAAATAAAAACTTTGATTTGCTCAAACAAGTATAAGTTCAAACAATATAGTTTTTTTGCACTTCCAGTAATCATGTAGAACTGACTTCACACAAAATCAAGAAACATATTGTTAAAAAACTTTTCAAACAATTGATAATATTCACTCTACTATGGTACAATGTTAAGAAAATGTCAAAATTCATTATCTTTTTTCCATGAAAAAAAGGCAAAATTTCAAGGTAATTTTGTTTTAATCCTCAAAAATTACCTTGATAGGAACCTTTAAAAATTAACTATGTAGTTAAAAAAAATTAACTATTTTGTTTTCCTTAAAAATTACCAATTAGGTAGAAAATTGCCTCCAAAATCACTTTTACCTATTTTGCTCCAAATAACCTTGCCTGACCTATTGGGTAAGTCTGGAGAAATTTGCGATCATGATTGGGGAACATATGGTTTTAACATATGATTTAACAATCATTTAACCATCAAGAATTAGGGTCTTAAAATAACCAAGCATGGCTTATAATGGGCATCTCATGGGAATATACAACCAGCACTTGATGGAACGTGAACCCTCTGGGGATATTTATCGGAATGTGATGGGAATTTACTTGGAATATACGGGGGAAGTCTCACCAACATGGAGATATTTTTGGGTTTACCTAACCTATCATTCCATCAAATCTTACCATCTGGTTATTTAACAGTTCGCCATGGAAAATCACAATTTTTAATAGGTAAACCATCTATTTCTATGGGCCATCTATACCATGGCTATGTTAGTCATAACCAGAGGGTAGTTGGTGAAGAGGCGGATTCCCAGCTCATGGGTGAGCTCATAATTAATCATTGTCATAAATCCCCCATATGTTGAGCATTACCCTCCAGTAAATTAACAGTTGGACCCTGCCAGATAGGGGTTGGAAGATTAGTTTCCACTAAAAAAAAATGATGTTCAGAGTCTATGTTAATTTACCAGAGGGTATAATATATCATAATCCCTATAAACAACCAACAAATGGATTAGCAGCCACTGCTCAGCTGGGATATCACACAGCAAAATAAAGGTTTAACATAACAAAGTTTAACGAAGAGACATGGTGATCTAATCCGTCAAATAGTCACCGGCCATATCATGGTCATTTACTGTCAAAGAATTAATCATTGAAGAAATACTTGGTATATATTGGTGATACATAATGATACATATATTTGAACTGGGTGTAATGGATACCCTCTGGTAAACATACAAAAAGCTATTGAACATGGCCATAGAAATAGTGAATGTTCCCATGAAAAATGGGTGGATCTTTACATAGTTTTTTGTAAACGTTTACCAGGCCGGGTAATCATGTTGATACTCACCATGATGGAGGCATCATGGGTCATCACCTCCTTTTTTCGCTTGCGGATTTCAGTGGAACGACATGCGAATGATAGCAACCATGTACAAAGCACACCTGTACAATTCATTGATATTATAGATATCATAGATAGAATGAACCATCATCAAGAGAAACATTATGTCCATATATTTCCATAATTATTATAGAATATGTTTAATATAATACATATTACATGTACCTGTGCAACTTCATGTACCTGACCATCTATATCTTCTGCACACCTTCCTCCACCAAGGTGCTTGGACAGAGCCTGAGTCACCGAGTTTAAGGTGATGCGATCCATTTGCACCTCCGATCCATGCGAAAAAAGTGAGCTGGAAATCGAAAAAATCGGATCGACGATTTTCTGAGGTTTCAGGAGATACAAAAACGACGTTTTCAAACATCCATTAATGTTGATCACAATGATTTTTTATCATACTCTTTGGATGAAGCAAACACCAATCAAACATGGTGATTTAATCATCAACCGTAGAAGCCTAAATGAATTGGGATTGGGCAAAAGCAAACATCGGGACATGAAATAGGGATTCAATCGTCAACAGCCATTGAACCAATTTTCAAAAAAAGGATATGGAATATGACACCTACCATTTTATGGAAATCATCTGAAATCATGAGAAATATGAGTCCATATTTTTCATATACACATATACCATTTGTATCATATCTGAAATAATCATTTTTGGATACATATATATATATATATAAATGGGATATTTTAAAAGAGATGTCTGTCAAACGGTAGCCATGTATTTTATTGTCTTGTGGATGCAGGATTCCCACAATAGCAATTTCAATGTACCGATAGTCTTCTTTATTCTTAAAAAAAAACACATCCAGATTCTAGCTGCTTGAGGATGGTTATACATAAATCTATATAATTTTTTAATAGAGTTTTTGAGCCACCAAAAATGGGGGCATTTTGTTCCGCAGCTTCAAGTTGCAGGGTACAATCCAGCGACCAGCCAGAGCCGTCCCCATTGGGGAATACCTTCGAGCTCCGACTTTGCTTTCGATTGAGCTAAGCATAGTGGTCTCAAATGGTGTATATATCTGCATGTGTTTTGTATCATTAAATGTTGTTTAAACACGTATCTCTCAGTAGACAACATATGCCTATGGGTCAAAATGTCAAAACCCTGGTGCCCTAGGTACCCTGAAATAGCTGGTGGATGGATCTTGATTCCCCTACATAGGGCAATAATAGGTTTTGACCCATGATGTTTTGTGCTGTTTTGTAGACACACATCCGTTGTGTTGCGACTCTGCATCTCAGCTCATCCCTTGCGACCCGCCTTGAACAAACGAAAAAATGGACCCCCAATGGCATCCAAAAGAATATGATCGACAATTCGTGGCTTTTCCATGTATTTATATATATATATACATCAAAAATGTGCATCATATATATAAATATTATTGTACATGCTGTACGTATATATATATATGTATATATATATACACGCATGTGCGAATTTACTGAAGGGTCGACACCTACAGCTCCAAAACCCAACAACTACTTGGTGCTTGGAGTTGAGGTTTGGAAAGCAATAAAAAACCCATTGGCTGCGCCTTCCTTGAAATCTGCTGAAGCACTTGAAGTGCCAGCTGCCAGGGTAACAATGTGAGGGCGCTGTTGAAGCCTTTCCAGGAAACAGGGAGGTGCTGCAGCAATCTCAGGGAGAGATGTTTTCTGGCTGTTTTGAAGCCTGTTTCGGATCAATATTTTGGAACCTGGGATTCAAAGTTTTCTGTTCCAACATGAATTCAAAGGATCCTTTTGGGGTTCGACATGTTGACCAACTCCATGGTGCACAAAAAGCGGGCTATGCTGGTACGAGCAAGCATCAAACTGTCACATCATTCAAAAATTTGGGATCGAGACCCGGCATAAATCCTTGGTCCTATGCACAGGCTGGGAGTCACTCAACAGCGTGTCGCAAATAAAGCTCCGTTCAGCTTCTACTCAATGTATAGGTAGTTTTTACATACTATATATATATTATATTATACTATACGATACACACTCTGGCAATCCAATCATAAACCCTTCATTTCAAAAGCTACTACAACTCTCAAATGGCCAAATTGGGCCTTGTTAATTGCTGCTTTAACTTTTTGACCTACGCATCAGTTCAGCTCCCACTCAATCCACGATCACTTTCCTCAACCAATGTATGATAATGACCAGCTGACCCTTCCCGCTGTCCCCATCCACGAAACGCCACGTCGGCCAAGTCACTTTGTGTCTCCGGTTGGAAATCTTTCACCTCAGCTTGATGAAGATATGTCCTGGGCGGCAGCGCTTTGCGAAGGCCAGGTTTGGCGACAAGGCGGCGATTTTTTCGGGATGTGGCCTGGAACAATGCCTCGTATACCTCCTGCAACGAATACTAAAATCACTGTGGCCTATTGCCAACAATATAGGCCCATTTTTTTGCCGATAGTTCCTGTAACCTCAATTCAGATCAGATCGATTCGGTGAGCGTTACTTGGCGGTTGAAATTCTGCGTAGTCCGTAGTCCGTCAATATGAGTCCATCGAACCAAGTAGGTTTGGACTATGAACAGTGACAACCTGCATGGCTAGACCCAAGTGGGGAACATCATGGGCCTGGCAAAACTTAGGTCCAACATGTTGTTAAACAAGACATTAGGAGAAACTCGGAGAAACACCAAGCCTATTTCTTTTCGAAGGACCAGGATATGTCATGTCGATATTTCCCCATTGGCAGATCAAAATCTTCACGAAATCCATGGTGGTGAATTGGTGGTTTGTGGATCTGCAAAAAGCTGAACTTTTACTGCGATATACTGCGATCAATGGTAATTGCACCCATGAATTTCCAGTTACGCCCAGAATCTAGATCTGTATGGCTACTATCCATCGACAATCCATTCGGAATCAAAGTTTCAAAGCACAGGGCCATGATTGATCATCGCATGTGCTCACTGCTGCCTCAGCTATCGACGCGATATGAGACAAGACAACAGGTATTGAGTACTACTTAGTACAAATCCAGCTTTTTGCCGGGTACTGTGCCTACCATTCAACATCTTTGAACATATATTTGGGTGGTTTACTGACTGACTTTCGGAAGAATGTATGGATCCCTGATATTTGGCCACATCATGCCACATCCGGAGTTTGATTGTAGAGACAAATCCCAAGTGTCTTGGTTTAAATCCAGACATGTTGTTGTTGTTGTTGTCGTTGTCGTTGTTGTTGTTGTTGTTGTTGTTGTAAAATCCACAATATCTGCATAATCATTGTTTGTGAGATCCCCGTGTCTCTTGATGACTACGGATTCACATGCTGATTGTGGAATCATATCCTTTGCCCTGGGGAACTCGAGACATACAGCAATAGATCTCGTCAAACCAACCCAATTTGATGAGGGCTGATACAGTGGGGGTAAATAACAACTAACTCTGGAATGTTAACCTCCACAAGTTGGGATATGGGGCCCCTACAACTATGGTAAAACCTGACCCCACAAAAAATCATGGAACTGATGATAGCTCCATTGTTTTTTTAAGATCGTACCTCCAAGTCTTGGCTAAAGCAGTCGAACGACTCCGAGGTAGCTTCCATTCGTAAACCGTAGGGATGGATTTGAAAATCCCTGGTATGGTGAATCCTAAAATCGCTGGGATTGATGTTTAGCACCCCCCAAATTACCTGGTTGGTGGTTTCAACCCCTCTAAAGAATATGAAAGTCAGTTGGGATTGTTATTCCCAATATATGGAAAAAATTAAAAAAAAACAAACCACCAAACAGTTTCAGTAGGAGGCGTGACTTATTCCCACTGCGTCAGGGTACATTGTAGCTGGCCACCGCTGACCGTACCGAGTGGGTCTCCATCTGCTGCAAGCTGGCCCTTGGTTGATTTCATTGTTGGGGCAAATCATCCACCATGATTGAACACATACACACACATATATATATTCATGTTCAATATATATATACATGTATGTATATACACATAACATGTAATATACTGACCACCCTTTTCGATGAGACATTCTGAAAGTCGTCGATGTTGTTTTGTTTCATCATGTCCATTCACTGGAACCATCATCCCAAATCTGAGCGCAAAAACAGCCAAAAACTGACAAGTTTTTTTGTCAACAGGTGGTTGATGATTCTGAAGTACCCGGCCTGGTAATATATGGATAATATATGGTTAATATATGGTTAATATATGGATAATCTATGGACAATAATAGTTACCCTCTGGTAATTTTCTACATGGCTATTGAACATGGCCATAGAAATAGTTGATTTACCCAGCTATAACATGGTGATTTTCCATAGTTATGTTAATTTACCAGTGGCTATCTCAGATCAAACATTAGAATTTCTTCCAGGTACAAGCCTGCTTTGATATAGATCAAACATCAATATATCTCTTATTTGCGGCCGATGTTTAGCCAGTTCCAGGTGGAATATGTTTACATTTTGGCCTTTCCTATAGGTCAACTGGGTTACCTTCCAATAAACAAGCAGAGCAATTCAATATGTAAACCATGCGCACCTGGTGCAATTTCAATCGAGATGTTGGATGACCAGAGTCTACATGTCCTACCTTTGCTCGTTGAGTACCCGTGTCTTTCCCGACCGAGCAAGAAATCAACACCATCAATCTGCTTTGATTTTAAATATATCAACCATCATTTCCAGGGTATCTAGGCCCTTTGGTGCCCCATTTATATAGTATGGATAATATGTATATATGTATATATTGTGATATACATTAGCCAGCGCTGGCCCCCTGCATTTATGGCCAGGTGAAGGGCTAGCATTGTTTGAAATCCATATAAAGATCCAGATTGTTGGTGAACCACACCTCATACCAAGCTGAGCAGTCCCCAGTTCACCCTCAGAATTTCCGATCTGTTGGATCGTTCCCATTAAACCACTTGGTACAACCACTACCCTCTGGTAAACTAACATAGCTATTGAAAATGGCCCATTTATAGTTGATTTACCTATTAAAAAATGTTTTTTCCATAGTTATGTTAGTTTACCAAAGGGTAACTACAACCAATGATGTCTTCATCAAGTACAACCATTAACTGGGATTATAGCCATCAACAACCAGAAAACTGCAAACTATAACTGATGGTTATAGTAGTAACCAAGGAATAACATGTTATTAATTTTAATTATTGTTGTAAGGTGTAGAAATTCCAACTTCCCAAGTTATGGTTGTAATTATGACTATAACCAGCATTACAAATGCTATAACCATATATAACCATCAAATGGGATTCCTATATCTCCACCGAGTCGCAGAGCAAAGCTCCAGGCAGCGTTTCCGCGGCGGTTTCGCCGCGCGCTGCGTAATGCGCGGATGGCCTTTTTTTGAAGGTGGAAGCATCACGCTTTTAGACGATGACTAAACATATGCATATTATAGTATATATAACCGATATTTAAATGTATATGTATATATATATATATAGTTATATTTATTTATTCATTCAACATCAAACATATGGATTGGGATTGCTCATCAGAAACCTGGCTTCAAAAAAAAGCAAAATATGTGCTAGTATGGGATGAAATCAGCCACTTGGTGATGTTATTCTTTTTCTTTATGGGATATAATTAAATTTAAATAATGGATAGCATTGGGATACAAGTAGCCTCGCAAAATCAAACTGTTGATGATCATTTTCATAATTCTAATGGCCGTAAAGGGGCGTGGCTGTGACCCACTCCAACCCAGGATTGATACCGGCGAAGCATCATGTGGAATTTTTTTGGGATGGGTCTGGTTACGGGATGTTATAAGGACAGTCTAGATGGATGAATATCCAAAACAACCGCCAATTTGGTTTTAACACCAAGGTTGCAAGAGCTTTGACCAATGGATACCAATTGTTTTTTATCTCCACCAAGAACAAGGGGGCTATTCAGACTAATCTTGATCAGGTGTCATTTTTTTCGCGCCAAGTTGGTTCCTGGGAACACTTGGGAAAGCCATCTTGCAGGTACCTGAGGACATATGAAAAACACCTATGGGTACTACGACTGCTACAACTACTACTACTACTACTACTCCTACTACTACTACTACTAGTACTAGTAGTACTACTCGTAGTACTACTAGTAAGAATTATATTTTCAGGAACAATTTTCATAAATCAGTCCTTCTGGTCCTTCTGCCACTTTCCAAATGGTGTCTGAAATCTTGCACCCCATACCATACACTGGTTATCCATCATCTTCGGCCCCGCAAAATGGCTTTAGACGTTGGGCCTGGCACATTCCGACCAGTGAAACAACATCGACCCATCACATCCACTAGCCATGTATAAAATACATTTCCCTATATATATCTATCTATATAATTATCATGTCTCCAAACATTTCTGAGACAACATTGTGTTTCTGTACGTCGTTTTGCAAACCCATAGTTTGTCACCGAAAAAACAAACACATCCCCGGCACCTGGTCACTAGGAATTCCGAACTTACTTTCTCCGGTTTCAGACCACCATCTGCAGAATGGACTCGCACCCATTTTTGGGCATGAACCAAACAAGTTGTTGACCGAAATATGTATACAGGAAGTACATCATACCGGACCATGATGCTCACGGCCACTCCGCAAAGCATGGCTATCCCAGTTGTGGGACAAAGCCATTGGATATCCATGGATATCCATTCGAGATATATCCCCGTCCTTTGGATCAATTTGGCTGGTTAAACACACTGGTTGGTGGTTTCAACTTCTCTGAAAAATACGAAAGTCACTTGGGATTATTATTCCCAAAATATGGTAAAATAAAATTCATGTTCCAAACCACCAACCAGCACAAGATTTTGTTGGCTGAAGCCCCATGGCTGGTCAATCTCCACTTGGACGCCGGACGCAGTTGAAACTCAAGTCGTCTGCAGCAATGCTTTCGCTGGACATTTCCTGTAGGCCAACAAGCGCCTGGGAGCAGCAGGTCATGTCTGGCAACTTGCCATCCTCAGGACTTTTTTGAAATCTAGAGTGAAATATCATCATATGCATACATAAAATATAAATTAATATATATAATATATATATATACATATGAATATATATATATATATGTGTGTATGTGCCATGCGGAAAAATCATCAATCATCAATCCATTCATATGCATTTATATACCCAGTGTATCCCATGGTAAGGAATCCGAAAACATGAGATAAAGATGGCCCTGCCATTTTTGATATACAATCTTTGACCACGGCACATATTATGACAATACACACATTACATACATATGTACCATGGTCATTTGACGTGCTGTATGTGGTGTCATCCCACAATCATTAGTGGAATGACATCCCCTTCATGGGAAACTAATCCATGTTTGACCATGGCGCAAAAATATATTCAAACTCATAGTACACATATGTATGTATATATATATATACTAATCAATGTCCATGTCACGCATTGTTATTCAAACAAATGTTCTGTCCAAGAAAAAACTATATCCTTCCCATCGTGCAAAATGTCGTAAGTCATTCAAGCATCCTCTTTTTGGATATGGTTAATTGGATGTTCCCTTATTGCAGCACGGTTTTCCAAAGTTCCAGGATGTTGCTGTGGGAAGTACGTTGCTAGTTTTCATGTGTCATCTTTATGGTGCTTGGTCCGCTGAGATCGCTATGTCCTGAAAAAAAAACACAATTCCACAGGTCGAATCCCAGTCGTCTTTCTTTGGGCCGAAATCCCTGGTCAAATCACATGTGCCTGTTGAGCAGTTCCAATTTCTGCCAAATTTCCAAGGTGATATTTCTTTCCGAGCTCATCTTCGCATTATTTACACAGTAAAAACCATTCGCATGTCTTTTCAGCCCTCCTTTGTCAAAAAACCAGTCGCTTTGGTCAACTTGGTGCCAAGCTGCTTGTTGCCACTGGCTTCCCCTCTCGCAAGCATTGATCAATGTGCTGCAGCTGATGAGGTCTGACTGAAAGTTGCCTCAGCCAAGATCAACGAGTCATGGAGTCATATGAGTCATGGAGGGGGGGTTCCAATGGGGAAATCCCCAATAGCTGGATGGTTTATAGTGGAAAAACCTATTATTAGAAGGAATGACAACTGGCGGTAGCCCTATCTTAGGAAACCACCATATGTGTTTTTTGTGGGAGGGTGAGGGGGGGGGTTAGTATTAGGAAGAGATGATTTTTGTGGTTGACCATTGACAATGGGTTGCAACGAAGTCTTATGCATAAACAACATGAGCGGGGTCTCCACCCGCTCCCCAGTACGGGGAGACCTGAAATGGAGGCCATTTGGAGATAGTTACCCTTACTAAGCGTAGTTTACGGTGAAGTCGTGGTGACGTGGTTGTGCTTGACCAGGGTCCCAGAGTAAGTTTAAAAGATTAATGGGGTGATGATCGACATCTTGCAATGCTTTTGGACAAATTATGGTCAGGCACGTGGTTTCAATGCAATGGGGGTGTCACAGGGGCATTACCGCAAGAATAGGGGATATTAGCCCACCTCAGCTGAACATTCATAAATGCGCTAAGAATACATGTGTATAATTGTATACATATAATATATATATATGTAATTATGGCATATTATGGTTGTACTGAACATATAAATTGGGATCATCATTCCGGGTAGGATGGGAAACAAACGGGTTCTATATGGAGATGTCGTCAGTCAGTCATGGGGGGGTGCCCCCAAATCATCCAACATTTCACCATTTCAGTATTGAAATCCATGGCAACTTGGGGATTTGTTTTTTAAAGAAATCTTTGTAATTTATAAGATACCCTCTGGTAAACTAACATAGCTATGGAAAATCACCATTTTTAATGGGTAAATCCACTATAAATGGCCATTTTCAATAGCTATGTTAAATTGCCAGAGGGTAACACATATCCATTTTGGGATGATTCCTGGTATATAAGCTTCACGATTCACCGCAATAATTTGGCACAGAAGGTCGCTATAATTTGCAGAGATCTTGATGATATGTGTAGACGCTGCCAACTACAAATGGATGTGGCTCAGAACTGCTAAAAAGACTCACTTTGTGGATCAACTGGCCCCAAACAGAACAAACCCCATATCCGCATGGACTATGGCGTCTACGGCTATACATAGCTATACTCAGTACAGGCCTTAAATCACAAGTAGAATCTTGTTCAGCAAAAAGGAGTAAAACGGATATATGATATTACAATAACAAAAACCCAAACCATTAATACCCCTGTCCCATCTCATTCTTCTAGTTCCTTAATCGGTTTCCCTACAATAGATTACAATAATTCCAAATACCGAGGTAGTACAACTCCCTATTTCATAACCAATCAACAGAGGTATTTGCATGGCTCACGTGACATTTGGAGGTTTCCTAAGTCATGGGGGTACCCCTCTCCATCATCCATTTTTTGGGTGGTTGCCATGAAATAAACCAACCATTTGGGATACATTACCCACATTTATATATCTGGGTAAATTACAATAACTCACTAACCTGAAATAAGACCATTTGCGGATTATTTGCCTTACTAACCATCATTCCAGTGAGGTCGCGATGTGAGGTCCTTATAATTTATCCAGATTTATGGATACCCCCATAACTATAGATATATCATTAGTGATATATAGTGAAAACACACATATATATATATTTATATTATCAGATTAATTGTGACAATAAAATAAAATCAAAAATCCCAATACATTGTTGGTTATAAACCACTGATTACCATTGTTGGCCATAAACCCCCAGCAAATTTCTATCGAATTTATCTGGTTGGTGGTAAAACAACCCCTCTGAAAAATATGAGTTCGTCAGTTGGGATGATTCTTCCCAATGTATGGAAAATCATAAAGTCATGTTCCAAACCACCAACCAGTTATGGACACCCGCATTCTATCCAAGCTTCTCTGCTTCATGCCTTGTAAGAGCTGAAGCACACTTCGATGATCTCCCACCTGCGGCTTCAGGGATCGTTTTATCTCTGGAAAACACACATTTTACTACGATGATGGAGGAAAAATACACTAGTTCCATAGCAGTTAATAATGATTAATCATGGATTAATACTGGTAAATTCTGGTTGAACATTATTAATAATGGATCAATCATGGTAAATTCTGGTTGATGGTGGTTAATAATGGTTAATAATGGTTAATAATGGTTAATAATGGTTAATAATGGATTAATGTGGGTAAAACAATGCCATAAACCACCCATTTTCCTGGGAATGGGAAACATACCACCTATAAAAATGCTGAGCGCTGGGGGATAATAGCAGCAAACTACTGCTTATCATCAATTCGAGGGTTATCAGAACTGATAGTAATGCTAGTACTGATTTCGAGTCCCACATTGACATGTATTGACCCGCCCCCATGCAAGTATCAACGAAGTTTCGCTTCAATCATTGATCAAACTTTCGGCGATCGTTGATGTACAAGACCTGCTTTCTTGGGTGCATCCAGCCAGTCTCGGCCACTAAGATGCAAACCCTGTTTGAAAGACATGAAAGTCACACAGGATTATCGTCTTATGTACGGTTGGAAGACATATAATATGAATATATACAGCGAAGTTGTAGTCTCCAAATCAACATATGCTATAATCATTGAGAGTAGCTAGATAGATGGATAGATAGACAGATAGCTAGCTAGATACATAGATAGCTAGACACATGAATAGTTAGGTAGATAGATAGACCGATCGATCGATAGATACACAATTAATACATATATACATATTTATAGCTAGAAACGAAAAGATAAGAAAGGATTGAATTAGATTAGAGTAGGTCAGATTAGACTAGACTAGATTTCGGCAGATAGACATGCAAATAGACAGACAGACAAACAGACAGACAGATAGATAGATAGATCGATAGATCGATGGATAGATAGGATAGGATAGGATAGGATAGGATAGGATAGAATAGGATAGGATAGGATAGGATAGGATACAGGATAGACAGGATAGACAGGATAGATAGGAAAGATAGGATAGATTAGATAGATTAGATAGAATAGCCAGATTAGATAAATTAGATCGATTAGAAAGATTAGAAAGATAAGATATATTAGACAGATTAGAAATATTGATTAGATTGATTAGAAAGATAAGATATATTAGATAGATTAGAAATATTATATAGATGAGATAGATGAGATACATGAGATAGACTAGATCGATTAGATAGATTAGATGGATTAGATTGATTTGATTGATTGATTGATAGAGAGATATATAGATAGATAGATCAATAGATAGATAGATAGATAAATAGATAGATAGATAGATTGATAAATAGATAGATAGATAGATAAATAGATAGATAGATAGATAGATAAATAGAAAGAAAGATAGATGGATAGGTAGATAGATAGATAGAGAGATAGATAGAAAGATAGATACATAGATAAATAGATAAATGGATTAGATAAGATAAGGTTAGATAAGATTAGATGAGATTAGATAAGACCAGAAAAGATAAGATTAGATAAGATAGGATTAGAAGAAGATTAGACAGATTAGATAGATAGATATATAGATAGATGGATAGATAGATAGATGGATAGATAGATAGATAGATAGAAAGATAGATAGATGGATTGATAGGTAGATAGATTTAGCTTGATAGATAAGATAGATTAGATAGATTGGATAGGTATAGATAAACATATTGACAGATAGATAGATAGATAGATAGATAGATAGATAGCTAAATAGCTAGCTAGCTAGCTCGCTAGCTAGCTAGCTAGCTAGCTAGATAGATAGATAGATAGATAGGATAGATAGGATAGATAGGATAGATAGGATAGATAGGATAGATAGGATAGATAGGATAGATAGGATAGATAGGATAGATAGGATGGATAGGATGGATAGGACGGATAGGATGGATAGGATGGATAGGATAGATAGGTTAGGATAGGATAGGATAGGATAGGGTAGGAAAGGATAGACAGGATAGACAGGGTAGACAGGATAGACAGGATAGACAGGATAGACAGGATAGACAGGGTAGATAGGATAGATAGGATAGATAGGATAGATAGGATAGATAGGATAGATAGGATAGATAGGATAGATAGGATAGATAGGGTAGGATAGGATAGGATAGGATAGGATAGGGTAGGGTAGGGTAGGGTAGGATAGGATAGATAGATAGACAAGATAAGATAAGATAAAATAAGATTAGATTAGATTAGATCAGATTAGATCAGATTAGAGCAGATTAGAGCAGATTAGATAAGATTAGATTAGATAAGATAAAATTAGATCAGACTAGATAAGATAAGATTAGATAAGATAAGAATAGATAAGATAAGTTTAGGTTAGACACAGAGATAGATAGACAAACAGACAGACAAACAAACAGACAAACAGATAGATATATAGATAGATGCATTGATTGTATTCACGCCGCAAGTGATTGTGTTTATGGGTCTCCAACGATCATATGTTGTAAGCCTCGCAGGACCTCAACCTTTCAAAATCATGCAGGTCATTTCACGATGGTCACGTGGCATTGATATCCCAAAAAGGAATAGATGAGGAAACTATGATTCACTATATATTGATAGTGTCATATATGGTTAATATATGGTTAACGTATGGTAAATATATGATCACTAGTAATAATCTACAATTACTGGTTGGTGGTACTGTTATATAATATACTGTTTATATACTGTTAATAATGGTTAATGATGGTGGAAATGATATGGTTAATGATGGTTAATAATAATACTGGTTGGTGGTTGAGCCACCCCTCTAAAAAATATGAGTTCGTCAATGGGAAGGATTATCCCATATACATCGATATACTATGGAAAATAAAACATGGTGCAAACCACCAACCAGATTCATCTACCCGACCCACTCTGTTCATTCTAATACTTGCCAACACCCATGTAAGCAGCAATATCGGCCTACAAACAACAACGATGTGCATCTGCCCAAAACATACCGAAATGAAACTATAATCTGTGACTACACGGTGGAAGTCGCAGGATATAATCCTACATATTTTCCTGTTCGTGACTTGAAGGATTCCCACAATTGCTGATGATGATTGTCGTTTGTCTTGGTTAGAGTCGTCATTTTGAATCACTTTAATTCCAACATTCAATCCAACTCTTTGTTATTAGGACACTGTCAACGCAACCAATACATTGTTTAGACTATGATTGTCATCTTATTCATTGCCATTATTACTAAAGTTAGTGACTACATCTTATTCATCGTATTGGTCACTCTGAAAATATGTTTCAACCACCTCCCAACATAATTCAACCCCATATATTCATATATGTATATATATATATACATATATATATATATATATGTTTAATAATTACAAGTATTGTCATGATTGTGACTCACCTCCTATCAGAATATTTCCGGTATTTTAATGCCAGTCAGAGCACAACAGAAAGTTATTATCAATAATATCCGATTAATTATTGGTATATTAGTCTAGTTTTGAAAACAACTTTCTGTTGTACTATGATTGGCAGTACAATATAATTAGCTCGTAAAATACTGACAAAAATAGTAGCACCTGCAAACACAATATCTCCCATTAATATCCATTAATCAGGTTACAGTATCTTTCGGCCGCTGCCTTGGCAGCTCGATTCAATGCAGCGAAGTCGAAGCGTTGAGTGCGGAAGCAGCCGCACTGCACACCTGGCCGGGTTCCCCCCATTCCAGGTACACTTCCTGGATTTGGTGCACGCAGAAGATATTAAAAAATCAATGTCAAACTGTTGTTTTTTTTCAGGGAGTGTTTCAATTTAAGGGGAGTGGATTTATGGGGGACTTATATCCAAATTTCAATTTTTTTGGGGATTATCAAGAGGAAAATACAGTGATAAACCATGGGATTGAACGCATACATGTGGTTACGCAGGGCAATACCAAACGGGCACAAATGCGCAACAAATCTGGTGATGCCAGCCAAATCTTAAATGGGTATGTCATGTCCCAAACTTTCAATCCCGGTAGAGCAAATAGTTAGAATATGCAAACATGTTACATTTTTTTGGTCCTCATGTTTCAAAAAATGTATCCTCCAAAACTGTGGCAAACATTTTTTTTGGTGGTGGTTGTTTCTCATATTTGCATCTCTGGTAGGAGTCGGTCAATGGGGCCTTGCTTTTTTTGGCCAGGTTGACACTATTGGCTAGAGATAAAACTGAACAATGGGAATTGGAACCCCGGAGTAATAGACTCTGTTGATTAGTTTGTGGGGTTGCCACCAAAAATGATGTGGGATTAAAAGGGATGCGGTTTTCTTTTGGTAAATTGCGGGTTTGATAAGCCTCAGTTGGCAACAATGGTGATACATGGCAAATGGCGCGTTGGGCAATTTGGGCGCGTTGGGCCGCTGAAACTGAACAAAAAAAACATCCAGGACTGTACTGAAGGTGGAACATGTCCATGCGATCCATCCCCAACCTGAACAAAAATCCTGTTGCCACAACTGCCACAACCAAAAAATTCACCCATTACTGGTTGAAGAGCTTATTTTTGAGGATGACAAAGGAACAACCACTCAAAACAAATAAAAATATGCGTTCATGCAAGGATACTCTGCAAAGTTCAATTTTGTTTGCCGTTGAAAAAATATCAACGAAAGTGACTAGGAGCAATCATGAAATATGTGGTTCTGTCATGGGCAACCTTCTTGCAGCTCTGGTCTGATTCAGCGCCTGCGCCTGGCTGCGCTCTTCGAAACTGAGGTGGCCATGACGTCGAACAAAACATCCATGGCACCGGCCAACCCTCTGTCAGTTTTTCGTTTGCTTTGGTCTCATATAAACCTACACAACCGATCTTTCCAAGCAACGTTTTGAACCATAGGCCGTCAGGGCCGTGCCCTGTTATTGCAAGTGCTGGGATGTGCTGAAATGGAAGCGGGCAAATCACCACGGTTTGTTGGGAGGCTCGTGACGTTATGTTCCTTGCGGCCCTTAAAAAACCATTGCCCTCACTGTGCCCGAAACAAGAACAATTATCAGCCGTGTCACACACGGCGGCCACATAGTCACCACGGGACGGCCCAATGGCGATGCATTTTTCAACCCTGGTCAAGTCGTGATTGTTACTGGTGATTGCCACCGAGCCAAAAATCTATGCACGTTGCATTCGCCGTTGTTTCAGCACGTGGAACTGGCAAAAGCACGATGCAGGCATCTTGAAAAGGTGCCGCTCAAGCGACTGGAGCCCAAAGAAGCTACATCGGCAAAGTCTTTTGTGCAGGCCTAAGTTGAGCTTTAAAGTCTAAGCCGGCCAGAGCAGCTAGCTGAAAGGCTTCGACACTTTTGCCTTGCTGTCGGGGCGCTTAAGCCGTGGCTTCCGTCCTGGCACCGGTTGCGGTTCTGGGGGCTGAAGGGTGACCCGAGGCGGCGATGTTTAAGGGATCGAGGTGCATGGCCAGTCGGAAACGCGCAATGCATTCCCTCAACCTTCTTTCATGTGGGTGAAGCATACAGTGCGATACGCTCGTGTTCTGCAGTTCTGTGTCGTATCGATGGGTAAATATCGCCTTTGTATAAAGCAACAAGCTGGCAAGTGCCCAAACAAAACTTCCACCTGGTGGTGGCTTGATTTGGAAATTGCTTCACCGTCTGGTGAAGGGATCCCTCACAAATAAGCTCCACCATAAGGACCGACAAATATCTTGAGGTGGCATTATTCTGACAAATACTTACTTGGCCACTCGATGTCATGTCAGCTTTTGACAGCGAGGCTATCGCGGCTTGATTTCTGCCTACACTGCCTACACGATGACCCGAAACCAATCCTTGGAATAGGCCACTGTTGCTGTTTCCCAACGTTGTAGATACCCAACCAATCGGTTGCCCTTCCCACAAATATTTTGGGTTCTTCGAACCAATGTTTAAGTTTTCTGTATCACCCAAATTAAAACAACAACAACAGCCAAGCATTGACCATGCTTAGCACATTGAAAGACATTCTACCCTACAGTAAGTAAACAGCTATGGAAGCCATGGCTCATTTAGTTTGATGATTCCTTTTAAACATTCTTAAATATTCTTAAACCATGGAAATTTTCCAGGTCGCCAAATGTAAGGTAAGAAATTACCAGAGAGTAGCAAAATAAAACACATGGAACATCATGGAACATTAGAAAAAGCTACATTTCCCCCTTTCGTCTCCATCTTCTATATGTGGCTCATAGGAACAATTTGTTTTCGGGGTGAAAGCCGACATCACAACATCTGTGACAGTTGCGGCAGAAACCAATCCAGAAAATGTGTAACAAACCCTATTTCAATATATGATATGACATATGGGCATATATTGGTTCACGACATTCGTGGTCAGTGTTTGTTCATAACATATCATCTAAATGGGTAACTTGTAGAATTGCTTTGGGTAATATCATACATCACAAGACTTGGTTCATCCTCAAAGTCCTGTGAGTCAGGGCCGATTGGCTTGATCTCAACTTATGGTTGCCTGGTTGATCACCACTAAGCGAAGTCTGATCTCTGTCAAGATATCATCAGCTACAGGATCTATATTCAGCAATATCTCTGCATCTATATACATATATACATATACATATACATGTGTATGTATGTATATATATATATATGTACACACTGAGATGTTCATGGTGGTGGGATCGTTTAAAATGGCATAAGATCACAATTTTGCCATTCAAGTAGGATGTACGCATGTTGAAGGCACCCGAACTAGGGACACACAAAAACCTGGAGATTCCTGTAGCACCCTGACAAACATGCTGTGCATTCAGCTTGCCATCCACTTTCTATGGCTTTGATTGCTGCATTCTGCCGATATATACATCTTGGGTCCAACATGGGGTACATAAAGGAGCCCCCAAGATAGGGAAGTTGGTTTAGAAGTAGCCCAACATAGCCCAACTATGGCTAGGATTTATGGTGGATATATTCGGATATATATCTAGTTGGACTGTGTTCAAAACGATATCGCTGGATTGGTGCAAAAGTTAGGACGAATCATGCTGATTCTCTGGAAGGCTTCTCCAATAATGGTCCCAACCCTTGTGAAGTTGGAAACCATGGTTAGCAAGCCGCTCAAATGTTCCTGATGGTTCCGCGCTGGAAAATCTTGGAACGCTCGGATTGTGACCTGGCACTTTCGTAATAAACTTAATAAACATCCTGCCCACTTGGGAGTATAGTTTTGGGCAACCAGCCATGGGGCAACGATATAATTTTGAGCCAACCCTATGTGGAAGATCATTGTTTCAAAATCAGGAGACTCATTGTCCGTCCCATAGTCTAGAAATCATGTCCCCCATTGATGAAACACGTCTGATGATGGCATGATAAACATGGTTTGACAATTTTTCCCCCTGATGAAACCGCATTCAAAACTAACAACTGTATATATTAATGGGTGATCATACATATTATATATAATATTTTAATATATCATATACAATTTATCAACCTAAGAGACATAAAGTCCCATTTTTCCTGGCCCCAAATGAACTGATGATGCACCTGGGTCCCTTGTGTTCTTCTCGCATCTGCCAGAGAAGTTCCGCTGCCACCTGGTGCTGCTCACAGTGCCTGGATGGTCAGGGTTACAACAAAAAATTGGAACATATTCAATGGGATTTCACGGGAATTAATGGCATTCAATGGGATTTCACGGGAATTAAATTAATTGCATTTAATGGGATTTCACGGGAATTAATGGCATTTAATGGGATTTCATGGGAATTAATGGCATTCAATGGGATTTCACGGGAATTAATTGCATTTAATGGGATTTCATGGGAATTAATGGCATTCAATGGGATTTCATGGGAATTAATGGCATTTAATGGGATTTCACCGGAATTAATGGCATTTAATGGGATTTCACGGGAATTAATGGCATTTAATGGGATTTCATGGGAATTAATGGCATTCAATGGGATTTCACGGGAATTAATTGCATTTAATGGGATTTCATGGGAATTAATGGCATTCAATGGGATTTCATGGGAATTAATGGCATTTAATGGGATTTCACGGGAATTAATGGCATTTGATGGGTTTTCCATTCAATGGGATGTCATGGTAATTAATGGCATTCAATGGGATTTCACGGGAATTAATGGCATTTAATGGGATTTCACGGGAATTAATGGCATTTAATGGGATTTCATGGGAATTAATTGCATTTAATGGGATTTCACGGGAATTAATGGCATTTAATGGGATTTCACGGGAATTAATGGCATTTAATGGGATTTCACGGGAATTAATGGCATTTAATGGGATTTCATGGGAATTAATGGCATTTAATGGGATTTCATGGGAATAAATGGCATTCAATGGGATTTCACGGGAATTAATGGCATTCAATGGGATTTCACGGGAATTAATGGCATTTAATGGGATTTCACGGGAATTAATGGCATTGGCATTCATTGGTGAGGATGTGTGGGGTTGCCACTACTTGTTGGAAGAAGCCATGGCGGATTGCCGGTCTGTCTTTGAAGATGTGTATTACCTGAGCTTGGGTCTGTTGACACATTCGGACCTACTTTAGATGTACATGTCATTACATGTCCCACTTGAGCGTTGACAAGTACAGTACAGTATTTTGGGGAAAAAAGATGAGCAGCTTGACTTGCTTGTTGTGATTAAAGATTTCCTCAAACTACTCTCTGCATGATTGTACTTGATCATCATTGATGGTAGTGATAACTCAGGTGTGGGAATGGCAAGGTCCATGTGGTCAGGAGCTTATCCTTTTTTCTTGCTTATTCTGATTACATTTAATGGGATTTCACGGGAATTAATGGCATTTAATGTGATTTCCATTCAATGGGATGTCATGGTAATTAATGGTAGTCATGGGTTTTTAAGAGAAAGACCATCTCTTCAAACAGTTTGCGAAGTGGAAAAGCACCATTGTTCATTGGCAAATCATCTGCATTTTGGGGTCATTTGCCATAGCAAGCTGTTAGATTATGATGCCGTCCCACCCGAGCGGATGGAATTTTATGGCAAGGTCCGGCGTATGCCGAAAGCAAAGCCGTTCAGAGCACCAGCGCTCTGGTAACTAATCATCAAAGTTGGGTGAAACAGTTTAACAACTGAAAATTGGGAAAATGTGTATATATATATAAATACACATATATATACAATATATACATATTATATAAGGACCCATGTCCCACTTGTATCAATGCGGGGATTCAGGAATTGCTCTTAAAACATGGACAAGACGCTCGCATGCCAGGATTGCTGCAGAGTAAACCTTGGTCAAAAAACGGCGGACAACCGTCCAGGCATCAGCCCCTATAGTGGTTGTCTCAACTTCTATTTTTCTGGGAGCTCAAGTCAAATTGACTGTCGGTGATCAATATGGACGGACCGTTCTCAAAACCAATTGACCAACGCTTTCGGCATGTCTAAGAATTGGGGGATGGATACCCCAAAGGAAGATGTTTCTATCCAAACAGACCAGTTTTCTGATTGTTTGGGTCGACAGTGTTGGGGGACCCCCCATTTTAGCTCCCTAATTAAGTTTCCTGGCAACCACCAGCCAATCTCTACACTCTACAACTACCTGTGCTGGCTGCCCGCATAAAGGTACATTCTCGCAGTCATCAGCAAATAAAACAACCATGAGGGAATCTTGAAAAGCGTTTCTTCGTGATGATTGTTGGGTACAACTGCCTGTGCTGGCTTCCAATCATCACCAAACAAGGGGTATTTACTTTCTTTTGGAAAAGCGGGTTCTTGAAGGGGATCTTGAGTGATGTGCTTCGAAAACCACAATTGTTGTTTCCCTCCGACAACTTGACTTTGGAAAATCACCTTCAGCTCTGAAGAGTCCTTGTTGCGACGACTCTGTTGCCTCCCATCTAAGTAAGATCAAACTCAGAAAAAAAGAACACATGTCCAGCCTCACCCAAACAGAATGATCCAAAGATCTTTAGCCAAACAAGGATCACATCTTTGAACATCTTTGAACAAACAGCATCCATTTCATCCTGCTGCCCTCCCTTTCGCACATGTACCAACACCAAGCAGCAAGGGCGTTGGCCCGAAGTATCTGCTTTGACATGGCCTTGTCCGAATGGTGGAGGGAGAACCGGCGGACCGGCGGAGAATGATTAGCTCATAATGGCCATTAAATATTCATCTGGTCATTATATAAATGATTCTGTGAAAGACCATTGAATTCTTAATGACAATATTGAATGATTATTAATTATATATTATATAACAATCAATTATTCAATGACATGGAGGTTGCCTAAAGTGGGAAGACTTCCCAAAATCATCCACATTTTCATCGGATTTTCCGTTCTAAACCATCCACAAAATGGGGGATGGACCAGCCCCTCCATGTGGCCATCAGCCATCAGTGGCAAAAAAGTCCCATGATCAACCGAACGCATGGTTTTATAGCCTAAAAACCACCCATTTCATGGTCATATTGGGGATGAATTATGATTCAATTATGATTGAGTTTACCAGATTGCAATCTGATCAATCTGTGGAATTTGTTTAACGATCTCAACCCTTAACCTCCTCATGGGCTATGCAGTTTTATCATATTCCTCATATTTCCTCATGCTGTAGCAGCGGGCAGTGGGGCCAGGAATAGAGACATCATCCATCATTTCCATTTACAACTAAGAACAATGGGAGAAGCTAACTATAATTGGGTAGAGTCGGTAGATTTTTTCAAAATCCCTGCGTCATCCACGATTTCCTGACAAAAACAGGCTGTACAACACCCGCTGGAACACTCTGAGGCCGTCTCAGTCACAAATTTTGAAGCCTCGACAGGATCATCGTGGGGCTGGAATTCATTCAGCCAGCCCTGTTGCTTCGCTTAAACATGGCCGGACAAAGCCACCATTTTTAGACACACCATCTTGTGTCGTTCCATCCCATTAATACTCCATTCATACACCATCAATTCCCCATTTTCAGGCGCACCCAAATGTCATATTGTTGGTTGCCCGTTGATTACACAATATCAATGGTCATTTCAGGTAACTAAATGCAGGTACTGTCCCATCTAAAGCCATATTTAGGGGGTCTATCCCCTACTTATATAGCCATTACATCGACATGATATGGCCACTGATTATATCCCATGATAGTTATCCTCATTATATCCCCATGCCCCATGATACCATCTAGTAGTCAAACCTGGCAATGGAAATTCTACCATTTAGTTCGATAGTTTTCCCAGCCATAAACCTCCATTGACTTCGGGGATTTTACAACCAGCAGCCAGGTGGCTGATGAAACCTAAGCGTAATCGTCCATTAACATCACAGAAAAAGAATTTCAGCAATAAGATGATCGCATTGATTCATCATTTCCTACGCAATCTTCCATATATAAAAATATCCCAACCCCATTTTTTCCCAGTTACCAACATTTTTTGACAACCTATCATCAATTCTCACATATCCATATCATATCCATATCATATCCATATCATATCCATATCCATCATCCATATCCATCATCCTCATCTCCCCATGATCTCCGCGTTCTACAGACGGACGCCTCCAAGAGCTCAACGGCCCAAGGCCACTGCGCTGCGGCCGCCATGGCGTCCAAGCAAATGCCGTAGCTGATGATGTCGCCCTGGGGACCCTGGGGATGGAGATTTTCCATGGGGACTTACCTGGTAAACATACACAAAGCTATGGAAAAAAAACACATAAAGGATTGGTTTAAAAGGAACATTTACTTCGGAAAACCCGAGATTTTTCATGGGAAAATCTATGGTATATATGATGACCCGGCCGGGTAAACATACAAAAAACGATGGAAAATCACCACTATCTTCAAAAAAGGTAGATCAACTATTTCTATGGGATATTTTCACTAGCTATGTAACAAATCAACAGAGGGTATTGGGATTCAATGGGGATTGAGGATTTCATAGGATTTGATTTATTTATATATTGAAAATCTTCAAGAGCCCGAAGGTACCATACCATATTTTTGGCCATAGAAATTGTGGGGATATTCCCTGAAATTTAGCCCTTACATAGGCCTTAACATATGGTAGATACTTCCAAAAAAGCGGTTCCACTTCACTGGCCATTTTTCTCAATGGGGATATTTTCTGGGGATGTGGATGGCGGCGAAATTGTCCATCCCCAGTGGCCCCAGTTGCTAGATAATCCAAACATACCACTACAATCCCATAGAAATTACCATCTGGTTATTTAACAGTTCGCCATGGAAAATCCCCAAAATAAATGGAGGTTTCTAGCTGGGAAAATCATCTATAAAAGGGCCATGGCTTCCATGGCTATGTTAAATAACCGGAGGGTACAGTGTTTCATAGGAATCCCAATAGTTACCCTGCCTGGCGCAGGAGTTCGCAACCATCCACAGTATGTCATGGGTTCTTGAGGGGGATATAATGGAATATATTACTGCAATTACATACAAGCAACAGTACGATATTTGGGAAACGAATGGAATATAAGCACGAATATTCTAACAATGTATCTGGGTGATATAAAGCCATATGTATGGGGATATGACGGGGATATAATGGGATATGATCAGGACAAAACCATGTTTTTGGTACCTGAAAAATGCATTATTGACCAACAAATCAATTATTGCAAATCTAGTGTATTCGTGTATATTGTAATAGTAGGAGAAAATATCAGTCACCAGTGGATGTCAGGTCGTGACAAATATGATGATGTCAGGTCTTGATCAACCAAAGAGTGTGATCTTCCCCAAGAACTGCAAGCCAGACACTTAAGGAGGCCATGGAGCTTTGAAAGAGTTAGATTTAAACATCAAAGACTCACATTTTACGCCCATTGAACATCATTGAACCCTCAAAAAATGGGGATTCGATTTTGAGCACCTGTGACTTCCAGCATCCAGCATCCAGCGGTTACAGGTCGATAAAGCCGTACAAGATAAGTTGTGGAACAAATGGGAATCGTAACCCTCCAACATTGTTAAAACTGGTTGGTGGTTGAGCCACCCCTCTGAAAAATATGAAAGTCAACGGGAAGGATTATCCGATATATGAAATGGAAAATAATCCAAACGTTTGAAACCACTAATTAATCAGAAAATGTAGGCACACAAGTGCACAAAAAAAACACAAACAAACAACTTTCCACAATCATTCGTCAGAAAAGTCCGACACTGAAACACCGGCCCCATCGTCTGATGACCTCATTCTATGAACATGATGGATCCATGTCAATGACCTAATTGGATCTATATGGTAAATATATGGTAAATATATGGTTAATCCATGGTTAATATATGGATAATCTATGGTTAATAATAATTACCCTCTGGTAATGACTAACAGTTTGCGACATTGAAACTGGCCCAGTCGAAATAGTGGATTTTCCCAGCTATAAAATGGTGGATCTGTCCATAGCTGTTTGTATGTTTACCAGAGGGTAAATGGATTGACTGATCCAGTGATGATGGTCCCAACCTCACCAGAGACTTCCTCAAAGAGAAGCAACACTTGCTGCCAGCCTGAGCTACCCCTGGTCCAGAAATCCGGACAGACAACGATGGGCAAACTTTCTCTGTTGTTTAAAAAAGGGCCCCCACTCAAAAAGATAGACGCATGAAAAAATCTACTAAAAAAGTGGTAATTAAGTGATATAAAATCACTTTTGATGGTTACTAATATAGTGGAACAATCCTACTAAAATAGTATAAAAATAGCCTATTTCCTACTAAAATTGACCTGTTCATCCTTTTTGTTCTTTTTGGCGGTTACTTTTTGATGCTTTCAACTGGACAAATAAATCAATTCAGGTGGATATCGCAGGAGTGAAAATCATTGTGGCTCTGAAAAAACCGTGGCCGGCATCAATATCCTCGTGCTCTTCCTCCTCCTCAGAATCATCATCATAATAATAGTAATAACAACAATAATCATGATGATGATAATAATATATCATAATAAATAAATATAAAACATAACAACAACAATAATGATAATAAAAATAATGACAACAAAAATACTATATATATATTATATCTAGTATATTCTAATTAATCATTATCATTGTCATCGTCATCGTCCTCCTCCTCATCATCACCATCATAACTCAGCGATCATGACCAATGATGATACTGATTAACATCACTAAGAACTACCATCACAATACTCTCAATTCTCAAGAGTCATCTAACAGTTAGCTAATGTTAGTTAGGCTATGGATAGCTATGGTATAGCACATGAATGTAGACCCGCCAAGTGGCTGGTCAGCGCACTCATGGCACTGTTGAGTGTCACAATGTCAGGCAGCATCCTTGGTAGCACTGTTGGTGTTACACTTGGGGTGAACAACATGGGTAAAACTATGGGATTTGGCTACCTCCCCATCCCATTTGTTGAGATATACTGAACATTTTAGGGAAAAAACTCAAATCCATTGATGAATTATTTTTTTTGGTTGATACATATGGTCATAAGTTGGGGTATACACTGGTACATATAGACACCATTTTCAAACACGCACAATGTATTGCTTGCTGTTCCGTGGACCCAAGGCAAAGGACAGTGGTACACTACTTGGACACGAATCATTGAATGATGTTCCATATATTAGAGACACACTTGGAACGTGACAGTTTCCAAGTCAAGAACCTTCTTGTGTGTTTCCTAAAATAGACACCTGATTTTCAAAGTGTGTCTGGCGGGATTCTGGAGATGTTCGCAGTGTAGGATGCAGCAACATGAATCATATATGCAAATATCTCATCCAAGAAGGTGGAAATGATGAAGGTCATTCAAACAAAAAAATGGATCTGTCTGATTCAGGCATGGCAAGTTACAAGGGAACATGCTTTTCCCACGCATCCACTTTGGGGAGAATTTCTGTTGATGTTCAGACCCCAATCTTGACCCAGGTGGAGTGCCGCTCCGGACGGGTTTGTCTGAAAATCGTGTGCCCCAAAATCCACTGGTTTATCATTGGTTTATCTGGTTAATTATACCATTTTCGCCATCTTAATAGCCGTAACTGGGGGATGTACAGCATTTTCAGGTACCACACGCAAACAGCCCCCGATGTTTTCCATGCGGAGCATCTCTTGTCTTTGAAGATCCTCTAAGAACCACAGTGCCAACTGCCACTGACCTTGACAACTGGAAATCAGCCTTGGCAGAGAGGGCCTGGGAGGTAAGGGGATTGTTTTGTATTGGTCAAGTGATGGGGAAATGGGAATTATTATGGTGCTAATGTAAGGATTCCCAACAAGGGTGGGAGATATAATATCGAACTTGTTAATAAGATCTTTAAACCAAACACACACACACATAGCTTAGGGGGGGGCCACCTGAAATATGGGCTGAAAATTCGGTTCCCGGTTCAATGCTTATCCCATTCTTTCGCCGCACACTGCTGAACAGGGACAGTGATTCATGAATGGTAACTTTGCAGTTGTTTACTATAAATGTTCCATATAGCTACGGCCATTCATGGTAAATATACTCATAAATGGTACTAGAGTTTGCAGTTCTTGATTGATTTTTATGTCCAGTTCATAGTCTCTAGATGCCTCTAGTAATTCAACATAGCTATGGAAAACGGCCCCTATGCACTAAACATCTTCGCTGCAGGTTTTTTTCCGTATCGGATCCCGCAGACCTTCCTTGGGTGTGGGCGAACGTGGGGGCGCCAACATGTCTTTTAAATGCCGATGTGAAATGGCCTTTAAGGCTACATGAAGAGATGATCCGAATGGGAAGATTCTGAATACAGTATGAACTTATGAATGATTGTCTAAATATCTAACTACAAAAAAAAACATCGTTCTTATCTGCACATGTTTTCATTCAACTCAGCTCGAGTCTTGATAGACGCCTGGCAGTCACAGTTCGTTGGCACCCAATCATCGAACTAAATGTACCATCTATACCGTAGCTATGTCAAATAACCAAAGACTCCCATGAATCTCCCCGTTTTCGTTGGTTCAATCACTATCAAATCACCATAAAATCCCATAAATCCCATAAATCCTATGAAATCACTATGAAGTCACTATAAAACCCATAAAATCCCCATGAATTCCCAGGATTTCACGTGCCAAGGGGCGCGTTGTATGAGATCAGATCCGGCTCCAGCTCCAGGTTGGGCAGCTGACGCCAGAGCTCCAAGGCCGAAGGCCACTGGTGCCCCGTCGCGCAAGAGCTGAGGGCAGCGTTGAAGCTCACCTTGGAAGGCGATCTGATGGCTGGGCTGGGAAAAAACAACAACATTTCTCTATATACTTCTATAGTTATATATATATATGTATTATAATAAGTAGATTATATGTGATATATATAATGATATATATATATACTGTATATGGCTTCATATATTCATATTTTCAATTTGATGCCAAGGACATATTTCATGACATATATATATATAAGTAAATATCAATGGATGTTCATGCATGTTCATTACTGTACATTGTATGAGTATATACACAATGTTGGAATTCGTTGGATATCCATACGCCATACGTCTCGGACCTCCAGATTTCCAGATTTCCAACATGGCCATGTTCGTAAACCTATGATAGACGACTAAGAGATCTTAAGAGTGTGATGTTATATGATGTTCTTGGTTAATATATGGTTAATACCTGGAACGCCACAGTGGCCTATTATTTTGAGCCACTTTTGGCAGTTGCCTATTTATCTTGCAACTTTGAGGTGTTTGTTTTTTTTTTACGACACTTTCACTGAAAATAGGCTACTTTGCCAGATCTGCCCCGCGGTCCATTTTTTCAGGCTGCCATCAGAGACTGGTGGCTCGATGCAGGTGGTGATCAACAAGAAGATTCTGTCTTCAAAACTTCATCATCTTTGAGGTAACCATAGTTTTTGTAAATTTAAGATATCTTTTGCACATGCACTTAGGTTTCCAAACTCAGTTCTAGATGCCATCACTGCTTCATCTTGTGCAATGGGATGGCACTGCGTCCTGCCCACTCAGGAGCCGGTTGCTTCATGTGGGCAACACCAGACACAGCCATTCAATGTGTTTGAACCGTTTTTAGACCCATGCATCATATCAATTTTTAGACCCATCATATCAAAAATGGGGAATCTATATATAGGAGAAAAATAATATCCCAAACCATAGCCACGTCTCACACGTCCAGGAGTGGCTTGGAAACACAACTTCAACGTCAGCTTGCCGGTGTGGACATTTGCATGCAATAAGGCATGTCAGGCTTCCATCATTGTGGCAAGGAAAGCCATGCGCTTTGAATTTCAAAAAAATATCCCAAACAATTGACCCATGTTTGAACAGGCCCCCCATGGCCAGTCTTAGATGACATTTCCATTTCCCTTGGCCCAAGGATGAGAGCGGCTTCTGTCCTCTATGTTGATGTCGCACTGGCTGAAATTTGATGGCAATTCCTGCGGTGGAATGGCAGTGGGGAAACATGTGCATGGTTTGTAAGAACGTATCGTATAGTTCAACAAATTTCAATCGGATCCAATGAAAGGTAAGTCCAAAGATTGTGCATGCGCATGCATTGCATTCAGAAACAACATGGAACAAGTTCTGCAGCATCTTTTCAGTGGCTGGTGTAGGGTCAAACGTTCTTACTTCCACACTAGCTTGTGACCCATGGCTGAGAGTGATCTGGTTTTGACATGGGAATCATCATCCATCATCCGAAGCCACTTTCGTCGCGGCTTGAAGTGGCTGCAGTGGCCTACTTTATCCTGTGAGTCTTTAGGATCTGCGGGTGGTGAAGGGTCAGCTGATGAGGATGAGAAAGTAGAGAAACACTCGGTGTCAACAAAGGCATTAGAACTCAATGCAGATGCCCTGTTAGCAATGCTGGATGCATACAACGGGAATTTCATCGATGTTTATGCCTTGCAAAAGGAGGCCATGCTGTTTTGGGTGAATATTGTTTTTTATTGTTTTTTTTAAGGGTTCGACCAAAACTAACTTTGACACGTTTCCCAACAAAATGTATGATTACTAGGACCCATGCCCACTACGACGGTTTCAGTTCGCTCCTACAGGTGAAGTCTCTCTACAAGTTGATGAAGTATGATTCCATGGACGTGAAAAAGGATTCGTACCTTGACAGTTGGGACCTTCGCCGGCTCTACTCCTATTCCTTTCGGCGCCAGCTCGATGCTTCAAAGCGAGTGCAAGTTCCACGGGACTGGGGTTTGAATAAAACTATACTGACCCATGCTTTGAATTTTCTGGGTTCAACATGATATACATATCATTTTTTAAAACAAAAAAACCATCAATCATGCTCCCCTGACCCAGGACGAAAAGGTCAAGCTTTTGTTCGACCGAATTGCTAAGCTTCGGCAACAGTGGAAAGAATTAGGAGAGTGGGATCCCGAAAACCCTCATGGAAATGATGATGATCAGTTTGAAGCGGCTCCGGAGCCAACCCCTCCTTCCGGGGATGCTAGTGGCCCTGTGACACCGGCAGTGACACCAGCCCAAGGTTTTGCACAAGAAGCTCTTCAGCGTCAGCTGGATCAGTTGGATGTGCCGCATGCATCGCTCAGTGAGGACCAGCGTCATCACTTGTTCGGATTGTTGGCAGAGATTGAGAGCTTTGAGAATCCAGCCAAGTGAGATCCCAAGGGTTGAACGAAGCATAGCATGATTACAAAAATGATTGTCATCATCACCTGATCTGTCAAAGTTTTTCCCATTTCTGGTAAGGTCGCAAGCGGTGACACCAAGTACTTCAACTGGATCTCCCAGTTTCTTGCCAAACAAAATGTCTGTTAACCATGGTATGCTCCTAAGGTAAAAGGTTTTTTTAATGAATATATTTGCCCTTTTCCAAGCCGGCCATGCCCAAAGGTCCTGCATCAGCTATGCCCGCTTTGCCGCAGCAGCCATTGGATCCTTCACAGGCGGATTGGGTTCAGGTGGGCATGGAAACTGGACATCATATAGTAAATCTTTGTAGGGTCCTTGGGCAGTATGCTTTCTCCTATGGATGTTCCATGCCCTACTTTCACACAAAGCCATTGATTTTCTTTTGATGCATGTGCGTGTAGAGGTTGACACTCAGCCTTTGTTGGATGAACATGGACTACCCGGTGGCACAGTGCTTGACTTGAGCACACCAAGCCCTGTGGGGACCAAACCGGCTGAAGAGACCCCTGAGAAGGCCAAGGGGCCCCACCAACTTTTATTATTGTATGATAAATCTGTTGTGCAACCTATGGAATACTTATGGATACATGCAAGAATTCAAACATATAATTATGGGTTAACTGTTATACAATGTTGACACCTTGAAACGGGTATATCAGCGTTATACCTGTAAACTGCGGTATAAGCAACCATAGCTAACCCTGTAGGTTGATGCACCGCCGAGGGTCACACCGGCACTTCAGAATGAGATGAGGACAGGAAAGCGCAAGGTATTGAAACGAGGCAGGAAGAGCAAGAAAGGTGCAAAGGCAAAGGGAAAGGCTAAGAATGCCAAGAACTCCAAGGTTGCCAAAGGTAAGAGGGCAAAAGGGACGGGTTCCAACCTTGATGACTCCAACCCTGATACTGATGTTGCAAAGCCAAAGCGCAAACGCGCGGCCACTCCAAAGTCTGAAGGGGCCAGTGTGGCAAAGCCAAAGGCCAAGGCAAAGTCTAGATCGAAGTCAAAAGAAGGTGAGGCACGCGTCAAGCAGGAACGCGTGGGGTCTGGGAAATACTGGAGGTACAGGGTTGTTGAGGGCCAGCAATTTGGATGCAGAAATTGCCGGTTCATCATCAACGGGTGCAAGTCGTGCAAAAAGGAAGGGTTCCGTGGCCGTACAGCACAGCAGGTTTGGGAGGAGGAGGATCGGGTGGGTCAGGATCAGGTGGATGAGGCAGAGGATATGGAGGAGGCAGAGGATGTGGAGGAGGCAGTTGCGGCAGACCATGGCAGCCGCCGTGCGAAAAAGGTTCGAAAGGCCAAGAAATCCAAGGCTTAGGTTAGCATCCAGGTGGCTCAGCTAAGCTTATATTTTTGTTTCTGACATTTCTGTTTTAGGCATGACCCTCCATTGGTTCCTGACCCCGATGCTTTTCCAAAAAGTTGTGTTCCAGTCGAACCTCTAAAGAACCCTATTATAAAGTAAAATCTCCAAAGATCCCCTATAATAAAGTTTGTTGGGGACATTTCTCACCACACTGGGGCATGTCCACCTCTCTCATTACCAGTCCTCTCGTGCTGAGGTATGCTGGCCAAGCTTGAAGATCGAGACCTGTGCCGGTCGACGCCAACAGCTGGTGAAAGCTCAGCAGAGTCACGGATGGCAGGGAAAACCTTGCCATGAATGGGGGTGGGTGGCTTTAGGCCACATGCAGGGCTGGCTATAAATCAAAAAACATTCCTATTTTTGTTGGACTTCTTGTCAAATGTTGCCATTGATTGATCCTGGCTGGCTATCCCTGAATGTGCGCCGAAACCACTTTTACATCTATAGTAGATACCAATCCTGGGTTTGCACGGGGGACTGTGCATCTTAAGATCTCGAGACCAGCGCTTTGAAAGCTGTGTTCCATCAATGCAGGAAAAACATTTGCACATGCGCCCCAATGAGTTGAGGGTTTGATGGGAACATATTGGGAACCATATCATATATAATATATATTATATATTGAATTCACCAGACTAACTATCAAACAAATCAAAATGGCTTTGGGCACTCTGGATCATGCCAGGTATGAGCGCTTCATATCGTCTTCGACACCGGGTCCGGACCCCAAAACGTGGTACGCCCACCCTCATGCTGCTGCATTGGTTTCTGGATACTGGATCACCCAACCTTCTTTTAGTAATTTCGATCGTTCTTTCAATAGCTGGCTCAGTGGATGCCTATCTCAATGCTTTTTTTATTGTGACCATTCAGGCTTCAAACCAGAGATCAAAGTGCTGGGCATCTAGGACCACACCCGGCCAAACCCAGCCAAGCCTCTCGCCATGGCCATGGAGTCAGCATCGTTGATGATGCTCCTGCGGCAATTGGTTTCCTTGGGTGCACCCAAGGCCACAAGCAACCGAAATGGACACAACCTTGTGAACTTGTGGGGGGGGCCATCAAATGTGTTGGACCTGGAAACAGAAAGATATATACCCTATACCATACATGCCCCCTTCCAATAGGTAACGCACACATGCACATTAATTATGTATCATATACAGACAGACCGACAGACAAACACACCTGTATATAGAAGTACGCTACACTAAGATATGCCAATCATAGTATGCATACAATATACTCTCGGTGCAGGTTCTGACTATGACCGTTCTCTACCTTTCATTCCTGGATGGCTTGGTCTATGATGAGGCACGATGGATGTGTGATATTGTGTGCCCATGCTCCTCCTTTCAAAATAAATACATCAACTCCCAGCCCTGGTCAGGTATATAGTGCCATAGAGGTCTTCGCTGGGGTTGCCACACTAAGTCGGTGTCTTCAGATTGCTGGATACAACACGGCAAGTCTTGATATCACATACTGGTCTCCTTGGATTGAGCAGCGAAAGTGCAAACGCCTCAGGAAGCTGTGTAAAGGCAACCCGCTGGACTTGCTCTCCCCTGCAGGTTTTGCGTTGTTTGGGGCATTTATAGTACTTTTCTCATTTACAGGTGAACCTATATTTTCTGCTTTTGATTCAAAAACTTGCAATGCTCTCAAGTTTATGCAACAACTAAGACTACTTCTGTCGACTATCATGCGGGCCAAAGATGGCGTTGTGGTGACATTTGGCTTACTATGCTCGACATGGGTATCCATATCTCGGGGATCTACTTTTCGATCATACTTTCTTCCAGAAGGAGATCAAACCGCCCCTTCAGTGGCGATGTCAAACCTTCTAGCAGCCAGGAATGGGTTATGCTAAAATATGTCCCACATGTTGACGTCAACAAGTTACCTGTTACCAAGTCTTGAACTTTACCAGCCCCTTTTCAGAATTCAATTTCCAATTGATGGAAGATGATGAAACTTGAATTATACCACGTAAGTGAAACATTTGGGGTTCTTGCTCCAACATCCTGTGGCCCCGGCATTCGGCATGAACCGGCTTTGCAGGACAGTCCTTGCAATGATGCTCGTGATGGTGAAGAAAGGAGTTTGGGTATTAGAACAGCCATCATCATCACTGGTTTTCCGTTTGAAGCGATTCCAGCAGCTTCTGAAGAAAACAACAGCTCTCTAACTGCATGCTAATCAAATTGTTGATCCAGAATTTACGAGTATATATATACTGTATTTCTTCCGTGTTTTTTTTTGGCCATGGCAAACCAATGGCCGCAATTGAGGTGTTTAAACAGAGTTTTTGGATGAGAGCTTTTGGAAGCCCTACACCAAAGAGAACAACGTTATGGAGTAACTCCTCGGGAATCAGATACTTTTGCACTTCCAAGAAAGCACGAGGCAAGAGCAAGGGGCCTAAACTTGCAGATACCTACATCGACAAAGCTGGAAAGAAACGATATAAAGGAAATGGCAACCTTCGAAAATCACAGTTCCAGCCTCATTGGTTTATGACAGTGATCATTCCCATGGCATTATCAGTTTATGTATGTGAATACTTGGAGTATTGCACAATGATGGCCCCTAGCTAAGGGCATATCCAGTTGGCTTCGGTGTTCGCTTTGCAGAGCATATGAACCACCTTCGAAAAGAGAGATTCCCTCTTCCTGCCCAGCACGTGCCTAGTTGTATAAATTATGGGTTGTTTGAATACTCATGGATGTTGTTTTTGCAGACCATTCCATGTTCCTCCCGGGTGGCTCCTTGAGGACACCGCCATTGAGCCACAGCACGTAGTGCCAGACTGTGCAATGGAGGACCTGTGGCACGATGCTAAAATGGTGGATGTACTTAAGTATTTGCACGGTGGGTCTTCATTGAATATCCCATCAGCCTGGAAACCTTTTTTCCCAAGAAATTGGGATGTTTGAGCAATTCTCCGATTCCCTTTTGGAGATCCAAATCGTTTTTAACCGCGATTCTGCAAAATACCATGAAAATAGTACACAGTGGCAGGAATTGGGGAAAGTGGCGTAATTAAGCATCAAAGTGGCGTAAATTGCCGTAGGAAACCTATGCCTAAAATAGTACACTTTCCAAGACCCCGAAAAAATGAAAATTTATCGTAAAAATTGGATATTGTAGCAATGGAAACGGCAAATCAGTAGCCACTGACAGGTGCACGTAGTTTCCATGGCGTCCCAAATACGCCTGATTTTAGAGTGCTTGCATTGCAACCGGAAAAGATGTGCTTCCATTGGGTGGGAAACAGTTTTGACTCAGCAATTTCAGTGATATGTTCCCCATACATCAACCAGTACATGATGCTCCTGCTCTTTGAGGGTCCACGAAATACTCCCATTATGAGGTGCATACCATGTTTGACTTGCAGTGGTTCAAGATTCTTGTTGATAGGGGCACCATGGAACCACAACGTTCTTGGTCATGCAGCACGCTGATGCGTGGGAGCTCTTTCTTAGCAGAGCAGATGAAAGCCAATGAGAAGAAGCAATCCTATGATGATATCCTTGGTGTTTCCAGGCTTCAATCTGGTTTATAAGGATTGTTACTTGAAGATAGCAGGGATATAAATGCACACAGTTTACATTGCAATACTTGCAGCCATGCGATTCCCCGGCCCAGGCTGCGAAGGCACGCCTGGATGCACTGAAGCTGCAGGCTGTTTCGAAGCAGGCTGCGCCAGTGACGCCTGCGGCCAAGCCGGGGTTTCAGTCTCCAGCCCCAGCATCTTTGGGAAGACAGGGTTCTGCTATCTCGCTATCATCTGCTGGCCCTTCTAATCAGAAGTCAGCTTCCTTGCAGGAGCGAAGTTTTTGAACCATATGATTGAAGTTTATAAATCATTTGATATTTGCCTGATCTTGGTCTTACAAACATACATGCATGTTTTTTTGACCCCGCCTTTTGGTCTTTCATGACGCTGCTGCTGGCCTCAGGAGATGTTCCAAGATGCGCAGAGTCCCGTGGAGGAAACACAATATCCACCAGGGTCTTTTGAGGACACACATGTGGACACTCCAGACCAAGAGGTGGGGGCCCTAAGTTCAAATCCAAAAATCTTTAATGATCTCAAATTTTGGCAGGTGACAGATGATGATGAACCTGCAGAAGCGAAAGCTTCCACGGAGACGACAACCAACACGAAAAAGAAGGCTTGCACATGGTGTCAATTATATAATGCATGCTGAACCTATGTATACATGTAAATTATATTACATTACACTATATATATATAATATATATTATGTGTGTAAGTTATACATGCTTAGATCTATTTGCACATATATTTCCTTGCAGGAAAAAAACGGAATGGAGAAGAAGATGGATGCACTCAATGCGACGCTGCGTCGTCTGTGTACCCCGAAGCGTGCCAGTGGGAAACTTGAAGTTAGTGCTGAAATTCATAGGCAATGGAAGCAGGGGGGAACACAACGGCAAGCTCTGTTGGATATCTTGGTCAAAGCTGGTGGAAACAAGGACACTATATAATGTGATTGAACCAATGCATGCATTATTTATCATCTTAGCTCTCCATGCACAATATGATTCCATATGTACGTGCCTTGTGTTTGTGCAGGACGCTTTCAAGAAGGAGATCGAGCACATCCAGAAAAAAGCCCGTCGAACCAAGATTCATGTGACCAAAGGGTTCTACTCAAAGGAAAAGATGCGTACCGAGTTGGGCTGGTCAGCGTCCATTTCTTAGAAACTGCAGTTCGTAGAAAGTATAGAACATATTGCAAGAATCAGTTTAACATCTTGCCAACACTTAGGGCTCGTATCAAGGGAGCTGTCGCCTACTGCTGCCACCCTTCCAGAGCAAAGACACATGTCAGGACTGAAACTTCTTTTAGATTTTTAGAATCTATTCCAATAGGGTTTTGAAATCTGGGAATATGGTGACATACATTTATACTGCATATAATGATCAAATGTAATAGTTTCATGATTTCTACATGTTGCAGGAAGGATAAGTACGAGCGCAATCTTCGGGAGTTTTGGGTCGATACTGCTACAACGGGTTCTGCTGAGGAAGAGAATGAAGAAACCTTCGTTGACCGTACTAGGGGTGAGGGTGATGCTCCAAGCACCATCGACTTGGGCCTGCCACCCACCGATTGCCCAGGCACTGATGACGAAGCTCAGGAGGACTCTGATGAATCGGTCGAAGAAGACCTGCAGGGCGATGCTGATGGCACCAGTTCCAAAGCATCTAAGGTTCGTGTGAAAGTCCCCGGAAAAAACGATGTGGAAAGGGAAGTTGCCCTTGAGGTGAGGTAAGGGTGGGCTCATGGCACTGTTAAGTATACTATGTTGTTCCTGCATGGTGATGTGCTTTATCTATAGCCAATATAGTTGGGTCTTTTCTTGGAATCGCGCTAGGCTGTGGAGAACGTCAGTTCTGTGATGACACAGCTGCTGAAGGTGCAAACCCGCATGACCGGATTGCTTGAGAAGTTGGCTGCCCTTGACACAGAGGATGCCAAGCAGACTCATGATCCTAATTTCAGGGTTTTAAAGGAACGAGTTACGCACACCAATTATGCATTACGTTTTGAGGTGTTCATGTTGTAGTCTTGTCCAATCCTTTCTCACCAATTAAGGAGTGCCACCAAGATCGATGGCTACAGCAAGAGCCTGATGTCACTGCATGATGATCTTGCTGATTTGAAGTCTTACTTCGATTCTTGCAAGACTGAGTTTGAACCAGAGAATCTTTACTGCACTAGCTCAACATTTTTTTAATTCCATACCCGCTTGAAAGAAACAGCCTAACACTATATATAATATATATTCCCCTGCAACGGCCAAGAAAAGTCAAGAACCTCCATGCCGTCGTCCAGAAGATCGAGAAGGAGCATCGCCCTCAGAATCCAAGTGGCTTGAAACACAAGTTCACACATCCATTTTTTGGTGGAGTTCCCAACTTTCCCTTTGTAGTTTCACTTTTATGATTTGAAAAGGTCGTCCAGAGCCATGATGGAAGACACCAAGCTTCGCAAGCCCCAGCCCCAACCAAGTGCAGCCTCTAAAAGGATTCATTTATAATATATATATATATATGATCGATATGCTATAGCCAGACTTTGGTGCTAAGGACGCTTTTGAAGCCCGTGAAAAGTGCAGAGCCCAAAGCCTTGCCCAAGAGCTCAGCACAACCGAAAGTAAAGGCTAAGGCCACAAAAGGTAAGTCAAAGGCATCTGCCAAGAAAGAAGATGATCATGAAGTACCGGAGCCAGTCCCAAAGCGACGAAAGAAAAACCGACAGTCTTGAGGCAACTATAGCCATGCAATTGCTATAGGTTATCATCAGAATACATGTACATACCATAAACAATTAACATCGGCCTGCGCACTGGCAGGCGCAGTGACACCGAGAATCATTGGGTGGTCTGAGGATGTCCAGGGCTCAGACATAGTGTCGCTCGAAGAATATCGCTTCGCCAGCAAATCCTGCTGGCCGCCCGGTCTCAGGCCATTGACTTTTGCGCGGAGCCACTGAGTTACAGTCTGCTTTGCCTAGCTGCAGCTTTCTGGTTATGTGTATATATATCTATTTATTTCGATGGACTGCATAAACCATTTTGGAAATGAAAATTTACAGATTATATATTTTACCTGTAAACCTTCAAGCCAGGATGCAGCTGCTTTGTTAGGCCGTATTTTGGCCGTGGTTTTCACCATGCCATTTGCAATTCCAAGCCAGCCACAGAGCCGGTGATGAAACCAACTTGATTTGGGGAGAAATTGTGGGAAAACTGCCATTGGTGTACATGCGTTTCGACCTTTAGTTTTGGATCCCATTCCCATTAAATTTCCCACGCAGGTTCAACTTCTCCTTGCCACGGATCTGCGGCAAAACGGCCGAAGACTGGTCCTGCAGCACAGGCCATTGCAGGTGCCCTTTCTAGAGGGGAGACTTGTCAAGAAACATCATCAACTTTTCTTGGCTATATCCCTCAAATTTAAGGCTTTAACTTATTATATATAGGGTCCCATTTCTGTTTCATTCATGGTTTCACTCAAGGTACCGGAGAAAGAAGTATGTTCTATTGCAAAGGCTGTTTGGGAAGAATTTCAACCATGCTTGGCAAAAGAGCCTCCCAGTACAAGTTTCTTACGCATGGCTACGAGGTTAGCATCCACTGGGCATGAAAACCGCTTGACTGACAACCTACCTGAACATGGTCTATCTGCAGATATACCTGTGAGCTATGTTGATTGCGGCCTCAGTTCAGGGCATCCCATATTAGCAATCCAGGACTTCATTCAAACTCTCGATGCAAATGGCAAAATCGACTTGCTGTTGATGGGGAACAGATCACCAATCTTCACAGATTTTTGGGCTAACTGGCAACAATTACAGCCGAACCACGAGGTATTTTCCTACCATCAAAATCGACTTGGGTCATGCATACCCATTTCAGTGCACTTTGATGAAGGGACCACCTTGAAGAAGAAAGCAATCATGATTATACAAACACAAGCTGTTATTGGCAAAGGGACCCGGAAGCGTAGAAGCACTTCACTAATTCCAGGCTGCAATTTTGTTGGGAACACTATCACATCGAGATACCTGTGGAGTGTTATGTTGGCAAGGCTCTACTCCAAGAAAACCAAGGGAAATGCAAAGAAGAACGCACCACTGATAGATCTTATTGCACATTTGGCCAAACAGCTGAGAGATGCATTCTACAATGGAATGGAAGTCACCATTGATGGAAAATTGGAAACAATCTTTCTGGTCCCTCTTGGTTGCAAAGGGGATTGGCCAGCTCTTGCAAAGGTTGGTACATTACAACGCCACTTCGGACGGCAGAGCGCTAAGGATGGTGCGGCAGGGATTTGCCATTTGTGTCGAGCTGATCAAGACGGATTCAAAAACTGGCATGACGTGAGCTTCAGTAACATTGAATCCATGCATCGTGATGTTCCTTTGCCATGGACTAGAGACCCAGCCCTTCTGTCAGCAGTTCCTCTACCGGACGCTTACAAGGCATCCTTTTTCAAGTCGGATTTGTTCCATACCCTTCACAAAGGCGTGTTTGCAGACATAGCCGCAAATACCATCGTTTTCTAGCTGCATTCATGCGTTTTTTCTTGGTCTTATTTTTTGTTTGCCTAGGTTACCATGCTTTAGTTGTGCATTGTGTTGCAATCGAATGTTGAGGTCTGTGGTATTGACCATGGTCTTTTCTGTGATGCAGATGGTTTTGAAGCGCAAATTGAAGCATTCTTTGCAGAGCTGAAAACGTTTTGTTCTGCCAATGGCCTTCAACTACATATGACTGCATTGACACGCACACTGTTGGGATTTCCAAAGTCCAGCGAATATCCAGTTGCGATGCTTTGCTGTTGTTCGGAATGTTTTTATAACTCATTTTGGTGTCCTTTCCTGACTGTTTGACAATTTAATTGTTGTCAATTGCCTCCCCAGGAATTGGTTCAAGGGCAATGACACAACATCTTTGCTGATTTTCCTGGAGCACAGGCTACGCTCTGAGATGCCAAACTTAGATCCTGATCAAGCGCGCTATTTTGGTCACATGCTTGCTGCCTGTGAGGCCGCAAACAAGTTTATGTCCTGTGTTTTTCATGCAGCCTTATGGCTAAGTCCTGTGGAACGGGATACCCTTTTAGTCCAAGGACATACCAGTGCGACATGCTTTCAGGAACTTGCAAATGAAGCGTACATGATGGAAATCACGCGCTGGAAGTTGATGCCTAAACTGCATGTATTAGGCGAGCTTTTGTTCCGCCTAGAGTATGAGAAAAAACATCATTTGCCATCAATTAGTCCTTTGGCATGGAGCTGCCAACAAGACGAAGATTTTGTTGGGCGAATCGCTTTTCAGTCACGGGTTGTTAGTATCCGAAGCGTTCATTATCGAACTCTCACCCGCTATCAAGTAGCTCTAGCTTCCAGGTGGTGACTGACAGTTAAAATATGTTAAAATCAGTTAAATAACTATCACACTACCCTTTCTCAACCTTATTTGGGGTTATAATGGGTTAACCTTGTCTTGTTACCATTCCCGGAATCCCCAGTCACACCAATCTGGTCCTGAAGTGTCAGCTCGAATGACCAGCTCGAGCATGGCGTGAGACGCAGCTGAAAAGGTGGATGTCGAAGGGGTCCAACTAAGTACAGTGGTATACCTGGGATATTTTGGGGGTAAATTATGATCATCTTAACATATGATAAACATATATTTAAACACTATATCATCCTGTATGAAAGCTATAGGTTCTATCAATGGGAATATGCATGTGGAATGCTATTTAATGCCTGGGGTTTCTCACAACTGACCTGGTGCCAAAACATGTGAATCAAGCAGTGGCAACTTTTCCGAAGAAAATAGCACACAGTGACGCAGTGTACTATTTTAATAGCATACCTGGTTATCCAGGTATATGGTTAATATATGGTTAATATATGGTTAATATATGGTTAATATATGGTTAATATATGGTTAATATATGGTTAATATATGGTTAATATATGTTTAATGATGGTTAATTTGAACCATACTGGTTGGTGGTAAAACAACCCCTCTGAAAAATATGAGTTCGTCAGTTGGGATTATGACATTCCCAATATATATGGAAAATAAACATGTTTGACACCACCAACCAGAATATCTTAGAGTGTAAGATAGTGTAACTGATCAAACTTTTGCAGTTGAATGCAGTCGAGCCTTGGATACGTGAGAAGGAAACACGAGGCATCATCCCCACGAAAAAACTGGACCCAAACGCTGCAACAGGTTGATGGTTTCAACCCATTTGCATTCATTTGCTAGTCATTTCATATCATCAGGGATTATTATCCAAATAATGAACAAAAAACATACATATCATACATTGAAAGCACCAACCGAGCGCAAAAAAAATGCTTGGAATTGCAGCGGAGGGCCGTATCACACTGAATTCCACCAATTCCACCGAAGAGAAGAGAAAGCCCCATCTCCCATTGGCTCGAATTCTCACATGCACTCAGTGCCACATTGCAGCCTGAAAGCAGACGCCAAAAAAGGATGACGGTATGGATGGAATTTGAATCGTCACACAGGATGATGACTATCTGGTTGGTGGTTTTAAGTTTTAACATGTTTTAACCATCTTTAAAAACATGAGTTCGTCAATGGGAAGGATGACATCCCATATATGAAATGGAAAGTAACAAATGTTTGAAACCACCAACCAGCTTTCCCGTTTCCTGACTCTCTGGGAAGTAGCTTCAGATTCCTTTCACCTGTTGCGAAAGATGGGAATCAAAACAACTCAAACAATCAATCCAAAGCATCTGGTTGGTGGTAAAACAACCCCTATGACTATGCCATGGTTAATATATGGTTAATATATGGTTAATATATGGTTAATATATGGTTAATATATGGTTAATGATGGTTAATTTGAACCATACTGGTTGGTGGTAAAACACCCCCTCTGAAAAATATATGAGTTCGTCAGTTGGGATGATGTCATTCCCAATATATATGGAAATATAATCCAAATGTTCCAAATCACCAACCAGTATATAACCATCATATTCCCATTGTTGTTGGTTTATACCCTATTTTTAATCACTATTAACCATCACTATTAACCAGATATATGGAAAAATATGGAAAATCACAATTTTTTAACTGGTTTCTAACAGTTTCTAACTAACCAAGAGGTTTTTGTTGGTTTCCATGATTTCCATGGCTCGAACTGTCCGGCCCCGGTCGAAGAAATCCAAGAAACACATGGTGTCAGCTTGGCAACTCGTGGTTGCCATCGCCATCAAGAAATTCAAGGCAACCTCCCATCGCCCTGGGGACTTCGTGAATCACACTCTGGTTATTTGTTACATAGCCATGGAAGCCATGGCCCATTTATGGATGATTTTCCCAGCGATCGAAACCTCCATTTATTTTGGGGATTTTCCATGGCGAACTGTTAAATAACCAGATGGTACGAATCCCCCGCATTTGGCTTTGCCGATTTTTGCTATTCAATGGATTGGTTAAGTCGGGAAAATCTTAACCGGAAACCATCGATTTTCCCATTTTTTATATGGGGCTTTCCTGTAAATTTTCCCTTAAACCAATCCATTGAAGGTATATATGGTATATATATGCTAACATTGGGCGTATATTGATGGTACATGTTACCACATACAGCAGCACCATGGATCCTATGGGAAGGTATTGAGAAATCAGGCCTCATTAAAAATAAAAAAAGAGCACTGTGGCGCCAGTGCTGAGAGTTGGATGTCCTGTGGTGCTTTGTTTGGAACATATACACAAGTATTGGATGTAAGAAACATAGCCCCTCAATGCTGGGGGCGTCCAGCAAGTGAAGACTAGGAATCAAATGATTCATGTGGCAGTGGGAAGTGTTTGTCTCAAGAATACGTGATTGACAAGAACATACATTCTCAGTGTATCCCCATGATATCCCACTATATATATATAATACCCTCTGGTAAACCAACATAGCTATTGAAAATGGCCCAGTCGAAATAGTGGATTTACCCAGCTAGAAAATGGGTGGATCTTTCCAGTTCGTTATTTAAACGTTTACCAGGCCGGGTATTATATCCCCGTAAAAAGGTCGTTCCCCTACTATCTCCTCGATTGCCAGGGTGCCAGACTTCTCACAAGCGCAAAGACAGGCACCAAAAGTCAAGAGATCCTCAGCGGCGTAGCCGCGGCTGTGGGGTCAACAACCAACAATAAATCCTCCCAACATATAGGTCTATCATTGGGTCTACCACATAAGTCGATTGAGGTAAAGCACGTTAAAATACGACATAAGCTGTTGTCGACCCAGAGACTTCAGTTGTTGGAGTCCTTGGGGATCTTAAATCAAACCCGAAGAAAGGTGATGAGTCCATCAGAAATTTGCTAAGATGGCTGGGTGAAACGTACCATTCCAGCTGGGAGACTTCTCACACAACACGACCATGGGAGCGTTCCAGGTTCAACCGACGAAGCATCGCGATTGTGCCATGTTGAATTGCTGACTAAGTGGATATGGTTCATTGATACGGCTTTGTCTAAAAAAATCAGGGGAAACCCTTAAATCATCTGAAATCATTTGGTTTATGCCATTCAAATCATCATTTGGGGCTAGCGATTTCCCATCTAAATCCAGAGTTTTCACCATGTTTACCCTCTGGTAAACTAACATAGCTATTGAAAATTGCCATTTATAGTTGATTTACCCATTAAATGGGTGGATCTTTCCATAGCTATGTTAGTTTTGCCAGAGGGTATTTCCCCATTCAAATCACCATTCGGGAATCTCCGCAGAGGCACGGCTTTGAGCTGTCGATCCATTATGGACTGCAACAGGCTCCTGGACTTTTGTGAAGCATCGATGGTCGCGTTGTTGAAAGCAGTTGCGAAAGCCCAAATATATCCAAGTCAATCCATAAATTTGTGCTTGAGAATGCAAATCAATTCGTAGATTTGTGGTTGAACACACCAAATCAATCCAATTCATGTATAAGAATACTTGCAAAAACATACAAACGAGGCTTGTGAACTAAAGCATATTATTCAAAAGTACCAACTGACATAGGTTCATGAAACTGGATGAAACTGGGCATTCTTGGCATTATTTTTTTTGGATGAAAACATTGAGTGTGCAGGACTGTATGACTGTCCATTGGCACCATGACTTGGGGTGGGCACACTCCAGCTGACAACCGAATCAATCGTCAAACACAGATTCATAAGTTCTGCAAGTCAATTCTTGCTAGCCCGTCATTTGACCGGATACCGCAATTGCTTTCCAATCTTTTAAATGGACGAGTTACGATACGTTTCACGGGCGGACAGTGGACAGCGGTGCTTTATCGTTCACTCAGCTGAGATGCATTGCGACCTCCCAGGGGCAGTGACTCATCAGCGATGTGTATCCCACGATGTCGCCATGGCTCACCTGTAGGAGAAGCCGAGACCGGGGCAGACATGAGTCGAAACTGTGACAAATCTGCGACAATTGCGTTGCGCAATTTCTCTCAGAAATCTTGGAAAAAAAGTGAGAAACATGGCAACATCTAGAATGTTGGGGATAAAGAGCGATGAAAATTGCTGGAAACATGGCAGGATCTACGAAGCGAAGTCTATGTTTTTAGAGCAAGTCAAAAAAACGATCAATGTCAATTAATGTCAATAGAATACGTATTCTTCAACGAGTAACATTAATATGACTTATCTAGCAGGCTACAGTACCCACAATCCAAATGATACCTGGATATAGACTCAATAGAAACGCACATGCAACGTATATAGTAAACGAACTAATGACTGACATGTCATCACGGTTTTACCGCAAACATGGCACACATAATCAGATGTTGTCTGCCGGAACGTTTCCACATCAAAAGGTGTTCAAGTCCAACGGTTTTTGACCTGTGACTTGACACTAGTCACTACCTTTTTTGGGTCCAAGGGATTGATATGGGTTTGAGAGAGTTTGATATGGTCTTGATATAGTTTGAAATGGATTGTGTTTGAAACTATATCAATTTCATATCAATATGGTTCCTATATTGGCTCCATATCAATTGTGTTGATGTTTTGAGATGGTTTCTAAACATCAACTTCAGGAAATGGTTTCACCTTGTGTTTCAGGCTCCCAGTTGTGGCACGGCACAGCTATAGTCACTATAGTCCAAGTTTCAGGGATTGTCCCAAGTTCAATTGCTCCGATCCCACTTCCGGGTAAATGGATGTTTTCACTACTTAAAAAAAAAAAAAAACATCTTCAATTTTAAATCACAATTAAAGTGAAAAATAATCCAGTTTAACCCATCTTGTTGGACCCAAAAATTGGTAAAATCTTCAAAACATCAAATAATTCACTCTAAATGGTCATTTTCAATAGCTATGTTAAATTACCAGAGGGTAAATCTTCAAAAAATCAAATAATGAAGCCATCTTCCCATCTTCAAAATCTTCAAATCACAATGAATCCCCCGGTGAATTCATAGCATTTCGCCGCGGCACCAAACAGCCGTGCAGCGCTAGGTCCCAACGTGTCCCCTTCGTCAAGGCGTTGACTGCGCTGTTGCGACACGCTGGATCCAGCTGGACCTGATCCCAGAAGTTGGACCTGGATCAATCCCTTTTACCCTCTTGTAAACTAACAGTTTGCTAATGGAAAATCACCATTTTACTTGTTTGTGTTGCTATTCATAGCACCTTTTCTAGGTTGCTTTACTTCACATTCGTTGAATTGTATGAATCCCAACTGTTGATGCTTCAAGTCCCAATTTAGATGCCAAATCTTCCCATTTCTCGCATTTCTGTTCATTTAATCGACCATTTTTGTTGCTGGGTCCCCAGCAACCCCCTGTGAGAGGTCAACCAGGTCAACCAATGCTTCACTGTGGATGGCAAATTCGGCAGATGTTGATAGTCCCATCCGACCCGACCCTGATCGATAGCATATACCCTCTGGTAAACTAACATAGCCATGGAAAGATCCACCATTTTTAATAGGTAAACCATCTATTTCTATGGGCCATTTTCCATGGCTATGTTGGTTAGTCATAACCAGAGGGTAGCTATGGAAACGGATGAACATGGCTCTATAAATAATTTACCTCTCAAACATATTTAATGGTGATCGGTGATTTCCAATAGCTATGTTAAATTATCAGATGGTACACCCAAATGAAACCCTACGAATGTGTTCACTTGGGGAGTCCATTTGATGAGAATTTTCATATGATCGGGTGATGGGATTCTTTTTAATATTCCCATTGTTCAATGTATTCCTGGTAAATCACCCCTTTTACGATTGTTGAAATCCCCCTACTACCTTGCCCAACTCCCGTATGCTCCATGTATGATCTACGTGTATATATATATATATACATACATATATATATATATATATATATATGTTACTCAAACATATGATAATATATATATATATTATACATATACTTGCATTTGGGTCATTTTCCGGAAATATCAATGTTGACAACTATTACATGAAGCAATATGGAGCATATAGGAATATGTTTCCACTATTCCATACATCCTAAATGCTTCCTATTGTATTGTTATGTAATATGCCCATGCTATAGCATGCTATATCATGATATGGGAATCGAAATTCAAGGGCCCAGGGGCTGCAAGACTGATCATTTTTGGTATTACACAACCATTTTGTTTACCTTCGATTTTGGGTACTCACTTCTGACCCGTATGGAAACTCGAATAAAACCACTAAACTGAGCAGTCTGGCCATGTTGAGATACTTACATATACTTACCGTAATCCTAACCATCATTCCAGTGATGTCGCAGTGAGGCCGTGATCAACTCAAAAAATCTTGAAACATCGAAAAATTGAACAAAGCAATCAGCTCATATCGATTCATAAAATCTTGAAACATGAAATCATAAAATCTTGAAACATGAAAATACATAGTTCTATCGTAGTTCTATATAGTTCTTATATGTTATGATGTTCTTCTCCCAAAATGGCCAATCTCCAGCTCTCTTTTTCGGTCACCCAGGACACACCGCCGCACCTGGCGTTTTGCCACTTCCAGCAGTGCCAGCGCCACCTTTGAGGGGCCAACCTCCAGGGCCTGGAAGGCCGCGGTGAAGGTCACCACATCCACCACCTGGGAGACCACAGGGAAGATCTGAAGATTTACCATCTGGTTATGACTAACAGTTCGCCATGGAAAATGGCCCATAGAAATAGATAGTTTACCTATTAAAACTGGTGGATCTTTCCATGGCTATGTTAAATAACCAGATGGTAATGAAACTTTATGGTGATTCATAGGGAATTAATGGGGATCTGTCATGGGATTGTATGGTGATTGATAGGGATTTAATGTGACACATGTAGTTTGTTTCATAGCTGAACATGGCCATAGAAATAGTTGAATTACCGAACTTAACAAATGGTGATTTTCCATAGCTATGTAACATATTATTAGTGGTTTCACGACTCTTCCATATTTTGAATGATGGGACAATGGGATGATTTCATCCATAACATTTATCATTGTGATCATCATGTCATCCTTCAGGTTCAAGATCATCATTAGAATTTGTTAAGATCATCCTTCAAATAATCTGTGTTCAAATGATCTGAAGGGTGATCTGATGATTCTCTGAAGGGGGAGATGATTTGTTTCCTTTATAATCCAAAGATTTGTTTATTGAGATGATCCACAGATTTGTTTTGCATCCTGCAGAGTTTTCACAATAAAAAACACCATCAGGTTTGAACCTGTGTGAATAAGAATTGAAATGACAACTCAGAAGTGAGATGGTTTAACTGTCAAATTGATCTTTCAAGTTGCAAGGGAAACTCATCCAAGTTATATACCCTCTGGTAATTTAAGGTAACTATTAAAAATGACCATTTATAGTTGATTTACCGACCCATTAAAGATTGTGATTTTCCATAGTCATGTTAACCAAGTTAACCAGAGAATAATATTTCATCAGTCACCATTAAAATCACCACTAGGCCGCCGCACACCAACACTCTGACCTCCCACCCAGCATCCCACCTGCTGATCATGCAATAGCGAGAGGACCATTCGCCAGTTCCCATGACCGATGGCAAACAAGGCCGAATTTCGAATGATCAAGTTCGCTTCCAGCCGCCTTCGGAACACGGTTTCCCCTCCCATATGTTTGTTGGTTTATAATCCCCATGAACTAGCTCGGTATATCTACCATAAAACATTGTTAAGCTGGTTATAAACCAACTTTGGAAAATGGGAAGGATTGTTAGCATGCAGTACTAGCGACTAATCATTAATGGTAGTGAATAATTGCATCATATGCCCCTATATATTTCTGGAGGGGTCACTTTTGCGGGGGTTGGCTCAATCCCGATATCTAGAGAGTGTTGTTTTACCAGTGGCTCCCTAACATTCTTGCAAGGGTTCAAACAAGTAGATGTGGCTACAGGATAACCCACTTGATTTGGAAAATCCGCCCCGAAATCCATGAATTGCTGAATGACCATTGTCAATATTAAAATTGCCAATAAATGACCCAATTTCAGACACCCATATATTAAGCTGCTAGAATATCTATATCTACCTACATATATGTATATATATATATTTCCCATTCACATCCAATAAACTGTATTCCCTTTTTTTGAACATCTCCCTTAGACTAACCCTTACTGATCCCCTTTTTTCAACTTTACCGGTACCCAGTCCTCCCAATCTTGGCGCCTTCTGTCCGTCTCACGTAGGAGTTCCAGAGCCAGCAACCACTGTGAGGCCACCCCCGACAGAGAACGCATCACAGCGCCATACGACACCTCCATCACAGTGTCGTTCCATGTCGGGCCCACGAAAACAATCGAAAACACGTTTTTTTGGGCTGAAGTCAAACAAAAAAAGAACAACACACACTATACATATATATATATGTAATCATATATAATCATATATATAATTATATATATATATAATTATATATAATTATATATATAATTATATATAATTATATATAGACTTATATGAACTCTAGATATGTCATGATATTTCAACATAATGTGTACATACAAGGTAATATAATATGTACTCTTGAATATTTATCATATGGCACATTTAGTTTTACGGAAGGATTTATCGATGGCTGGCAATTTTCCACAACCGTAAATCATCAACTGCTAATTTTGATGCCCGAATAACACTGGGCTCGAATGAGTGATGGGAGTAGACGCTACAACCAGTGGGCTATTCGCCACAATGTACTCAAGACTTCGAATCGTGCAGTGTTTCGGCTGCAGAAGAGTGATAGGCTAGTTGTACCAGCGCCATTGCTAACTTCCAACGTAATGAGTATATACTTTATATATATATATTGTATATATATATTACATATTCAATTTAGTTATATGTCTGTTAGGAACAGCAAACACACGTAATTACATACATTATCATATATTATCACATACCCGCTTAAATTCTTCATATGCTATACATCCCTTCCTCTAAGATGACTTTTTCGAGTTGGAGGGACACCTCATCCGGCCGTTGCTGCTGCTCCATGCTTCGGAGTAGATGGAAAGTCTGCTGCCAACACTGGCTCCTGAGGAGGGTGAAATCCTGTGGAAAAGCGGTTTCTGAGCGGTACCAAATTCCATTGGGAATTCAGGACATGTGGATGTTTACCAGGAATTTGTGTGGCATTTTTCAGCATGAAAGATGTGGATTTCACAAACAGAAATGGGATAATGGGGGTGTTACCATCAACCAATTGCTTGGACGGGCCATGTCTTTTGGATGTCTTTGGAAGGTGGGGGAACCTTCTCATCAGGAAGGAGCAACTTCTGTGTTCCAAGGTTGAACCGACTCTAGGTTTTTGCGCGGTTGCATTGGCACATATTGGCACTGCTATTCTATGCCATTCACCCACACTATCCCGGACTTCGACCCAGAATCCACCCGGGCTCCTGGCACATGCGCTCATAGCGGCATTGTAGCTGATCAAATCTCTGCTTGCCATGAAGTCAAACCTGATGCTTGGCATGGAAGATTTGCACCAATAAAAAACAAAAACATGGATACCTCCCAGAAATCAATGGTGCTGTTGAATCCACCAGATGCATTAACATGGGAAAGCCATCTATGTTTTTCGGGGAATTTTCCACTGCCATGTTTGATGACAGCGGAATACAGCGCAGGCCAGGCCCCTAGGCCACGCCAAGCGCTCAGACCTCTCATCAGATTCAAATCCTCATCGTTGCAGCCGTTGCTATCATCCAACTTTCGGGCTATCCCATGGCCACTCAAAATCTTCGTTGCCAATGGGATCACGCAAGAATCAGGAACCAACCCACAAAAACGTAAGGTTCCTTTCATCTCATTGTCTGGTATCTGCCACCGGGTATGTCTCCAATTTCTTGCCCAATGAGATGGGGTGGTCATTGAAATATGCCCAATGACCAAGTTTCTGGGTCCATTCGCTATCATCTATCAATGATGGAACTTTCCATGGCCATGACTTTCAACCCCTCAAGTCGTCCCAGCCCATCAGGGAACAAGTGCAAGGCCGCTTGCCACTCTCCGGTTTTACCACATGCGCTGATTGCAGAATTGTAGCTGATCACATCAGGCTGATTCTGCTGGAGGCTCATCTCTTCTATCCTGGATCATTTTTATGGAAAATGACTGTCCTGCGAGGGGATAGCCAAGAAAAGGAATCTTACTGGGATATAACCAACAACAACAGGTATGCTGGATATATATATATATTATATTATATATATAGATAGCTTTGTTATAATTCTTAGGGGGAAATCCCATTCCATCCGCTGATTGATAATCAGTTTTCCTATTCAAATAGCCATTTGACGGGCCCCACTTTCAGACAAACCCAATAAATCTGACTGATGCACGGGCTTTCCTGAAAGTTTCCCTCAAGCCAATCGAATGACCAAAGTTATGACTTCCCAAGCTACCTTAAGCTATGGAAGCTTCCCAAAAAAAACGCATACCTACGCCTGTCGGAAGCCTATGACCCTCAGTAGTGGGTTCTTCAGAAAGCAAAGCGAGCAGCTCGATCTATATTTTAATGTATACATATATATAAGTTAGTCAATCTTGGTAAAAAACAATGATGCAACATGTTCCATTGTCATGTTTGAAGGGTATCTCCATTGTCACGTTTAGTTCGATTGTCCGTAGTTCGATTCCCCATAAATTGGTGAATTTCCAAGCCTTGGAAGCCAGTGGCAAAAGCCTGGAACCAGGAGGGAACCTCAAATATTTTGGAGTGATTCCCTATGGTAACTTCATAGGTAACTTGACCCATCCCTATCTGGTTGGTGGTTGGTTTCTACCCCTCTGAAAAATCATGGAGTTCAAGTCAGTTGGGATGATGACATTCTCAATCTCTGGCAAAAATAAAATTCATGTTCAAAACCACCAACCAGCTATGTAGCTAACCTCCAATGCCTTCAATTCGATTGCTTGACCTCATCCCTGGCGCAACACGGAGAACGCCAAGCGTCAGAGATAAAGCTATTCCCCCCTGCCATGGCGCATCGGCAACACCAAGAACTGGCCGCCAACAAAAAAAGGGCTTACATTACCCAAATGCTCCATGTATGGTATATTTACCTAGATTTGGGTGATTTTTAGGGTAAATATTGGTAAATGTTCCTTACATGGAGCATTTGGGTTATGAAACCAATGAAACAAGCATCCCAAAAACAGTGTTTGGTTCTTCTACGATCAATGGAAATCCGATCATCGATAATTAAATGGAAACGTCACCAGCAAAACTAAGGGGATGTATGTGGAGACACATGTTCATGAGTGGAGTTGAGATGGGTTCATGCAGAACCGTTGGAGCCAGAAACGGATCATGCTTGGTAGTAATCCTTCGAAGACACGACGACTTTTTGAGTTGCAACACGCAACCCGAAGCGTCAAGGGGGTTCAACCAACCCCCAAGTGGATGCCCCAATAGCAAACGATTCCATAAGCCTTTCATTGTTGTAGAATCCCATTCTTCAGCAGAAACCATCCCATTCACTGCACCGAACATCGGCACATCGGTTCGAGGGTTCGACCATTGAGACCTCTTCACATGATGCAATCGTGGCATTGTAGCTGATGATGTTCGGAGATACTGACCTCAGCTGTCTGGAGGTCCGGCAACACTCCGCCCTAAACCGAGTGGAGCTCAAGGAGGCGCCTTCTGATGTCTGTGAAACGGGGACTAAAAGCACATAGCCACATACACACAAACGCAAACGCAGATGTTGGTCATTCTTTAATTCTGAACACCCATATATATATAATATATATATATATATTATGATATATATATATATATATATTATGATATATGTTGCATAAGTTATATACAACCTACACAATACAACATAAGGCAATTCTTTATCAGAATCATACTTTCAGATAAGATGGCAAAAGGAAATATGTCAGAAAAAATAACCAACCCGACTCCTGTCTTCCTCTTCTACTCTCTTGTTAATAGGGGGTTCCCACATTGTATTGTAGTGATCCTCATAAAACACAGCCATGACATCCAGGGGGTTTTGGGCATTGCCCATTTGACATGTTCCAATTCTTTTCGCAATCAACATAGGGAAAAAGCGAAAAATACAGCATACAATACTTCAACTTAACTCTGGGTGCAAATATGTGCAAACAATAGTTTAGTACCGAACCAAAAATGTATATTTTGAGCATGACTTAAACATGAAGTTCAATGCACCATTCCATGATATTCCATGCCTGCCATGAAAGTCTCATACATAGACGGTTAAAAAGGCTACCCAAAAGTTTGATGGGTTAACAATATTCCTAACTCAACATTCTATATGGGGATTTCCTAAAATGGGGGTACCCAAAATTGATGGTTAATAAGGGAACATCCAATTAACATGGATGATTTGGGGTACCCCCATTTTAGGAAACCTCCATATTTTGGGGCATGCCTCAAACAAACCCATTCTAAAACCTATCCAACTGGTCAAACTGGTCTCCAAGGCCGAGCGGCTCCATGGCCATGTCCTGCAGAATGGCCAGCGCGGCGCGCCACAGAGCGGCACGCTGGCAGCTGCTGATGGCTGCATTGTAACTGATCTGGTCCACCTCACGACATGGGTATGGATCAATACCTATTAATACCATTTTTAGGGGGATGAACATCCATAAATCCCAGCTATTTTGATGTGAACAGAAGGGGTACAAGGTTTTGACACACTGCCACATCTCACGACCGGAGATTTCCATAGGGGGTACCCGCAGTAGCTGGATGGTTGATGGAAAAAATATCATCGAATGGATGATGACTGGGTCCCTATTTTAGGAAAACCCCGAATCTAGGCCACACTATGCCGCACACAAAAAGTTTGGTGACATCAGCACGAATCTTGTACTTGAAACTTGAAGACCTAAATAATGCCCAGGCATTTCTTGCAATGCCGTATCTCCCACTTCTCTCCATGGAAAGCGACTTTTCACTACACGCTGCAACCTGAAGAACTTTGTCGCCCGCCTCTAAAGAATCATCCATTGCCCCTCTCAAGAAGCTCAGCGCCAGTTGCCAATCCTGTCCTGAGGCGCAGCCAGTGCACCCCATCTCCCGATTTTCTGCCATGCATTGACCCAGTCCATTGACCCAGCTTCCGCCAAGCTTCGGCAGGCTCCAATGACAGCGCCCACATGAAAGATGTTCACCTCCATTTGCTGCTCCTTCATGGACTTTAGGACTTCAGCAGTCAATGCAGGACCTCGCTCCTCGGCATGGAACTTGGGATGATGGAACTTGGCATGCCTGAATATAACATGAACTTCTCTTGTGGGAGAATTTGTTGGACGATGATCCCGCAAAGCAACATATTCTCGTATCCCCGGGTGTGTGTGGCAAACAAAGACTGCTAAGCTATCCCAACCAAGGATTACTACATCGAAAACCAAGGCTGAATTTAATCGTTCGAACCTTGGATATTGATAGTTGATAAACCTTGCACACATATGTATATATATATATATGTAAGTATGTATGTATGTATGTATGTATGTATGTATGTATGTATGTATGTATGTATGTATGTATATGCACATTCATACACAATTGGGCCCCAAGTTATACCTGACCCCCATTTACTATCGTTATAATTGCCATCAACTTTGCTCTCTACTTGAGGGTTCCAGTTACAAGTGGCTACATCATCATAGTTGGGGGTTAAAAAAATCCCACAGCTCAGTTATACCCATGAGCATAACCCTCCCCAAGTAGGGAGGCCCAGCTTGAATATCCCCCCATTCTATTCCCATCCCATTGTACAAGCATCAAAATGATGGCTAAATCAGTTGAATCCCTATTGTTTTCACCATTTCTCATGGTGAAATCCCCACAACTTCCACAACTCCCTGGACGACCAAAACAGGTCTCCTTGGTCAAGCGCTGCAAAACTCCCGTGACTTTTCGGGGCCCGATCTTCTGCGTTCGCTTCACCCAACGCTCGATCTGGGGAGCTGGGAGCAGCTGAAGGTGGCCATGTGAAAATGAGAAACATACTGTGGATGGTTGCGAAATCCTGCACCAGTTGATTGGTGGTTTATCCCAGTATCTATAGGGTTTCAACCATCCAAGGTGGTGCAGGATTTCTTCCATTCACTGGATGGGAAGAATATAGCAATAATATACTGGTGGTTTATCCCAGTATCTATAGGGTTTCAACCATCCAAGGTGGTGCAGGATTTCTTCCATTCACTGGATGGGAAGAATATAGCAATAATATACTAATACATACATATAGACATATATATATAATATGTGTATATACATATATAATATGGGTAATATGGGAACACTATATATATATATTTATTTATAGGAACAGTCAACATGTTGAACACATGGTACAATCCTTCTGAGTGGGACAAAGTAATCATCCAAAATCCCATCCATTTCACATGCCTCGATCGAGCCACTGGCAGTAGGCATCCATTTGGCAAGTGGATCTACGGGGTTGTTTTTGGTAATCTCATTTCTCTAGTAGAATTCTAATGGTATATAAATAGTTGTCCCCATAGTTAATATAGATATATATATATATATTTTTAGTATCTCAATGTGGATATCATTTCTCTAATAGTGTATAAATACCACCAATAGTTGTAGGATGTTGTAGGACCCCCAAAATGACGAGATCTCAAATATTATCGCAAGGGGTATGTCATATTAGCGGAAAGTGCTTGAATCGTCAACTTTGTTTTTGGACATGTAAGTTTTTTAAACTTTAGCAGTCACCATCGCCATCCTCATATCTTCCAAGTTGCAAATTCGTCTGACTAGTCAGACCATTACATACCATTACAAACACACACACACATTGAACAATTCTCACAACATGGTAGTGACTCTGACCTCCATTTGAACAGCTCGGATGATGCTTGAGATGTTCAAAACTGCATGGCTGAAGCTTCCACAAGACTCCAAATCAAAGTGGTACGGAATTATCACCTTTGATATCTTCGAAGTGTAATGAAGTGCATTTAGAACTTCCAATTCATAGTAGGTTTCAAACTTGACGGAACGATATCAACTTAGCACTACAGCTATTTTTTGCTCCCTTTGAAACCGACACAGCAGTTGTTTTCTCCGCGACGACATTAACATGGCGTCCCTGGCGTCCGCTCATCGCACGGGGCCGGGAGGCCAACGACCTCGGGATCCAACACCTGGTGCTTTTGAGGTCAAAATGGGGCGATGTCTTGGGATTTTTTGATGGTGATTTTTTGGATGGCTTCTGTTGGTGATTTTTGTTAAGTGTTTTTATTTTGGGTGAGCCTTGGGTTCTTTGATGCTCGGTATATCTTTTGGTTTTAGAATGTTTTAGATGTCTTGGGCTTGGGTTTTAGATACTCTAGATATGTCCGACAAACTGCTGAAGTCCACTGATTTTGCGGCGCAAGCCAAGCCCTCTGCATGTGAACCATGAAAGTTATACCCCTATCCCATCCCAGTCTACTGGGTTTTGAACGAGTATCCCTACTATTGGCTACAATATTCCAAAATAAACCAGTTGTTATATCGCTCTTCCTAACCAATCATCACGGATATGGATGGATATGGTTGATGCAGTATTTCGCTTACATGACTTTGTACAGAATTGGCTGCCAACATTTGCAAGACACCACACATATTAGCACATATCAATGGTGATACATGGTAATAAGAAAACATGAAGAAAACTATAGGTGTTCCCCTGAACTCCCCTCAATCTTCATCAATCTTCACCAGTACCGAGGCCGGGACGAGTTGAGGTTGCCTTTTCCTGCCAAGTGGCGACCCAGAAATCTGGGGATATGGATGCTGTGCTGATGCCTATGTTGCATTCATCATGCCTATGCCAGTTATCTTGGGATCAAAATCCAATATGTTTTAAGCCTTCGGCTTCCTGTTAGATCGATCCCACCATCTGCTGTGCTAGAAAGCACCACAGAAAATCATGGTGCCACAGTTATTGCATGTTATGGCCCTTTACCAGAAAACAAGTCGGTAAAACCCAATTTCTGGAATGATAACCCCATTTATTACAACATATTATAACCATTTATAGCTGGTAAAGGGTTTTAACATGTTTTGATATGCTTGAACTGCATCATGTGGGTTTGGCTGCTGCCTTTTTGGGGAAATCCCCCCGCCTGCGGAGCACTTGGAACTTCGTCGCCCAAGTGCTCCGTCCTGCAGGAAGTCAACGCCATGGAAATTGTCATGGAATTTGTAGGTTAACCATGGTTAACCTATAAAATTGACTAGTTAAGTATAATAGTTGACGCATTAACTATTGACATGTAAGTATATAAACATATATAAACTATAACTATACCCACTATGGTTAACGTTTTTTTGATTATAGTTAGTCAATTTGTCAACTTTATATGGACAAATGATTGGTTATTTGGTAGCCTGGTTAACTATCACTGTAGATTCTGATTTGACTACCGTTCAATTCCTGCAATGACGTCAACTCCAGGAATGGTCAACGCTACAGTTACTCCATTGGAAACCTGGAGGTTTCCTAGGGTTTTTCCGGTATGGATTCTCCCTGAGAAATGATCTGGTTGGTGGTAAAACAACCCCTCTGAACAATATTACTCAGTTGAGTCAGTTGGGATGATTATTCCCAATATATGGAAAAAAATCCTGTTCCAAACCACAAATCAGTATAACCATCATATTCCCATTGTTGTTGGTCTATACCCTATGAAAAACATGTTCCAAACCACCAACCAGTAACCAATTCAGAGACTTCCAGCAGGCCCGTTGGCTTCCAGATGTTGACTCCCCACTCCTATCAGCTGCATCTTGGGCATCCGGGGAAGCCTTGAAAAATGACCGAAATGACCGCGATTCGAAAGGTAGGACAAGCTCCAAAACTGACCCAGTCAGTTCACCTCATTTCTCATCATTTTCCCCGGGGAAATATAATATGAAAATTGCTGATCATTGTGTTTTGTTGGGATGATTGGGTGTGGGTAAACAAACCGTTGGGCTATATACTTTCTGCAAATCTCGGACATCTTGGCATGACAACATCCCAATGTGGGGAGCGCAGTCATGTTTTAGCTATAGCCGAGGAACAATCATGGAATTTGGCGATGATCGTTCTGTTGAACATTGTTGTTTTGGGTTTCCAGTTGCAAAATCTTCATGGAGTCTGCGCAGCTGGAACATCAGGATTTGTGTCATTGCCTGCAGCCCGGATGCCATGAGATCTGCCAATCTTGTGGCAGTGCTCTTGAACCAATCCCCATCGGCGCCGCCTGCAGTCAAAGTTCATCCCATATCTCCGGATCTGCGGCCTAGTCTGGAATGCTTGTTTAAAATAACATGAATAGACGAACATGATCTTATCCCTAAGACCAGTATCTAGTGGGGTAGACATTGGCAAACAATACAGTAAAGAAGTTTGAGTCATTCTCAAATAGGTAGACTCAGCCCATGTGGGGCCTGCGAAGGCTTCCGAGGTCCAAAACTCCTGCAAGACTCCGAAGAGTGAAGGGCTCGTTGGCTCCTACACAGCAATGGCGTGTGATTGGTGGTTGAGTGCCATCACCTCAAGCAGTACATCAAAAACAACACAACCAGAAAATTCCACCTCGGTCACCTCAAGTCAAGTAATAACCCTGCCAAAGAACCTGGTTTAGTAAAACCTTTCGGGCTGTAAATCGGTTCATTTTCGTCCTCCATTGGCTCCCTCCCATCCCATCAAATCCCCGGGACCTGGAGGGTACCATCGGGGCATTGGATTATTGGAGGATCATCCCAGGAATTGTAACGCTTAGTAACTCGGATTATAACCATCAGGGAGAACCATGGATACCTGGATAACAGGGAACCTATACTTATATATGGGATAACCATGCATAAACCCAGGGAATGGGGTTACAAGGCGATCCAAGGGGATCACAATTCCTTCGATGATCCAAGTACACAAAAACCCAAAATCCGCGATGCGCCCAGTCGTCCTTGACTCGTGCTTCCTTAGCGCGGCGCAGCAACGCCAGATTGACTTTGATAGTGACAGAGAGTCTACAGGAAATCCCATGATTTTCATCCATTAGGTTGATGCTTTCAGCCGATATGAGCTGGTTTTTGGATCCGATATGTCGGAAACGAAGTCTTCGAAAGCAACAGATTGGTCGACCCGAAGCCAAAACGTTTGGAGCATCCCGCAGCCACTTTCCTCCAACGAAAGTGGCTGATGGCTCTATCTTCGATGGTTTCTGTGTGTAGATTTCTGTGTGTCTTTTTGGATCCTTTTGGTACTAGTACTTGACCAGGGTAGACCAAAAAGTAAAGTCTTAAGGAGTAGATGGCAGGTCCTGCCCGTTTGGCTGGGAATTTGGAGCTTCAGGAACTTGTTTTTCTGCAGGATTGGCCCCTTGGTGTCACGAATATTCCACCCTCGTTGGACAAGAACGCGACCAATTGGTACTGTGGCCCCCCCACTGGCAAAATGGTCTCACTATGTCTCACTAAGCTATCACCATGAGCAGGAAATTGGGGGTCGCCCAAGACTCAAGACATTGGACACTGGGGCACCCATGCAGCCGTCCAGTGCTTGGGGAAAACCATACGTTTAACTCTTGCCGCGTGTCAAGGCTGTCACACTTCATCTTGAACCTTGGCTGCAGCCCTTGAAGCTGCAAGGCAAAAAATGACTCAACTTCTGTCAGTTCATCTTGCAAGGTGACTTGCTAAACAATACTTGACAACCTATCTGTCAATCGAGGACTTATCACCTGAACACCAATGATCGACAGCAACCGAATCCACTTACCAACCAGCTGCATATTCTTCCCCCCCAAAAAAGATTGTCCAAACATTGAAAGGCATCCGGCGCAATCAAACAAATTTCAATGTCTTTCTTGACCAATTCACACAGATTCCATGTGTGTACAGTATTGGTATAGTCAATCTTGTGAATATGCAACATTCATCCAATTTTAAGGCATTCGATATCATTCGATGCAGACCCCTGGACTTCCCAAAGACTTTGGCCAACTTCCAACTGATCCATCGCAGAGCTATGCCCTCCGCAGCCACTCTCTCCACCAAGAAACTTCTTGATCCTGAGAACTGAGAGCCGATATCGGGATGGA